TGAAAATGGGCATGAAAGTTAATTTGATTTCTTTTGCTAATGCTTGTTCCCGAAGTTTAGGTAAAATGTTCAACAGATTAGTTAAATTAACCTCATCACTTAGACCAAAATGTGGAATCGCCAATGATTGTGTCATCGATTTAAACATAGCTCGTTGAATGGCAGTGAAGGGAACACTTTTGTCCACTAACGGAGACTTAATTGTCTCCGTTGTTACAAATTTTGTCGGGACTTTTTCAAAAGACTGAGACTGAGGCTGAGGCTTTACGAATGTTTCACTTTCCACCTTAATAGATGTTACATTTTTCGATGTCTCAATGAATTTGAGAAGATCCTCTTTGAGTATCCGACCATCTCTTCCCGAGCCTTTAACATCACTCAATTTAATATTGTTCTCAGAGGCGATTCTTCTGACCGCTGGTGTGGTCAACACTTTGTCACCTTTCCAATCCAATACACTGGTAGGCTGAGAGTCACATATTTGATTAGCCTCTAAATCAGCAACTTGATCAACTTGATTTGATTGAACTAATCCTTCTTTACCATCTTCTTTAAGCCTAATATCAACAAGCGGCTTTCCAACCTTTGCGATCTCATCAATCTCGTAATATATTTTTTCAATTACTCCATCATAGCGACTTGTAATTGTAACACTTGCTTTATCTGATTGAACTTCACAAATTGAATCAAACTGATTAACTTCATCACCAGTTTTTATAAACCATTCCTTGACCACAACCTCGGAAATACCCTCACCGATATCAGATAAATTGAAAGAAACCAATTTCCCAGACCATAAACCTATTGAGTGAAAAAAAGAAAACAATGAAACACAATAGAACCAATTAAATTGTTTAAATGACTTACCTGAATTAGTGTGAATTAATCTTGATTGAATTGGAAATTTTATCGCCAATGGTGAAACCCGATGATGATTAAATGAGGAAAAGGCACAAGAAACATTTGATTGTTTGGAAATTACCAAAGGTTTAGATTTGTTGATTATTCTGATTACACTTTTCCCTTGGGTTAGTAAATTATTCCGTAAATTGTTGAAGAGGAACAAATGATTTAAATACATTTTGGAACAAGGTGAATTCAGATCTGATCATCAGATTAACTTTCGTATCTAAATCATAATCTAAATCTAAGATTTGATAAGAAATAAAAAGAAAACCAAAGCAACAAGTTGATGTAAACAGAATTCATAACAACTGAAGATCCAAAGGTGTTGCTAAGGAATCAACGTTTTGGAAAAACAACTTTTTCCTTTTGGCGTTTTTGTCCTCAGACCTAAAGCCGAAAGGGAACTATAAGTGTTTCGATTAGCACATTTACGATAATTTCTTTCAATGAATATGAATAAGAAAATTTTAGTCTATTGATGAAGTGAATTCTTTTTAGGATAACAACAGAAAAAAGTAAAAATTTGAAGAATTAGTGGTGATTTGAGCTTGGCGCTATTTCTTTTGGAATCAAGAATCTGGTAATTTAATTAATTAATTGATGAAATCATTGGAAATTTATGGTAAACGTGGACAAATTAAGTTACCTGAACATTGTTAGAATGTAGGGTTCGAAATGGAAGTTCGAAGTGGTGATGAAATTCCCGTTCATTATGATCCAATGATCGCAAAACTTGTGGTTGTTTGAGTTTCAGGTCGAAGTTGAGCTTTAATTGAACTTCGTTGGGCATCGTTAAGCGAATTCAATTTATCGGTTCGAAAGCAAATGAAAATTTCCTTGATTGTTTAGCACCTAGAATTTGCTTGCTTCTGGTCAAGTTGACACCGATGTCATGATCAATGAACAGAAGTCAACTTTATTTACTAAAACTGAATTATTTTTAAAGTTGATTAAGATCATCTCTATCGGAGACTGTGATTGATGGGAAAAAGGTAAACTGGAGGGCAAAAATCACGTTCAAAATTTCATTCTTTTCACTTACATCCAATGTTTACGATTCTAAATGTTCAGGTCAGTATATCGATGAAAAAATGGAGTTTCAGTTGAAATTGACAAAAAAATTATCTGAAAATTGCCATTCAAAATTCGCGCATCAAAAATGAAAAAATTAAATTATCTTGGTGATTATTATGAATTGTTTTGATTTAAGTGTTATTATTGTGAATATTTCGCCATCAAAATTGAGAATAAAACTTTTTGTGACTTTGAAACGGGCGGTTAACTTTGGCTCTTTTTGACTTTTTTCTGCTTCTTTTCGTCCTTTTGTCTCTTACCTCTGCCATCGGTGTATTTGCCTCATCAGCTGAATCATTGTCGATTTCATCTTTGTCCAATTATCAGTCCACTAGTGCCCGATTCTCAAAGGTTACACCAAACGATGACCTCACAAAAAACATTAACTCTTCCATACAGTTATGAAAAATACTCTACTGGGGTCAAGCAACATGAACCAGATGAATACTCAGATTCACTTAATGGGTCACCTTTTGCTACACTTGAGGCTGATTACAGTTCATTGACCAACTCATTAGGAGTCAATCAAGATGGATTAACTAAAGCTACTTTGTTCACTTCGGATAAAGATGGTTACAATTTCGAGTTTGGAACTAAACCTTATTATCGGTCAACCGGATCAATGGAATCCTCCAATGGAGCTGATGGTATTGTCGCTCCAATGCCTGGTGTTATCGAGAAAATTTTGGTCTCCGAAGGCGATACAGTTGAACCTGGAACCTCGTTGGTTGTTATGGTGGCCATGAAAATGGAATATATAATTAAAGCAAAGGCTAAATCGAAAGTGGAAAAGATCATGTTGAAAGCGGGTGAATGTGTTCAAAAAGGTTCACAATTAGTTAGATTGGTGAATCTAAACACTAATGAATATGATTAATTGTGGAAAAACAATTTTACCAAATTGAATTTTCATTATCTGATTTTTATATCAACCATTCAAAAACTATTAGCTTAATAGCTTAATAGCTTTCTTTTTTACAACAATCTGATCATTAATCAGAGCTAAACATGTAATCAGATTAACAGAAATTATCGGTTAGAAAACTAATATTATTATTGTCAAGATTGAGCATCAACCCCACTGACCTGTCCATCGATATGAAACCGACTAAAACATTGAGTAGAAAAGGTTAATTCAACTGGATTTATGACAACAATTCAATTAAATGAGCATGAGAATATTTATCAACAATTGTAATTATTTTCTATGTGAACCCAACAATCTTGTTTATCAAAGTGTAATTTAAATTAGTTTGGGGGAATCGCCATCAGCTGATTATTACCTTAATAAAGATTTGGAGCTCAGGTAATTGATCCTGATTTTTTTTCTTTTTTTTTCCTAGAAAATGATTTTCTCCGGATGAGAACATCTAATTGTTAACTGTAACAAAGTACATGACCTTGAGTAAGTATGATGAAATCGAGTAGGAATATTGGGTAAGGCTCAATTGACTGAGTTCGGCGTTTTTATTCAAAGCATCAGAAAATACCAAAGACGAAGTCAGGAAGAGATCGAACAGCAAAAAGATCTGGTTGCGGATAATTCTCACGAGTGTCGCCACAGTCGTTTTTCTCTTTCTATAATATTAGTCATTGGAATTTTTCTCATCAGTTTTGATTGAATCGTGCAAGTCACCGTATCAAATTTTGTCGTTTTGTTTTGTGACTTATTATTATTATTTTGTTAAGATTTTGTGATTGTGTTAGACAACATGGATTATAATATAAACGATTTCTTCAAATTCGCCAATGAAAACCCATTAGAGTGCGTAGTAATTATCTTCGTAATTTATTGATTGAACCTCACTTACTTATTTATTTATTTTTTATTTCTTTTTCATTAGGAATGATATTTATAGATTTACCTTAAACTCTGTGAACATCGGCAAATATCCCGAAATAAATCATTTAATTTTGGAATATCATAAGGAGCTTCGAGAATGTGCATCAAACATGGAACGGACATTGCGAAAGTACATTGTTTATCTCACTTGGGATGGACAAGAAGAGCCGTTTATCTACGACACCGAGAGAGATGATTTAAGTCAATTTGCTGAAAAGTTTGGCCTGGAGAAAGAAAAAATCAAAGAAGTGGTTGGTGAGATAAAGCCATGGAGTAAGATAGAAATTATTCCAAAGCCTATTGAAGTTGAGAATTTGATTCCTGCTAAGAAAAAAGATCTGCTTTCCAGCTTTATTTCCGTCGCATTCAATGCAATCCATTGCAATGAATCGCTTTTCGCTGTGGTTTTAATGGTTTTTGCCGTTATTATCGCTGTTATTTTGGCGATTTATCAAGAAAATATTTGTGCACTTTTCTCTAAGCCTAAAGTTACATTCCATCAACGGCCACACGTTGGAATTGGATACCACAGCGCTTTCCTCTAGTCAACTTACTTCTCGTTCTTATTTCACTAAAGCCTGATCAAGTGAAATCTTAAAAGAACCTCTGAGAATAAGTTATTTGTCAATTTTATTTATTTATTTATAAGATTTGAGACATTCCATACGTGGAAAATGTACCAATTAAAAGGAAATTAAAGACAATTAACTGTTGACATTGAAAATAAAAATTTTATCATGTTAATTAATTTGTTCAATTGAAGAGATTCAAAATAATCTATTAATATTTTGGTATTGAATTAATATTTCCAGTTGTAAAGAAAAAATTATAAATCAATTAACACTCAATGCGAATCAAAAAGTCAAATCGTCTTGAAATTTTGGTCACTTATTTCAATTTTTTGATTTAAGTATTATTGTCGGGATTATTTTATCAAAATTTTGAGTAAATTGAGGGTGAATTTTGGCCTTTTTTCTGCTTCCTTTCGTCCTTTTGTCTCTTACCTCTGCCATCGGTGTATTTGCCTCATCAGCTGAATCATTGTCGATTTCATCTTTGTCCAATCATCTGTCCAGTCCACTAGTGCCCGACTCTCAAAGGTTACACCAAACGACACACACACACACACATAAAAATACTCTACTGAGGTCAAAATGGACCAGTTAACGAATCAGATTCGTCTGATGGATAAGCTTTTGCTACACTTCAGACTGATTACGATTCATTGACCAACTCATTAAGAGCAAAGAGTAATAGGTTTTTTTTACAACAACCTGATCATTAATCAGAACTAAACATGTAATCAGATTACAAGAATTATTAGTTTCAGAAAACCTTTACATATTACGTATTATTATTGTCACGATCGAGCATCAACCCCACTGACCTGTCCATCGATATGAGACCGACTAGAAAATTGAGTAGAAAAGGTTAATTCAACTGGATTTATGTCGATATTACTAATCCTATTGTCCATTTAATATCAATTAAATGGCGACGAATCTATTTATCCACAGTTGCAATTATTTTCTATGTGAATCCAAACTTGTTTATTAAAGTGTAATTTAAATTAACTTGGGAGAATCGCCATCAGCTGATTGTTACCTTTAGAAAGATTTGGAATTCAGGTAATTCATTCTGATTTTTTTCTTTTTTTTCCTAGAAAATGATTTTCTCTAAATGAGAACATCTAATTGATTAATGTTTTCTAAATGTTGATCAATTTGAAACGTTTAGTTAAAAATATTCTTTTAATTGTGATCATCTTGTTAATCATCTTTATTGTTTACTTGAATTGTGTTTCTTTCTTTGTCTCTGATTCCATTGATTTTGATGGTTTGTCACTTAAACATCACAATCTAAATGTCACTGGATTGGGTCGGTTGATTGTTCCAAACATTGTTCACCTTATACAATTTGATAATCCATTCATTTCGTTCATTACCTTTCTTTGTATTAAAGCAGCGATTAAGTTTCAATCACCTGATGTTTTGATTATCCACACAAATGAGAAACAATTAAATGGTAAATATTGGGATCGCCTGAAGGAAAATGAACAAATTCAAGTTGAAAAGATGGTTAAACCAACGGAGATCTTTAATTTACCTTTGGCTCATGTTTATCATTCTAGTGATGTTGCCCGATTGATTGTTCTCATGAAATATGGTGGAATTTATATTGATAGTGATTTACTTATTTTAAAAGATTTAAACTCATTCCGTCGGTTTGAATGCTCAATTGGTTGGCCTGAGAATGAGTTCATTGGAAATCAGCTGATTATTGCTCATAAAGATTCAAGATTCATCAAGAAATGGTTCCAATCTTATAAATATTACAATGGATCAAGTTGGTATTTCAATGCAGGCCAATTACCGACCCAATCGATACTCAACTCTAACCCTGAATATGTTCATCGGGAAACTAAATCATTTGGTGTCGCTCCTGAAATACTTTACTTATATTCATCTGTAAATAACAAATCCGATTGGATTGATAAATTTCACACAATCCATTTACTGGAGAGACATCGTTCATATTTGATTCCAAGTGATTCAATCAGATATTTCAACGAATTCAATATTAAATCTTATAATAAGACTTTCGGCTCAATGGCGAGAGATATTTTATTTGACTCGCCTCGTTTGATAACTTGATTTAATCAATTAGACGGATAGTCTTCAATATGTCAATTTATTCATCTCATGTTAGTGATTAAGTGAACCGATATAAAAAAAAAATGGATAAATATTGAAATGGACAAAATTTGCTGTTTTCAAACAAAATGTGTATTTTTACAGATTATGCAACATTGTCTACATAATGATAGCTCCCAAAATAATGTCAACCAGAATTATTCATATACTCAATTCTCAATGAGATCGATGTCTTTTTAAAATAAAGGTCAATCATTTCAGGCTTCCTGTAACTTTTGTTTCTTTTTCTTTTTCTTTTTGGCACTGAGAGTCTCTTCGACAAGAGATTCGTCATTTGCAGCCATTTCGTCACTTTCGGAGAATTTTTTCTTCTTATTCGATTTACCAAAATTGTCTTCTTCAATTTGATCAACATCATCTTCTCCTCCAGCTTTACGTTTCTTTTTCTTTTTCTTAGCGCTTTCGGTTTCAATTTGTTCAGTGGTATCATCTTGAATATTGGGTAAACCATTTTCGTCTTCGGTGTTCGCAAGATTTTTCTTCTTCTTCTTCTTTTTCTTCGAACTTGATTCCTGGTCAATTTCCATCTCTTCTTGGTGGCCATTCTCTTCATCTCCACCTTCGGGATCATGTTTCTTTTTCTTCTTTTTCTTTTGTTGCTCAACGCCTTCTCCTTCACCAGTTTCCATCGCTGAAACAGTTTCATCGAATTCAGCTTTGATTGCAGCTTCTTTCTTCGCCTTCTTGGCCAGTTTTCTTGCTCTTTTATCGGCAAGTATTTTCGCTTTTTCACTGGCCTCAGTCATGACATCAATGTTCTTTTTAGGAACAGTTCCATTCTCGTAGAATTGAAGTCTCTCTTCAACTTGATCTTTTAATGTTGATCCGAACACATCGGCTGGGGTATCATTGAAACAATCAATTCGGGAGGCAATGGAACACTTATTAGCAAGGAATCTAGAAATACGACCTTTATTTTTCGTTCCCGCTCTGGAAATAAAACCTGAGTGGAAAAGTAGTCCATGTTTCGGAGTGTTACCACGTGTCTTTAAAGCTCTAAACAAGGCCTTTTCAGCTCCTAAAATCTGAACAGTTGATGCGGGATATTTTGCGAGATTGATCAAACTACCAGCATGGGAAATAAGTCGAGCTCCAACCTATTGAAAGAAATTATTTTTTTTTAATAAGAATTAAAACGATTGGTTGACCGAAAAACTTACCGTTTCTCCGATGAGAGCGGATAGATTAGGAGCCACGTTGTGCATACGACTTTGAAGATATTCCATTAATTGTCGCCGATATTCAACAAGATTAATAACCTTAGATGAGAAACTTGAAATGTTAATAAGATCTATTGGGGCGATATCCATACCCATAGAGCTCTTAGCAGCACTTATAATATGATTAACAGTTTCTTCATTTTCAATTAGCTTTTTCAATTCTTCTGAAATCACCGTATCATCCATTTGTTTACGGTCACCTAATAATCGAGCAACACGAGCGTAAAGATAGTTATCATTAACTGTTTTTACTAATTCTGGGAAATGATAGGAATACCATTCCCTTAGTCTCATGGAAAAAGTGTTGATATCTTTATCTAATTGATCCAATAAACTTATACTTTGGATAATCATGTTATCAGCTCGATTAACATTAAACTTTACTTTGCTTCTGGAAAAAGATCGGGCCAAACCAGCTTCAGATGTTTCAATGGCGGCTTTTGCTGATACTCCAAGTAATTTATCAGAATGTAGACGAATTCCTCGCAGAAGCTCAGGAATAATTCCTGTATGTTGACAATTAACATAAGGAAATTTTTCTTGAATAGCAGTTCCAATTTTAGGATCAGCAACACCTAAATTCATTTTACTTTTTCCATGTTTCTCCAAGAAAACCAGTAAATCTTCATGTAGATAACCTTCTGACAAAGCTAACATATTTTCCAATGAACTTACTCCAGTCTTGAAGGGTGAAAAAGAAATTAATTTAACCATATTCTTAAAATTGTTAAATTGTAAAGATGCTTTTTCCACTTTGGGTACACTTGAAGCAATTTCTTCATATTGTTCAACCTTGAACAAAGCGTAACCCACCGCATGTTCAAAGAGAACGTTCAAATGGGCAACAACCATCACAATTACAATATTAATTAAACAACAATTTAATCAATTAATTAGAACAAAAACCAAAAGAGAAACAATTAAATCCAAACAACAATTGGAGAAACCAAACACATTTCCGAATTCACTTTACCCCAACAACCACGTTTTTCCAGCTCTTCAAATTTATAGAAAATCAAAAGTGGCGGTAACTTTGAATTTCGTTTTCTTCCAATTCGATTGATTGGAAATTTATTTCAATTTGGAATTTCAATTTCAAAATAAATTATTAACAAAAATTAGAAATTTAAATGAGACATTAGATGAAGGTGAAGATGTTCAGTTGTACAGATGAGCTTTTGTTTGTTTGTTGTTTTGGTTTTGGTTTTGGTTTTGTTGGTTTTTTTTTGGTTTAATCGTTTTTCATGAAATTTGATTTATTTTTGTTGAGAAATGAAATGAAATCTTGAAATAATTTGTGTAGGGCATTTGATTGTTTCTTGGTGATTCCTGGTGTGACTATGAAGAATTCAGGTAGAACAACTAGAAGACGAAGTAAATGAATAAATCCATAGATTGAAGTCATCTCGAGATTTTTGTGTTTCTTTAAGGTTAATAGTTGAGTTTTCTCACATGAATAAAGTAAATGGTCAGAAAGTAAAGAATTGAAATATTTTTCCATTGAGTAAACAAATTCTTTGAAAATATATTGTGATTCCTTTTTGGCGATTGAAGTTCGGGTTCGTGTTGTTATACTACAATTGTTAATTCCATCACCAAAATCAAAATGTTCAGATAAATATTTATCTAGAATCATTTTAACCGTTACCTTAACGGGTAAATTGTGACACTTTCCTTTACCATCAACCTTTTCTGCATCATCTTCCAATATCTTTTTCAAATCATCAGGTAATTGCATGAATGTTGGTTGAAGTAATGGTCCATCATCATGTTGAGATGATTCAGAATTATTGTTTTCACTATTTACATCTGATTTACCATTAGATTCATCACTGTAACTGTTTAAACCATCAACATCTCCACCAGATTTAACCATTTTCCCATCACCTTGACTATCCTTTTTTTCATTGTCACTAAAAGAGAATAAAAAAAAAAGGTAACAACAGGGTAAAAAGATGAACAACTAAACAACATTGATTAAACTTTAATCACAGAAAATCAATCAATTTACTTACTTATTATTCTCACGAGGTAAACTAACAACAACCTCTCTAATTATAGCGGGTATTTTATTGAGTTTCAATTTTTTACCTTTCAACGGTTCGGCAGCAATTTCAGCCAATTGTCTTTGTAAAGTTCTGTTCTCTGGATTATCCTTAAGAATATTACATTCGGCAACATGTCGATCCCATGATGAATTCCAACCATAAAAGTGAACAAGATATTCAGCAGTTTTCCTACTTTTAGAATCTTTCTTAACACAACATTCTAATATTTTACTATCATAAAGAACTTTCGCTTTATTTGGATCAGGTTCATAGCAAAGAACCTTCTCACCTTCACTGAAATTAAATTTAAAAGCTCTGGATGACATGGTAATTAAAAGAAACAAAAGATTCCAATTAAATTAAAAAAGAAAAACACTTTTCATTAACTTTTTCTTTTCGTCTTTGTTTCTCTTTGTTTATTTTTCATCACGCATGACAAATGCCTTATGCATTTTCGTCTTCAGGGTGTTCCTGAAGACACCGAACTAATCGTTCAGTTTACATTTACTTTCTTTCTTAACAATAATTTCGTAAATATCGATTAAATCTTTGCTTTTCTTATTAAGATTCTGATTGTTTGTTAAGTCCCATTCATCATTCCAATGAGCTTGGGTACTTTTACATTGATTTAGATAATGAGTGAATGATCTCTTTTTGTTCTTGAATCTGTCAATATTTTGTGTAAGGATTAATATCTTCGAGATTATGATGACAATTCTCTTTAATCCAACTCCATGGATGCTATTGTATATCTTTTCCATTTTCCTAGGGAAGAAGAGGGTGTAGATCGATGGTGCTCTGGATTGTATGATAATTTGATCGATTTTTTCTGCTATGTGTTCTTGAATGTCCTTGCTGAGGTTAATCTTATTGTTGATTTGGATTGTTTGTGTCGGGTTTTCAGGTAAATTTCTGTCGAGGGTTGAGCTGGTCCAGGTATAGATTGAATTGTGTTGTTTTAACATACTGATTATAACTTTTGTACTTTCTGAGTTCGGGAATTTGGTGATTATTTCTGGAAGCTGGTAATTTATTCGACTGTTTTTATGCTTGTTGATTAGCATGAAGAGAGCAACAAGTACAGTCTTGTTATTACTCGAATTTGTCTCATAAACTACATTGTCTTCATCAAGAGAGAAACGATTATTCTTAATTTTGATGTAAACATGATTTAGAGATGATTGATTGCATTTCCTATGCCAAAATTCCTCCATTTGTTCATTTTCAGGTGGGTCAAAGGTACGTTTTTTTGTGAAGAGTTCAAGAATTGGCCATTCTTCACGTTGTTGATGATTCCGATAAAGCGCCTCCACTATCGACTGGATCCACACTGCCACCGGATTCACAATTCTGAATATGATTATTGGTACCCAATTTGAAACTGCTTGATTTAACCCAAGTAAATTTTTGAGTTTACGATTTACTATTTTTTGAATAGTGTTGATGAAGTTTTGGTAGTTGTTATTCCTGTATAAGGCATGGGGCCCAAGGTGATAGAGCATTGGTGTGTAATATGCTGATAAAATCATCCTTTGGTAATGAACAGGAAGTTGATTTACAACTTTGATTTGAGTGGTGATTTTGGAGGTAAATAAATTTGTTAAGACTGATAGGCTCGACTCATGGAGTGAGTAGGTGACAATTTTACCTACAATCTTCTCAGTCTGGATATTCGATTTGGCAAAAAACTTCGTTTTTCTCTGGTTGATGGTGAGATTTATCAGTGATAGTGATTCAACTGCAATTTTTAGATGAGATTCTTTGTTTTCATTGTTGCTGAGGATGAGCATGTCATCCGCAAATGCTACCGCTTGTACACCTTGTTGCTTCATATGACGAATTGCGAAATTTAAACCAATTACAAAGAGGATTGGGCCCAATGATGATCCAGCTGCCGTACCCACATCATCTCTTTTGTACCATACTTGGTCCTTGGCTTTGTAGCGAAGAGTTCGATTCTGATGAAATGATTTTATTAAGGAGAGGGTACCCGAATCAACATGATCTTTAAGTTCTGAGTAGACTTTTTCTAGCGATACATAGTCAAAAGCTTTGGTCGCGTCGATTGAGATGATGATACCATGATCAAGGTGTTTACATATCTTTATATGAAGATCATTGCCATTGAGTGACTGTTGATATGCGAATTGCGTTTGTGGAATAAGAATTTCGGGAAGCACTTTCTGGACCCTTTTGGTCAAGATTTTGTCGAAGATCTTTAAGATAAACCCAGAGATTTTTATTAGTCGTAAGCTGCCATCAGGTTTCGGTATGTAATGGGCTCCAAAGATTTTCACAGCTTGAGGTATGATGCCCACTTGGAACGATTTCTGTATTGCCAATGTAAGAATACTTTTATTTTCAGACCAAAACTTCTTCCATGTTTTCAAGGAGAATTCATCAGCGTTACCAGAAGTTTTTTTGAAGCTCATCGACGAGATCGACAATTTTTCTAACTCACTGAGATCTGATCGATACCCTGATTCTAGTTCTGGAGTAATCTGTTCTTTACTGTAGCTGCTGAGATCAGGTTCAGAGTCTTTCTTGAATTTTTCTTTCCCTAATATTTTCTTAATCAGATCCCACTGTCTCGAACTATCATTTCTAATTTTGAAAAGATATTTAATTGTTCCTATTTTTTTTCCTATTCTGAGTCTAGTACATTTAGCTTCAAGTTGTCTAATTATCTCCTTATCTATTCTGGCTCTTTTCATTCTTTGAATTTTCGTTCTGAGTCTTCTGATTCTCCTATTTGTAGTCATTTCCTGTACATATTTATTTTTTGTATTTTTCTCCTGAAAGCTATGAACTTGCTTGAAAAATTCAATTGGATCATCTAGTCTGAATTTTAGTTTGTACTCTGTCATGTATGTAACTTTTTTTATCTTACTAATATCTATGAATGGAGGTTGAAGAGGAACTTTTAATGAGAATTTCCTGTGATCTGTTACTAACTCGCCTAATTCTAACTGAATATTCTTAACATTAGAAATGAGTAGATCAATCCATGAGCGCATTATAACTAATCTGGTGTTGTTATGTTGAAAGGTGTAGTTGTCGATCGTGGGTTTATTGATCACCTCCATTCTATGATGAATGATGAAGTTTGCAATTTGGTTGGAACAATCTCTATGAGTCGATTTCAGGGACCACAGTGGATCTTCGCAATTGGCATCCATGACAATCAGGATTGGTAGATGAGCATATGAGGCAACAAGTTCAAGAAAGCTTCGGACATTTGACTGTTGATTGAGATGGGCTATGTAGCCTCCAACGATCACTAATTGTTTTTTTTGATGAATTATGATGGAGATTATACAGTTTTTAACACTATTGTCACTTGAATACACTTTTATATCTGGCGATGTGATTAAAATTGTCTGATCATTTATGATGAGGCCTCTATTAACGTAGTTCACGGCCTTTAGTCTATTTGCCTCTACAAGCACCAAAACTGTACTTTTTGAGTTTAAAGTGCTTTTGATGAGGTTTTCCGTTGTCTCTCTTTCTTTACGAGCGTTTAAATAGATGAGGTCGATCCTCTGATCGCAGGAACCATTCATATTTGATATCATGAATCTTTGCCGCCTTGTTGATTTGTTTTTTAATTATTTCACAATTAGACGAATTTGATGTGTGAGGTCCTTTACAATGGTAACATTTTGGTGGATTCACACATTGATTTGTGTGGATTTGCGAACAATTTACACACCGAGGAATACAGTTTTCATGGGGTCGTCGAATTATTTTTAAACAGTTACACATGTGAATATCGAAATCATCATAGACTTGGTAAGTTTTTCCCATGAAGTGAATGTAGCCATCATTGTCAAGTATCAGGTCACGATTTGATTGGCTGATGTTTAATTTGATGATAACAAAATTTTCAACCAGTTTAATGTCGGATACAAATGTTTGTCTATCCCTGGATAACTTATTCGATGTTAGAATATTGTTAAGCACTAAAGTAAAGGAAATTTTTACTGGAGGTGGAGATTTGAAGTAGATTGTGGAGGGTGTAGGCTCAAACTCATAAAGAGTGTAGTCTGGGAAGAAACGATCAATAATTGAGTAAATCTCAACTCTGGTTTCAAGGGACACAGGACGAATTTCCACTCTACCGTTTTTTCTCAGCCTGATCGTTGTAATTCTGTTTGATGAGTCAGGTAAAGTTGTCATGAGAAACTGTATGAATGCTGAGTAGTCAGTGACGCCAGACAGTTCAATTTGAAAAGATAAACTTTTATCACTTGTTGGAGTTGCTTTATGCCACCCAAGTCTGAGAGCTTGGAGTTCTCTCAATACTTTTACCATTGACATTGCTGTTTCTGTAAGAACGAAGAAGAAGAAGAAGAAAAGAGATATGTGAATGATGAAGAGGTTGTAAGAATGTTGAGTCATTAAGCTTGTTTTGAACTTTGTCCTTAATTAGTTGCAAGAGTTAATTGTTAAGAAATTTAATTACTAGGAAATTTAATTGTTAATTGTTAATGAGAAATGGTTAATGAGAAATGGTTAATGAGAAATGGTTAATGATTGTTTTTATGATATTTTCTTTTCTAATTGTTTTTCTTACTGTTTCTTGTTAATTTGTGAGAGTGTTTAATTGTTTGGTTAGTAAAAGTCGAGAGTAAATTGTTAGGATTGATTGTTGTTGTTAGTAATCTTTTAGTTATTCATGAAGAATAATTTCACTTCTAAGTGTTATGTTCCTAATTGCTTCAGCCGAAGGATAGGGATTAGAGTTAAAGGATTAATTGTTAGAGATTAATTATTGTTAATTGTTAATAGGCTTTTGGTTCTTTGTGAAGGGTTTAGTTTTCAAGGAGATGTGAATTGTTTGAAGCAATTTAGGGATTAACTCTAAGCCATTATAACTTTGTACTGAAAGTTTCTTCTTTCAAGTTCAAAGAGCAATTTTTCTTGAAATTTTAAACATTTGTTTTCAAAGGCATTTTCTCCTCGCTTAAGACAATTTGGGCACTGCCACTTATGTGGTACATCTTTTATCGGGCAGGTTTCATGGACATGATCTTTGTCTCCACAATACGGACAAATACTAATTTGTGTACACTTATTGGCATTGTGACCAAAGCGAGTGCAGCGTTTACACTGTTTGATGTCAAAATGGTCAACAACTCGAGCACGTTTATATCCAACAGAGATTAGACCATCATGAGCCTCCAACCATTCTCGAAGTGCAGGATCGATTTCAATTATTATGTCGTAGAATCGCCCATTTCGATAATAATGCTTAATGTTGACTTTCCAACATTTCTTCCATTTATTTTTCATTACCAATCTCTGTATCCATTGAGCGATATTGTCTTCACAGAATTTGACTGAGAGAATTTTTATTTGTGGGTCATGAATGGGTGGAATTTTGGTGTCCCATTCAGGTTTAACCTTACGAATGTAGTTGAATATCTTTGAGCGATCAGAAACACTTGAGCACTTAATTTTGGCGGAATCAAAACCAGGAGTGACTTCTTCCGCTGTACCAATATCTTCCATCGCTTCTTCCAAGAGATTTTCTACTTGATCAGTTGTTAATTCACCCAATTTTCTATTTAACTGGTTTTTCAATCCAGGAATCTTCACAATTATTGTGTGATGAATTGTCAGGTGAGACACATTAAACCAGGTAGGCGGTGGACCTTGATGAGTATTGTAAGGCACTGAGAGAAGGTTCTTGATTTGATTATTAGATAAATCTTGTATTTCAATCGGCTGCATCTCAATATCAGGTTGTGTCGATTGTTCTTGGATTGACAATAATCGATCAGTGAATTTGACCAGGTCGAGTATTTCATTTTCTTTAAGGCCATTTACAAAACGAGTATCTTTCACTGCCTCTTGCAAGGTTTTTATTATTGGAAAGGCAATAAGCTCCGTGTTGATAGTATCAATATTTAAATTCGTGTTTTGATGAGCTTCAACGTAATCCTTAACTAAAGCAAATTTCGCTCGTTTGGAGACCTTTTTATCTTTCACTGTTGAAGGAGAAAAATTTGCATTTAAATATTGGATTTTAAATATTAGATTGTTAGGTATTCGTTTATTTTATTTATGAAGTTTGTTCGGTATAATTTGTGTTCGGTATTGAGACTTTTAAATATCTAGATTTACTTACATTTTCTGAGGTCAGGAGCTGACACTTGAATTTGGTTGTTTGAAGACATTTTTATATCACAATCAGTCTAGTTTTTTAACAGTAAGGTTGCTAGTCACTAATTTAATGATTTAGCACAAAAGTAAAGGGAATTTTTGATGATTATCATGAAAAAGTTCCAAATTTTCAGGAGCACAAAAAAAAGCGACTTTTCTTCAGTTTATCAAAAGTTGAAATTCGAATCCACCAGATGTCGCGGTTGAACTAAATTCTCTTTGGAATTTTTTTTCTATCAAATGTTAAATCAACAATGTTGATGTGGTTGTTTTGAATTCTTCCGGTTTTTTTTGATAGATTTTTATTTATTTATTTATTAAATTGGTTAATTGTTGTGGTTTGGATTAGAGTTAATGGTTATCATGGAGAAGGAGCATCAGGAGAGAAGAGAGAAATTAGTAATCTACAATTCAATTTCTCGAAAAAAGGTTGGTTGAAATTGTTTATTTCGTTTTTATTGTTTTTCCTCATTTTGATTGTGTTGTTGATTTTTTTTCTGTATTTTCTGTTTCGGTTTTAGGAGAAATTTATCACTCAAAAATCAGGACTGATACTTTGGTATAATTGTGGACCTACTGTTTATGATTCTTCTCATATGGGCCATGCTCGTTCGTATATATCGTTAGATATAATTAGGCGGATATTGGCTCATTATTTTGGTTACCGTATTGATTATGTCATGAATATAACAGATATTGATGATAAGATTATTAGAAAAGCTCGTCAACTTTATCTATTTGATACGTACAAATCAGAAGTGACCTGTGGTAATCATAGTGCCTCAGCATTTGATGAAGATATTAAGAAAGCCATTGCTGCTTACGAAACTAAATACACCAAAGAAGATGATCCAGATAAAAAAGCTATGATGAGTCGACTATTAGAAGAATGTAAAACTAATCAATCACAAAGTACCGAGGAAACTATTAATATATATAAGGAAATTCTCTATGACTATTTGGACAATCAACGTGGGTCTACAGTTACTGACAATGAAATATTTACTAATGTTCCTCGTAAATATGAAGCCGAATTTTTTGACGATATGAGAAATTTAAATGTCATGGAACCTGAAACCTTAACTCGTGTCAGCGAGTATGTACCCCAAATTGTTACTTATATTGTAAAAATAATTTCCAATGGATATGCTTACGAGTCCAATCAGTCAGTCTACTTTGATACGGCTAAATTCAGTTCATCATCTAAACACAATTATGCTAAACTTTCACCTGAATCTGTTGGTGATAATAAAGCACAAAGTGAAGGAGAAGGAGTTTTATTTTCTGGTATCCAGGATAAAAGGCATCCAAATGATTTCGCCCTATGGAAAAAATCAAAACCCGGTGAACCTTCATGGGACAGCCCTTGGGGTAAGGGAAGACCTGGTTGGCATATTGAATGTTCAGTTATGGCAAGTGACACTCTTGGAAGTACTTTAGATATTCATTCTGGTGGTTGTGATCTAAAGTTTCCTCATCACGATAATGAGATGGCTCAATCGGAAGCATATTATGATACTGGTGATAATTGGGTTAATTATTTCCTGCACACTGGCCATTTAACTATCTCTGGATGTAAAATGTCAAAGTCTTTAAAAAACTTCATCACAATCAACGATGCATTGAAAAAACACTCTTGGCGACAATTAAGATTAGCCTTTTTACTTCATGCTTGGAATGCTACCTTAGATTATGGAGATACAACTATGAGAGAGGCTTTGGCGTTCGAAAAGTCATTAAATGTAAGTTAATGAGAAGAATATTAATCAGATGATACAATTAACTCTTATTTTCTTGTTTTAGAAATTTCTTTGGTCAATCAAATGGACTTTGATTAACTTGGATTCATCGGACAAGTTTTCATCTAAAGAAACAATTTTATCGCAAAGGTTTAGTTTTTTTTTCTTCAATTTCTCAGATCGATTTTTAATTTTTATCAATTTTAACTCATTTCAGACTTGAGGAAACCAAACAACGTGTTGAAAATTTCATATGTGATAATTTCAATACTGTAAAGTCACTTGAATGTGTAAACAATTTAATCAGTGCAACTCGAGATTATTTGAAAGATGATCTTAGTCCAAATAGGAAAATTTTACTGGATGTCACTCATTATATATTTGATTTGATGAAAGTTTTTGGTGCTTGGGAAAAAGATACAAAAGCGGAATTGACCTCATCTTCAATGGTTATCGAAGAGGTAATTTTACCTTTTATCAGTGAGATAGTTAATTTCGACAAGAGATGCGACAAATTGGTTTGGATAAAAAAGAAAACGATATTATAGTAAAATGTGACAAACTGAAAGAAAATTTAGTCAATCTTGGAATCCAATTCACGGAGGAAGAAATTTCAGGAAAAATGTCCACAACAATTAAAGTTGCAGATAGAGAGACTCTTCTAAAAGAGATTGAAAAGATGAAAAAAACATTCGATGAAAACGTAAGTTCTATTAAAACATTTTTCCATGAGAATCAACAGAATAATTGAATCTATTTTATTTCTTCTACTAGGGTTTACCATCGATGGACAAAGAAGAGGCGATTCTACCTTTTGTTCAGGTTATTGCGAATTTCCGACAAGAGATGCGACAAATTGGTTTAGATAAAAGGACTCTGTTATTATGGTAAAATGTGATCAGTTAAGAGAGAAGTTGGTTGATCTCGGGGTTGAATTAGAAGATGATATTTCTATTTTAGAGAAAATGTTTACATTGTTTCGAATAATGGACAGGGAGACTCTTAAGAAGCAAGAAGAAGCAGAAAAACTCGAAAAGGAAAGAAAGAAAAAAGAACTCGAAGAAGCTCAAAAGGCTAAAGATGCTAAAAAATCAATACCACCGACACAATTATTCATCAACCAAACAGATAAATATTCAGCATTTGATGAGAAAGTAAGTAGACTAATAAAATGGACTCACAGTAAATTAAAAATTCATCTTTTTATTTTCCAGGGTTTACCAACTCTTGACATCGAAGGAAAGCCGATCAGTAAATCAGCGCTTAAGAAATTGATCAAATTATACGAACAACAAGAGAAAAAATATGAAGAATATCTCAAAAGTTCCAAAGGAAATATTAAAGTTTAAAACTAAATCTCAATTGAAAACTAATAACTTATAACATTAATCGAATTAATTGAGAATTAAAACTTTTTTTTATTCTTTTGAATCCTTTACCAACGTGCGAAAATAAGTAATTAATGTATAAATCGAATCAAATGAATCTCAAAATGCTTCGAATTGATTACCAGGGCAAAGTATCACCATTAAAAGAGAGAAAAGATCCTGTTGAATTGATGTCGAGCTTTCGAATCACTTGAATCATCTGAGAAATGCTTTGATCGACCTTAAGATGAGCCTTCGGTCCTCCCATGTCAGTAACGACCCACCCTGGGTGAAGAGCGATGCAACTGATTCCTTGTTGTTTCAAGTCTTCGGCCATACATTTGGTCACCATGTTCAGTGCAGCCTAGAAAACGATCAATTTCAAATGTTAATTGAATGGAAAACCTGATCAAGATACTAAATTGCGACTAATCAACTTACTTTACTTGTTTTGTAAGGATACATTCCCCCTGTGCTATTAGCGATGCTCCCGAGCTCTGAAGAGATGTTGACAATTAATTTAGCCTGTGAAGGTTTAATCAGTGGAATTAATTTCCGTGCGAACATCAAAGGAGCGACAACATTGACCTCAAAATTTTCCATCATATCTTTAGGCTCAACAACGTCAAGGTTTCCCCTTAGAGCGATACCAGCGTTGTTGATTAGGAGATCCAGACCTTTGTCTCCAACGATACTTGCGATCTTTTCATAACTTTGATCGTATTTTGAATAATCTCGAACATCTAATTCGATAATTGTAACATTTTCGTTCGCTGATGATACTTGAGTTAATTCCTAGAACAATTAAACTTTAGATTATTTACCTGATCAATTGTGAAAAAGAAATGAGACTCACCTGAGCATTACCAGGATTTCGACAAACGGCGATAATTGTCTCGACTTTTGGCTCATAATTAACAAATTGTTTGACGAATTCCAAACCGAGCCCTCGATTAGCACCAGTGATTAAAATCGAACGAAACATTTCTGATAATTAAAAGGAACCAAACAAATTGAGATAAACAACAACTGAGAATTTAAATGATCAACATCGATTCTTTTTCATCTCGATTAATCAAGTAGATAAAAAAAGTTCGATTATTTTTCTTTTAATTGTAACAAAAATTAGATGGAAAATCGATTGTCATTTAAAACATTCCAATCGATGTTCAGACCGTGAACAGAATTTCAATTGAATAAAACGTTGGGATAATAACTCGAAAGTTCTAATCGATGAACTTTCAATAGAAAATTTTAATCTCTTCGAACTGAATAACAATCTCGAAAATTCCGATCAACTTTCTAAACGATAATAAGACTCATGGTAATTCTGAGAAAATATTGAAACTTTTTCTCTCTTTTTTTAACAACATAAACTTAAAGATCTTTGAATAAACAAAAAGTGATTAATTCCCATGAAACTGTTTAATCTAATCAATAGCTAATTAACTAACAGGATAAAAAGCAGAAAAATCAAACGTTCAAAGGTATTTAATTGTATCAACAGAAACAAGATAATTATCAGAATTTATCTGGAATCTCTGGTTAATCATTTAATTAGAGGATCTAATTAGTGTTTAACATAAGCAACCAAACTAATCGTTATTGTAGTCGATTGAAATTCTGATGAATAATCACCAGATTGACCTGATTGTTTCCAATTTAATTGGTAGCGTTGATTTGGATGTAAGACAAATGTTTATTTCGAAAGTTATTGATCTAATTTGATATTCTGTTAATCAACTGATTAAGAAAAGATATCAAGTTGTTTCCAATCACTTTGTTTCTCTTCCATGGGATATTCCAGAATCTCAGGTTTCTTTGAATTTTTAACCTTCTTCCAAACCTTAACGGTAAGTGGAAGATATTGAGGTAATTCAGTTCGAAAGAATTGAAATTTTCCATTTTCAACCTTGATTCCAGTTCCTTCGGGAAGAGCGACAATTGACCTTTGTTTAACTTCAAAAGCTTCGTTGAGTCGGGTTATCCGGGATTCCCCATTGATATTAGGAATTGTGGCCTCGGTGTAATGAGGGTTAAGATTATACGGGAAAAGATTCAAAGCCGAATCAGTGGAAGGCCAAATAACGGGCATATCATTAGTCGTTCCAATATCAACACAGGCCACATTAGAACCAGCCGACCAGCCGATATAAGGTATTCCATCCTCAAGAATCCGTTTTCTGATGATAGAGATTAAATTGTTTTCCTGAAGTTTGTAGAGTAAATTAAAAGTATTTCCACCACCGATACAAATGACCTGAGCGCTATTCACGGCCTGGACCATATCCTCGACCTCATGAATTCCTTGAATCTTATATCTATCCAAAGCCTTGGAAACTAAATTCTTATATTCATCCCATGAAATAGTAACACCAGCAAAAGGGATAAACAAAATTGTCTCAACACTGGAACCAAGAAAATCGTTGACAATTGATTTACTCCATTCAAAGTAAGACTGGCCAAAGAGCGTTGAATTGGACAATAACAATAACCGTCTCTTCATTGTGACAACAATTAACAAACAATAATAATAATAAACGAACCAAAAGTAAATCAAGTTTAATTGTTTTCCAAAAATTGAATGAAAAAAAAACAAAACAAAATCAAAAGCACTCAAAATGATGAGACTGATTTTCATCTGAGTGTTGCCATTGGCAACGACAAATCGATCAATTCAATTTCATCTAATCATCAATTAACTGTAGAAATCAATTTAATTGGACAATGTAATCAAAATTATTACGAAAATCAGCTAATTGTGATTAGATTGCGAGAATTGAAAATGTTAGTCAATAGATGTAGCTCATGATTCTCAATGTTAAGTTACCATGTAATTGGAATTGTAATTGTGTTTGTTGATCTTTAATCTTTATTATGATTAAGTTAATTAATGAAAGAAAATGTTTACACAATGTTCACTTGTTTTGTATAAGAGAAACTTGAATAATTATTTTTGTTTATTTGTTGCCGTTCATTATATTACAATTTAGATTGTTGTAATTATTATACTACTTGTAATTCCTTTGCCAAAATCATGGGCTGATTATTATTGTTCAAGGAATACAGAGAGAGAGAGAGAGATAATTGATTAACAACTTAAAAGTTATTAAGAATGAAAAAAAGTGAGATGAAAGATATATTATGAGAGAGAAGGAGAGAGAGAGAGAGAGAGCAAATACACAGCGTTAAGTATTAGAAAAAAGACTTAAATTGTTACAAGATTGCGTTCAGATGTATTCTCCAGCTTAGAATTAGTTAATTTAGTTAAAAATTTGCTTTCAAATTGTAGTATTTGATTTCTCATTGAGTTTGTTGTTGTGCTTCCGAAAGTTTGAGATTTTGTTTCTTCGTCAACATTGTTACAATTGATGATTTGATGATTTCAAGGTTGATGATTTGCGTTAATTTGTTTGTTTCAGTGTGTTTATGAGTGTCAATTTGTTTATGTGTGTATGTGGTTGAGTGTGTGTATGTGTGTGTTTTATGGTAGATCCTTTGGTGAACACACATGGTGGATGAGGAATGATCATGAGAAATTAATCAAAATGAAAGGAAATTAAAGATGATGAAAGAAAAATTTTGTCATGATTCTCATGATGTTGATGTTGATGTAGAAGTTTAACAAGTTTTATAAATTACAATCAATTTAGGCCAATAATATGATTCAACAATTGAGCAAGAATCGGCATTGGTGATCGGCTTTTTGATTTGATTTTACTCTAATGAGTACTTTGAGATGTCCAATACTGGAAGATTCAACTGAGAGTATTTTGTTGATTGATTAAAAGTTAATGATTTTTTTTTTGGATTCTAGCTGATACAGTAACTATTAGATGCGATCACTTTTTTTGTGTGTTTGTTTGCAGCAAAGATGTAACGAAAATCACACTCTTGTATCCTCAGGAGTAGCCAATGGACATTTAACATTTCTGTAGATTCCAAATAGATGATGATGGTGATAATGATGATGATGCGGTGAAGAAAAGATGAGATGAGATAAATTAGTTGACGATGATAATAGAGTGTTGCATAGCATCGGACAAAATGATAGAGGTCACAATTAAAGCAAATGGTCACTCAAGGAAAAGATTATATTTGCATTGGGATGATTGATCAAAGCAAAATTGGAAAGCAAATAGTAAAATGAATATAAAATGAAGCAGGAAAGTTGAGAAGGGTTTTTGAGAGATGATAAGTGAGTATCAAAAAGCATCACAAGGAGGTGGAAAGAAATTAATCAGATCTGTCACAAAACAATCCACAATTATTGTAAGCGTGCGGATGAGCTTTTTTTTTGTTCTGCTTGTGCATTAGCGAGTTCATTTTGTAAATAAGAGACTCACAGCACAATACAACTTACGCCAATAACCGTTGTCTCTCCTCCGGTATTGTTTCAAGAGGTAATTCTGTTGGGTGTCCTGGTTTACCTCCTGGTGGGGATGGTGATATCTCAGCATCTTCATCGATCGGTCTCACATCATGATCATGAAATCCTGTTCCACGTAATCCTAAACGATCTCCTGGACTGAGGTTATCTCTGTAATCTTGTTCATCTTCTTCAGGAATATCATCTTCTTCCTCTGGATTAGGTTCATTTTCTTCTTCTTTAACACCTTCTAAGGTTGTTGTTCTTTTTGGAGGAATGGGCTCATTTCCGGTGAGGACAAGTTTCTCTTTTTCTTCTTCTGTTCCATCTTCATTTCCAAGTTTCTTCATTTCACCTTTCTCCTTGTCAACCTCATCAAGAGATTCTGGTCGACAGCAAATGTAGCAACCCAAGCAAAGTTCACAGATCACTTGGACGAACCATAAAATGCCATAGATAATAGAAACACCAACAATATAATAATTGATTTGGCTGGAATATAAGAATTCCTTGACCACAAGCCAAACAGAAAGGGCCAGTGGTGCACAAAGAATCAAAGCAGCAGTGAAATGGAGACAAACAAGATGACTGTAAACGATTCCAATGAAACAAAAACTCGCCATAACGAAGAAAAATCCAGTGACCACATAAGAAAAGCTCAGCACGCCCAGTGCTACGCTGAACTCAGTTATTAACTGGGGCCCGATGAGCAGAATGCTCAGAGCAATACCCAAAATGGTCAGAAGAATAAGCAGAAGATTATCTACAAGCAAAACAATTTTAAAAAATCTGGCAGACATGGTGAAGAAGATAAAATTGATTATAAATTTGCTAATTAGCAGGAACAATTAGAAGTAAACAATATGCAGTTTCTGGTTAAAAAGGTGAAGTCTTTTTCTGTTTTCTCCAAAGATTCACTCAATTGGTGAGATTTACTTTTCCTTCCCAGTTAAATGTCTTAGGTTTTGATACCAAGGTAATGAACCCTTGGGTGTGATGATGAGGATGGAGAAAAGCAATAGGGCTACATCCAAATGGCTTAGAAGATATTGAAACAAATCAAAGTGTTGATTGTAAGAGACAGATAGAGAAAGAGAGAGAGGGAAAAAGGAAGATGGAAACAATCAATCAATGGTCAAGATGAAGGAGAAAACACACAATCAGCAACAGGATAATTCCAATTCGACAAGTATCACCATTAAATTACCGCCAACCAGGCAAAAAAAAATTCACTGGAGAGGAGAAAGAGAGAGAAAGAAGAAAGAAAGAAACAAGATGTAACCAGAATAGAAAGGTAGGTTTTAGAGATTCATACAGATATAGCTGGTTCTTTTCTGTTGCTTGTTAATGGAGGGAAAATGAGAGATGAAAGTTAAGGAGAGAAACACAATTGTTAACAATTGGAACACAGAAAATGTTGAGAGTCTTTTTAATCTGCAAACCAAAACGAGTGAAAGATGAAAGAAATGATCAATTTAACAAAGTAAATATTTAGATGAGTAAGTGAACAATTAAATTAGTCGAAGAATGAAATTTAAAGATCGATTGAAAGGTAGAAATTGTTGAAGAAAATTAATTGTAAACTAAAAAGTGAATTAAAAAGACACTTCGCAGACAAGATGGAAAAGAGAAAAGAAAAGAAAGAAAGAGAAAAAGAGAGAAAAACCAACACATACAGAGAGAGAAAAAGTGAAGGAAAACTAAACCCAACCAACAGTTTCTCTCTTCTCTTTCTCTTTTCTCTTTTCTCTCTCTCTTCTTCTTAGCTTCTCTTTCCTTCGCAGAAGCTTTCATTTAATTTCTCCTCCTCTTTTTCTCTTTCCCAGTCCAACTCCGTTTCTCTCTCTCTTCTTTCTCTCACCCTTGCGAAAGAGAAACTCCAGTGCGTCAAATTTTCCTTTCCAAATTCTAAGATTCAGCTTAACATTAACATCTCTCTCTTTCTCTCTCAACACGCTACCAATGTTGTTATCCTAACAACAGAATAAAAACTGGACATCATCATAATACATTCTACACTTTTTTTGTTATTTTTTTGTCTCTCATCTTCTCTCTCCCTCTTTTCATCATCATCTTCACCCACAATTGAATAATATTCATTTCATAATATTATCTTTTTCTCGCCCTTCATAGTATTTCCTCCTTCTCCTCCCTCACTCTTTCTTTTCTCTCTCTCTCACTCTCATTTTCTCTTCTGCACCATTTTTACTTTTTCTCCTTCTCTCTCTCTCTCTACTTTGCTTTTCTTCCTCTTCTTCTCCCTTTCTCTCCTCTCTCTCTCTCTCTTTCTGTGTCTATCATTAAGTGTATCAAAAGTACCACACCCAATCATCATTGCCCCGAAATGTTCATCTACATGATGATCACCATCATCTCCAGGACAGTTTCCCATTGAATATCAGGGTAACAATATCATCTTTGGAATGATTCGTATCTCCCAATCAATTATTCTCAACAATATCAATTGAATATACTAATCAACCTGTTTGATGGAAAATCAATTTACTCAACTAAATTGTCATCTAATCTCAAATAACAAAACTCATATTCTATTATTTTAATCACATGGACGCAACATCATTATCATCGTCGCCCATTAATTTTTATACTTGATCATTATTTTCACATATTCACCCAACTGAGACTAGTGTTAAATCATCAAAATTAATTGTAATTAGTCAACTTACAGTTACAAAACACTTAAGCGAATGACTTTTGTATGATTATTATAACAATCAATTGAAATGAATTAGAGTTTCAACATTTTCTCTAGTAATAGTTAATCAAATGTATATTCACAATCAGATTAAACGTCATCAACGTTAATTTGATTTAATATTAACTTTTCTCTCTCTCTCTCCATCATATCATATAATTTAAATTGATTGTTGACTCTTTTCACCATGAAAATGTCAACAATTAACTTTACAATGGCCATTTAATACTCGTCATAGTAAATTTTTAAATTGTTGAAAGTTAAATGAACTGTGTTGACAATTTAGTTACAATCAAAATGAATAGTCAACAATCAGTAATCACAATCTTAACGTTTTTTAATTTTTCCTTTCATCATTTAACTCAGAATTAAATTGTTGCGATGAAAGTAAAAAAAAAGGTGAATGGACTTTTAATTTACTATTAAATTTACTAATGGAAATGTGATTAAGTTTAATGAGAAATGATGATGAAATTAATATTCTAGTTGAACATTTAATTAGCGTTATTTTAATTGAAATGATTAACTAATATGATCGACAACAAGAAAATCAGTTAATTGGTGAAGAAAATTTTGTCAACAGAAACAAATTAAATTCCGATGGAAATTTTAATCTCCTTTAATTACCATTAAGTCCACTTACCTTCAGAACTTTTTTCCGCCGAACTCATGGAGAAGAAAGAAAGAAAGAAAGAAAGAAAGAGAATTTTCTGTTAATAGGTGACATAAGATTCCAAGGATAACAACATTATAACAGAATTCTCGCTTCTCTGTCTATTTTTACTCTTCTCTTTCTCTTCTCACTGTCTATTTATCTTCAGGATGATGATGATGATGAAGAGATACCTGGCCAACTAGATCAGTAAATATCTTCATCTTTTTCAGCTCAACTTGTTTGGTAACTTTTATCATCTTCAGATTGATGAGCTTTACTTGGATTGTTGTTCATTACCAACTTGAGCTATTCCTTTAATCATCAACACATCATTATAATCAACAATTTAATGACTAACTTGATTGATAATCGCAGAGTAAATTATTGGTTAACTTCAATCAAGTAATAAGTAAACAATTAAGAAAAAAGTTTTTCGAGTCAATTTCAATTCGTTGAAAAAACAATATTGATTGTGAAGTGATCATGATGATTGGATGATTGTTATTATTAATTAAAGAAGATGAAAGTGAAAATTGAAAGTAGATTGATCAATAATTGATCAATTTTTCTTGTTGTCGCAATTAAAAATCTGCTATGATTTATTTAAAATCCTATTGATTGGTTTTCATCTTCAAATCAGTAAATGTTTAAGGTCAAGAGATTGACCAAGTACCATAAAGATAATGGTAAAAAAAGATGACCAATACCTCATTTCCACTTTACAATTAACATAACAAGTTCCAATTAATCAGTTGAAATTATATTTTTGGAATCTTGATTGTGTTAATCAACTGAAGATGAGATTTAGACGATTGAGTGATAAACGATTGATGCTATTTACCATTTGCTTCATTGGGTGTGTCTATCAGCTGACTTCAGTTACTTACAGTTACTTGAATTTCATGACAAGGACGGAGATCACATTTAAATATCCGACCTCAGTTACGATTCCTGAGATTGACATCGCCGTTCCAATAGCAAATATAATCAATATGAGTTCACTTTACGAAAAATATCCGGAAGATATGGTTGACCTTTGTCTTTATATTCATCGTGATAAAAATTGGACAATCAACTCGACCCAAGATTTTAATGAACATTGTTCAACTATAGGTGAGACCACCGTACTTACTAACGAAAGGTTAGTCGCAACGGTCACTCTTGGGGATGTTGAAGAATTGACCGAAGACCCGAGAAAAATGATTCGTGGTGTTTATTTTGACGATTATGAGATCAACTTGATGAGTGCTAATATTTGTCTTATCCACAAATACTTCAACGGAATTTATGTATTCCTAAGAATCTCATGTCGAGAAGGTTCTAAGCCGATCGATAAACAAGTTCTACAAACGTTCAGCGGAAACTCTTACTTACTTTGTATCGAATTGTTTACTGACATCACCTTCGGCTTCAACTTTTCTCCAGCTAATAGTTCCCTGGCGGCTCGACTTCGACAATATGTGATCGTAGATCCAAAGCCCGATGCTGGAAGGTTCATTTATGCTCGATGGCATCGGTTTGTTTCCTCTTCGCTACCTTGGCCTTATGAGACTCAGTGTGAAAATTACGACAGGTCAAAAACACTAGTCAATTGTATTGACAGTCGACTACTTCGATCGGATAAACCGGCCATTTTCATCGATTCGATTATCCCGTTTGGTAACTATTCGCCGAACCTTAAGTTTGCCGATGATGTTCTAACAGGATATGATCGCAAAGTGTTGGACAAAATTTTCCAAGACTGTCAAACCCTCATAGAGAGACCAGAATGTGAATCGGTCATTTATCTCACGACTTTCAATGAGCACACAGAGGCCACTAACGGGGTCGAAGACAACGAAGGTATTTCTCTTTGTCTAGGAACACCTCTTGATACCGATACTTACTATCAAACTTTACCTAAATTTACACTGATCGAATATCTAATTTACATAAGTAGTATATTAGGTATTTGGTTTGGTATTTCGATTTATGGACAATTAAATAGTCGACATCGTCATCTTCACTCAATTCCAAACGTTTCAGATCATATCGAACTCGATGCTGATAAAAAATGGTGCAAAGTGTCACGAATGCGAAATGTTAAACCTAAAACTTTGGTCGAAACACTAAAAGTTTGAAACGATATGTTTATCGATTCGCCTCGAATATTCAACAATTAAATGGATACACGAGTACATAGAAATTTGATTGTTGATTTCGATTCAATTCGCTTAATTTCATGGTAATTGGATGATTCTGATTAAAGAGAAATGTCCATGAATTTTCATCCGATCAAATTATCAAAGTTTCAATCATTTTAAAGTTTTCAACTTTTTTTGCGTTCAAATTAATGTACCAATTGAAATTGTTAGCGTTTTCTTGTTCTCAATTCATTAACTATCCCTTCTTGTTATTTACTAATTGTTGTAATAAACTTGTTTCTTTTGTAATCAAGTTACATTGTTCAATTTCAAGGTTGATTGATTGGAAATAATTTCTCTCTCAATTCATCATTTTAAACATTTTCGTATTCATTGTTAGTTAAATAAACAGTAGTTGAAAACAAAAACAAAGCAAATTCATGATTAAGATTAGTTTACTCTTGAGATGAATCTTTAATTGTCCATAATCATTTGACTAATCAATTGACGATTAATCAGTTAAGAGATAGTTTATTAGATTGTGGCAATATTACTATTAAAAGTATTTTCTTTTCAAAAACTTTCTACAATCATATTTGTTGTTTTCTTCAAACCAGAAAGTTAATTAACTTTTAATCAACGACCATTAACCGTTTCCTTATACAATTAACGAACTAATTTAACCAGAATGATTTGTTTATGCTCAATGGTGAGTAAGAAAACGATGAGACTAACTTGAGAAATACAGAATGAAGAAAATAAAAGTTAGTAAATTACGATAGTAGATTATTAATGAACCGATCGCCGAGATGATTGAGAATACAGGGTACACCAAGTTTCCATCGAGTTTCTTTTGAAGTCTCTTTTGTCTTTCGAAATTTAGACCTCAGACTCGAGTTGTGAGGGTTCAGATTACGATTTTATATCGATCGTAATATCGACAAACACGAGGAATAAAAAATGCCAACGATCTTAAAATTATTAACGAAACTATGATTGAAATCGTAATCGAAACGAGACCTCGAATGTACTAATTTCTCACGTAATTTACGCAACAATCGAATTGATTATCGAATATAATAATTAATTTAAGAGCATGAAAGTTGCGATAACGTTGTGATTAGTAAATTAATAATTTGGAAACAATGATCAATATATTTGTCAATTTTTTTCCAATCAACAGATTTTTATTATTAATTAACAATCTTATTGATTGATTTTCATCTCAAATCTCATCAGTAAATGTTCAAGGTGTAGAGATTGGCCAAGAACCTTAGAGATGGTAAGATGACCATTTATACATAACAAGTTTCAATTCTAATTGTGTTGATCATTTGATTGAAATATGAGGTTCAGGCGATTAAATAATAAACGATTGATTCCTTTTACTGTTTGTTTCATTGGGTGCGTCTATCAGTTGACTACAGTTACTTATAATTGTTTACTGTTCATGACAAGAACGGAGATCATGTATAAATATCCGACCTCAGTTACGATTCCTGAGATTGACATTGCGATTCCAATAGCAAGTATCATCAATATGAGTTTACTTTATGAAAAATACCCGGAAGATATGGTTGGCCTTTGTCTTCATGTCCATCGTGATAAAAATTGGACAATCAACTCGACCCAAGATTTTAACTTGCGTTGTACAACAATAGGAGAAGCGACAATGCTTACTAACGAAAAATTGGTCGAAACGGTGACTGTCGGTGATATTGAGAAAATGACCGAAGATCCGATAAAAATGATTCGTGGTGTTTATTTTGACGATTATGAGATCAACTTGATGAGTGCTAATATTTGTATTATCCACAAATACTTCAACGGGATTTATGTATTCCTAAGAATCTCATGTCGAGAAGGTTCTAAGCCGATCGATAAACAAGTTCTACAAACGTTCAGCGGAAACGCTTACTTACTTTGTATCGAATTGGTAACAGACATCACCTTCGGCTTCAACTTTTCTCCAGCTAATAGTTCCCTGGCGGCTCGACTTCGACAATATGTGATTGTCGATCCAAAGCCTGATTCGAGTAGGTTCATTTATGCTCGATGGCATCGATTTGTTTCCTCTTCGCTACCTTGGCCTTATGAGACTCAGTGTGAAAATTACGACAGATCAAAAACACTAGTCAATTGTATTAACGATCGACTACTTCGATCGGATAAACCGGCCATTTTCATAGATTCGATTAACCCGTTTGGTAACTATTCGCCGAACCTTAAGTTTGCCGATGATGTTCTAACAGGATATGATCGCAAAGTGTTGGACAAAATTTTCCAAGACTGTCAAACCCTCATAGAGAGACCAGAATGTGAATCGGTCATTTATCTCACGACTTTCAATGAACACTCAGAGACAACTCATGGGGTGGAACTCTACAAAGGTATAACTCTCTACTTAGGGACACCTCTTAATCCCGATACGTACTATCGAGCTCTACCCAAAAATACACTAATAGAATATCTAATTTACATAAGTAGTATATTAGGTATTTGGTTTGGTATTTCGATTTATGGACAATTCAACAGTAAACATCGTTCGATTCAAAGTGCTTCAAATCATTTTGATGCTGATACTAAGAGATGGTGTAAAGTGTCACGAATGCAAAATGTCAAGGTCAAAGTTATGGACGAAAATTTTGAAAAAGTTTGAAATATCACCAACTTTCTTGAAGCTCCATCAATATCCATTCAGTTTCCGATGTAGGGTCTTGAATATGATGAAAACTAACACGAAATAATTTTTCGTTTCCTTGTAATTGAATTTCTGTCATAATGTTTACAATTAATAACAAGACAAGAATAAATTAATACGAAATTGTAGTTGATTTATTCTGGATGGTTAGATGAGTATTCTTGTTATTGAACTTCAAGAAAATTTTATGGAAATCGATTGGTGAACATTGGATCGCATCAAAGTGCTGATATTTGTACAGTGTTTTAGTTAATATTAAGGAAAACAGTAGCTACCAGTTTATTTGTCAATGGAGATTTTTGATTGGGCGAAAAAAGTTCATCTATTAGAAAATATCATAAACAAAATTCATTTAACTGATCAAATGATTATCGAAAGAAATGAAAGTCGTAAGATCCTGAATCGTTTGCCTTTCATTTATGATCAATGGGCTTATGTTCGGGTAACGGGAAAGGGAAATTAACGTAGCTTTGATAGGAAGTATAGTCCATTGCTGTTCCGTGAACAGATAAACGAGGTTTGGCCAATGAAGCGGCTAATGCATTGGCTCCCATTTGATTGGGTGGAAATTGTCCAACCAAAGGGAATCGTAAATTGGGTGCGGGAAAAGAGGCACCAGGATTAATGGCCGATACTGGAGCAAGAAATGACGGAGTCATTGAGGTAATTGTGGGTATTGGTGACATTAAGCGTACATTTGCATTTGGTATGATTGAATTTTGAGTACCAATGGTTGGAATTGTTGATGCAATTGGAAATCGAGGTGAATTTGTTGCTGGAATCAAATTGTTTACAGGCTCAATTAGACCGATCGCAGATCCTAACATTTGAGCTTGTAAGGGTATTGGAGGTGGTGGTGGTGGTGGCAGAAGAGAAGGTTGTACAGTTCGTGGCATGGGAATAGTTTTATCCGATGTAGTTATCGGTTCTAAAGAATATTAAAGTAGAATAAACAAATAATTAATGATTAAAAGGAGAGAGAAAACAGTAAACAATCAAGGCAGAGATGAAACTCTTCAATCCTTAAGATTATTGGACGTACTTTCTGACACTGATAATGTTAAAGATCCTTGAGCAGAGGTGTTTGTTTGTTTTGGCACCTGAAGAGAGAGAGAGAGAAAGAGATTTAGTTAAGTGGAATGATTAGTTTTCTCACTTGAATATTTTACACGTACAGAGCTCGTTACAATATTGGTGGACGATGGAGGAGTAGGACTGGCTGGTGGTGAGTCTTGAGGAGTATCAGGAATCGGAAAAGAGTAAAGATCTAAAACTTGGTGACAAATATCTTCTAACAGTTCCATAGTTAAATCCTCGACAAAAGTGTCCCACCAGCGCTTATGATGGGGTAACCTTCCTTCCCAATCGACAACTTCAAATCGAGATAATTTACCAGCCAAGAAAAACAAAGCAATCGCAATGATCTCTGGTTCCCATTGAAGACAAATAGTTGTACACAAACTGAAAAGACAAATAAACAAAATTATCATGATTATCATTAGTTATTGGAATAGAATTTCATTCAAATTAATCTCTCCAACAAACCTATCGTTTATAAAGGTCCAGGCCATTTGAACGACTTTCTGTAATTTCTCCTTGTCACCTTTCAAACTCTTGGCATATTTGATGAGGAAAGAGTAAGGATGATCAACTTGTAAATCGAAATTAATTGTTTGAAGGAGAATTCTTTCCAGTGTTAATACTTCTTCCTTAGGGTCATCACCAAATAGAGCAAATTGAGCATCGGTCAAAAATTGTCTCGCAGTTTTTATAATATCTTTACACTTTTTAGGTGTTTCTTCAACTTTACCAGCAAGAAATAAACAAGAACAGGCTGTTTCAAAGCGAGGAAATTGTTTGAATGAATGACACATGTAAAAACGATGAAAGTAAACAACTCCAGTGGCCATGGTGTCATAGCGAAGATTCATCTTGGTACCAACTTTAATGATAAATCGAGCACCTTCTCGGCGATATCTTTGCTCCTTCTCGAATGATATTCCATCCAAAATTGATGGTGTTTTACGAAGTGAAACTTTATCAAAGTACCAATTAGGCATTCTCATCCTATTTGTTTCTTTCCAAGTAAGATGAAACTATTCTGAGCTTTAATCTCAGTGAGAAACCTGTAAATATAAAATGAAATTGATTAGAAACACAAACAGTAAACAAGATCAAAGGTAATAATCAAAATGTAAACAAAGAGACAGAAAAACAGTTTGAGGTTACGGAGAAATTGCTAATTACTATTACATTGACTACTCTTGATGGTGATTTTCAACACTTCAATTATATTCTAGAGCATTAGTAAGATAATGGGGAAATTATTGATCATGTCAATCAAATAATCAACAATTGATTGACAATTTACACTATATAACAATTGATCATTCATTTACAAAGAGAAACATAAAATGTAAATACAAAAGAGTGGAAATGTTTACAAAGGTTAATTCATCTCTGGTAGATTATTTTTCCTGGTCAATCTTACCTTTTTTACCTTTAATCTAAATTAAGGTGAGATGAAGATTGTCAAATTATCAGTAATTGTTGAGGGAAAATGATGGTAGTAAACAATTAAACACCGAAGGAGCAAAAAGTTATATTCTTAATGAACAAATGTCTATGTGAGTTTTAGATTGGAGAGGTGAGAATATGGTTGTTGATTGAATTGGAGAAAATGAACAATTATAAATAGAAAATAATCTTTTGGATCATCTTGGAATAGATTTAAATAGTTAATTAAATTGTGGAATTAAATTGGAAACAATTGGTTGACCAAAAAAAAAGCGAAATTCCAAATTTAGAGAAAAAAAGAAAATGTAAACAAAAACATAGAAAAAGAGAAAATCTTGAAGAGAGAATAAGAGAAAAATGTTTTTCTCTTCTCGAGATTCAAAAGGAACAACATTCGATTCGATATCAATACTTTTCTCAATCTCTTAACTTTCATTCGCAATTAGTTTAGAAAAGGAAACAATTTAAATCGATCACCAATCAAAGATAATTAATAAATTTTCTCGAAATGTGAAAGGTTGATAATTGTTCACAAGTTAATCTAATGATTTCCAATTGTTTTCCTTTGAAACTTTGATTAGATTTTTACAATTTTCTATCTCAAACAAAATGGATATTTAAATTACAATCAAACCAATTAATGGTTTAAACAATTTAATTATCTTCTATATCTATTGATGATATTGACAAGAATTCGGTTGTTATTTGTTAATTAACTTTTCCAAAACTTTGATGAGTTGAAAGTCTCAATCTAATCAATTACGATGATGAAATTTTCATGGTAATCAAATCAATCCTATTCTTTAACCTCTCGTTTAGTCTGATGATTTACAGACCCAATCAATTGATTTAATTATAGTTGAATTTGATTCATGAAATTGTATCAGTACTTTGATTAGTAAGACTCATCATCGACATCTTAATTGTATCATTTGTGTGAATATAAAGTATTTATAATGATAATTAACATCACCTGGCACATCCGTAATTTAGATTAAGAGACCAATAACAATTAAAAAAAATTCGTGTTCCAATAAGAAAATTAAAAGTAATTTGATTAATACTAATTAGATAATCTCATTTGAACCAACAAGTTTATAAATGAATTTAAAAGAATTATAATTTTAATTGTGTGACAATTAAATTGATCAGAACAAATAAACTAATCTCTTCATACTTATCACTCTAATCATCATACATTTTGGTACAATCCTCTTTGGCCTTTGGGCTTAAGGGTCCCCTCAATGTAATTGTACATATTTTTTTCTGTAGAAATGATTAATCAACTTCTAAATGATCAACAATTAAGATGAAAACAAAGAAAAAAAAATGATTCAATTGATTGGAAATGAGAAACTTAATTGAAAGTTCTGACACAAGAACAAGAAACACTTTGGTTGAATTAATTTCCACCCAAAATTGGTGAGAAAAGTGAACAAGAGATGTCACCAGGTTTGAACTTTTTATTCTAAAATCCACTAGATGGCGTTGGAATCGAAAAAAAACTTAAACGTTCATTCATTTTGATTCATTCACAAAAATGAGTGAAAGTGAAACGTTAGCAAATTCACCAAGAAAAGTTTTTTGTTTGTTGGATAATTAATCAACCTACTTGTTACTGGTGATGACAATTAACTGTGACTTTTTTGTAGAACAATTTTGTCCACATATGTTTATTGAATAAAATCTCATCAATCAACGATAATCAATTTGGTCAATCAACTGATTGAGTAAAAACTTTCTGATTACATTGAAAGTGTTTTCCATTTGTTGTTTTGTTTTCGTTTCCAATTGTTGCTCATCAAAATGTCTAATCCTAAAAGTATTGGTGAGATTATCGGTGATTGGGGACGTTGGCAAACTAATGTATTCATGTTTGTTATCGTTAATTATATTCTACAATCGTACAACAGTATGTCCTATTCATTTTATGCTCCAACAACTAAATTCTGGTGTGCTGATTATCCTTCATCTCAGGTGAGAATATATTGATTGGATTACCTTTAGTTATTGTTGATTAACTGACAATAAGTATCATCTTTTTCAGAATGAAACATTAACTGCTACTCAAAAATGTAACCAATTTGCTGATTGTAAGAAGTGGGTATTTGATGATACCTTTGATTCAACAATCATCTCAGAGGTAAGTGAAACAATTAACCCATTAAACACTTATAATTGTGTAAACAACAATTGATCACAAATCTTGACTGATTGATTGATAATAATTATATTAACAATCAACAAGTTGAATAAATAAACCTGTTGAAAAATGTTAATTCTCAATCAAATATTATATCATCAGAATGATCAAAGGAAAACTTAATTTGATTGTTTATTTAGATTTTTGTAGAAGAAAAAAAATCAACAATCAATTTGATATTTTCTTGTTGATTTATTGAGAGAGTGAGAGAGAGAGAGAGAGAAAATCGATTGTTCTAAAAAAAGTTCAAGGTAATTATCAAATAGAAAGTGAATTAAATTATGATTAAGCTAAATGATCAAAGAATAGACTTTATTTGAACATCAGTTTCCTATCAATTTCACAACAATTTAATCAATTGAATCGCTTTTCCTCCTCTAATTAATCGTTCAATTACCATCAATTGTTTAGATCAATAGTTAATTGTTGTATTAATAACAAAATGAAATTTTATCTTCATCATCAATTTTCAATCTAATTCAGTCTCATGGTGAATTCATGTGACATTGGAATTATTGAAAATCAATAAAAAGTGATTGCAGAAAAATCCTTAGACAATTTAGTCTCTTGATCATCTCAATTGATTAGTAAATTGTGATACAATCTTTAGTTTTTTTCTTCTCTATTAAAAGTAATCATTATCATTTATCTTTTTAGCATCTTGTACATTATAGTAAATTGGATACACTTTAACCAAATCCATATAACTGAATTAAGGAAAAGTAAACTTGATCCTCTCTCTCTCTCTCTCACTGAATCCTTGAAATGCTCATAGACCATGAAATTGAAATCATGAAGTGAACAGAAAAAAGTGAAACTCCATAGACTCCAGAGTAAAGTTTAAAGTGTGAAAATGTTACGATGATATTTTGGACATTCAGAGTAACCGATTTAAAATTGGATTTAAAAGAAAATTGAACTTGAAACTGAATAAACACAACAACAAGAAGATGATGATGATGAACAAAAAGCAGAAAATGATGCGGGTTGATGAAGATGAAGATGAAAATGAGGATGAACGTGAAGATGAGAGAGAAAGAAAGGGAGACTTGAAGGTAAACAAATTAAAAGAAACCAGGATAACCTGAGGTTATCAATTCTATTCTTAGGAAAGGTGATCCATTTAATAGCAACATAAACAAATGTTATTAGAATTGTGTTGACTTTCCCAATCCATCTTGACAGACCATCGACCAAATCAAATTACCTTCAATGTCCAATGGGAAATGGGATAAACAGTCTTCCTTTATTTAGAGGGAGATCTTTTTCTATTTCATCATCACCTCTCTCAATTCGCTCTTTCTCTCTCTCTCTCTCTCTCTCGATCTCCTTTTCCCTCTTCATCTTTTCCACTTCTTTTGCCTTTTATCATTGACTTCATCTTTTCCTTTTCCTTTTCCACTGGTCCTTTACATTTTTTTTTTCTTCTCAACTTTACTCTTCATCTTCTTTACGAGTTTGGAATGTTAATGAAATTTTCTCATCTTATCCATTGTTCCATCTTGAATCTTTTCTATTTCATATTCTCTTTTTCTATTTTTCCATTTTCTTTTCTTATATTATAATGCTCACGAATTCAGTGGAACCTCATTTGCAATAGAGCTTGGTTATCATCTTTAACTCAGACTGTTTTCATGATTGGTTATATTCCAAGTGGACTGATTCTCGCTTTAATTGCTGACAGAATTGGACGAAAACCTATTCTTTGGTCAAGTTTTGCATTAGAAATTTTCTCTGGAATATCTTGTATTTTCTCATTTTCTATTTGGCAATTCATCATATCGAGATTATTACTTGGAATCGCTGTTTGTATTCGAGGCAATGTACTTTTCGCTCTATGTAAGATTATCCGTTTTTTACTCTCTCTCTCTCTCTCTCTCTCTCTCTCTCTCTCTCTTGAAGTTTACCTTTTAACTTAAACATTCAATTACTTTATTGGATTTACTTTTAATCCTCTGAAGGAAAATTCATCACGAAATTGACTGAAATTTGACAAAATCATCAAAAGCTAAACCACTTAGAGAAACAACAATTTACCGTTAACTTTCATATACAATCTGCTTTAAGATGATTGTTATTATTATTTCATATCCTGAGATAATTCCAGTCAACCTTTGATTCCTGATACAACAATTAAACTGCGTACATTTGATAAACTTATACTGGTGATTGTTGATTAACACTTTATATCAGATATTGTTACATAATATTTTTCTAATATTTAAACAAGAGGAAGACATTCACAATTAATCAACAATCATTTACCATTTCTAATAATAATAATTGATTTGATCATGATTATCCTAATCAGTATGAAACTTGACTTTAACCAAATACTTTAACCAATTACAATCTAAAAATAAAATCTGATCATGTGATTGAAAGATCTTGAATTTCAGGTGATCATTTTAGTATTAAAATTGTATTAATCTGATTGACTGATTAATTAATCATTGGTTAAACACCACCAATTTAACCAATGGTTTCACTGCAATTAACTAATAACATTCAACAGGTTTGATTGTATCTTAATTGATTCACTAATCAGAATTGAAGTTTTTTTCTTTAATCAAAACTTCAACACTCATTCATTTATACTTTTAAATTGTTGATAAAATTTCACATCAACTTTTGTATTGCCTGTTTCTTGTCAGTCAATCAATTCTGTCATGTTTATCCATTCCCATGAAATCTAATCTCAGTTATTAATATTTGGAAAATTTAATAATATGTAAATAGGAAAATTTGAATGGAATCAAAATCGACAGGAAAATTTTCCCTTCGAAACTCTTTCGAAAGTCAAATGAACTGTTCAGTAAACGATTCAGTTGATCTCAGGTTTTGATTTGATGTTGAAAATGATCACACAATTTGATTATATTCTGGGCGATTATCAGTATTGATAATTGGTTGTTGATCATGATGGATATTTCCATCATGTTATCAGTGATCTTTGGTGATGAAAAATCACAATTTCCACTCACTAGTCCAACAATTAACTCTCACTCATTGATACTTACACAAGATTTAAAAGACAATTTGATTTACACAATAAATGCTACCTAATATTTAGAAAGTGATTACAATAAGCTGTCAAATTGACATTATTTACATAGCTGTTAATGTCAACCTATTAAGAGGATAAACAAGTCTAGGTAAACAGAGATGGAGATAAGATTAATACAAGAAGATAATTTTTACCGTTAATCAATTTATTAATAACTGAAAGTAACAATCAAATGTGAACAATTGTCAATATCATTACAATAACTTTAATTTTCCTCCTCCATCTATCATTGTTATTATTGAATCAAAGGTCTAGAAAGTTATCAAATGATTAAGAAAAAAAAAGTTGATAGAAAACAATGAAACAATTAAATTTTCACATTTCCAACCAAATTAACTTTGTAACAATCAACTTAATGGTAACACATTTAAATGATTAATCATTTTGACAGTCACATTGTAGGTCCATCATCTTATCATATAACTTTAATAATCTCTCCTTTTTTCACAAGTTAATCACAATTAATATTCCAATTCTGATTGGAAACTTTTTCTCATTAACTTAACAGTTACTTTCCATTGAAACTAAATTGAGCAAAGTTTTGTATACACTTAATTTGATGTACAATATGTTCAGTGTCAATATTAATCAATTGCAAAGGGAAAGTGTATATGAAAAGCCATATAAACGGTGGGAAGCCTTTAATCATTATATTGAATTCTAACAATATAATAACATTGAATAGGACAAAATTAAGGCAAAAGGGCATTCGAGAGGTTAGAGTTTAATCAAAATGAGGCTTAGAGTTGAATAGAATGCTAATAATAATAATAATCTAATTTCAATCTAATATCTTATTCACTTCATTGAAATAATAATAATAATCATCATCATTGAGATTGATTTCAATTGACATTAGTGATGATGGTTTATAATATTAAATTTGATATTCTTTGTGCAAAAACAACTTCGATATCAATATTTTTCGAGTGCTTATTTTGGGTGCTAAGGTTTCCCGAAATTCCTTGATATTATATGAATAAAGTAATGATAATCTCGAGTTTGTAATGTTTTTTTTTAATATCTTTCACCATTAGTTTAATATTGAGATTTCTTTAAATGATAATTACAATTGAAAGTTTTTCTATTAATTGTTTATGTTTACAATTGAATGGTTCATGGCTTAGATTTTGGTGTAAATACCTTTCAACTTGATAATATGATTAAGGTAAATGTATCTTGACTTGGATAATGTAATCATTTTTAGACTCAATCAATTTGATTATTGTGGTTTTAGCATTTGGCTTGAGGCTATTTTCTTGTTGTCTCAGTTTGGGGTAATCAGTTTAATCTGATTCTAGGTTTCAAAGAGTTTCAGTTGAATTGTTTTCACTTTATCCTTATTGTTAATATCATTATCTTTTGGCCTCCTATTGATTGGACAGTCTTTGAATCCTGTGGTAAAAAGTATCGAGGTGATGCTGGGATTTTACTCACCGGTGGTTGGATTATCGGATTTATTTGTCTTCCTGGAATAGCTTATTATATACGAGATTTCAGAATTCTTCAAGCATTTGCTACTCTATCAGTTCTTGGATTGGTTATTTGGTCATTTTTCATCGACGAATCAATAAGATGGCAGATAACTCACCAGCAAGAAGAGGAAGCGGAAAAAACCATGATGAAAGCATATCAAATGAATAGAAAGACAAACATAATTGAGGTAATATGATCAATACAATTGCAATTGAAAAAGTTATCATTCAAATTGTTGAAATTTTCTCGTAAATCAAAGTGAATATGATTAATTGTTGATTGATCTTTTGTTCCATTATTATTATTATTACTCGAAACAGGATCGAATCAGGGAGAAAATGTATTCGATTCGTGAATCAATTAAAGAAGAGGCCAAAGAAGAGGAAATTTCAAAGAATCAAAAGCCAAGTTGCCTCGATCTACTTCGAACTCCTCGAATCCGGTTATATACTCTCATCTTTTGGATCGCATTTCCGATCAACTCGTTCATCTATTATGGTATTTCCTTCAGTGTCGGCGGTTTCCAGGGGAATTTGTACCTTAACTTTGTGATCGCTGGTCTTGTTGAAATTCCGGGAATGATATTCACGCTGCTTGTTTGTCGTTATTCGGGTCGGCGTTTATTTACCTCATACAATATGATCCTTTGTGGGCTGACCTGCTTATGCGGACTAATCCCGATCAGTTCGATGCCCAATTTATCAACAATTTTAACTTTTCTCGCTAAATTTTTCATCACCAATTCTTATAATGTTATCATCATACAACAGAATGAAATTTTCCCAACTGTACTTCGCACCGCCGCTGGAGGTTCAATTACAGTCGCATCAAGATTTGGTGCAATGACTGCTCCATTTGCCACACAATTGGTAAGCCCATTAATTAACAACATTATTAAATTTGATTACTCAACAATTAACATGAAGGTTATCAAGTAAATTTGACAATCAAATCATTTTAATTGCCTAAATTGTCAAGATTTCAAAGCTCATTCAATTTGATTTCAATCAAAATTATCCCTCTAATTAAGTTATTAACATTTTCTATTATTGTTTATTAGTATATTTTTTTTTGATTGTTTAAATTGTTTGTTCAATTTCATCAAATTGAATTTATCTAAATCACAATCAGTTGCGTTCACTAATTGAGAGGCAATTTTAATTCATTCAGATTCTCATTGATTGTATCAATTGTATCATAAATTTTGTATCAAATTTATTAATTGTTCTTGTTTTCATCTTACAGATTAATCGGTTTGGTGTTAATTTTATCTTAATTGTTTGGGCTTCCATGGCATTAGTTGGAGGAATTATAACTTTCTTTCTTCCGGAAACTAAATCAATCGATATACCGGATACAATTAAAGGAACTGAAAAAATTGGATTAGATGATAAATGTTAAATAAGAAGACAATCTAATCAATCTAAACAATTACTCTTAATCGTTCACAATTTTAATTGTAATCATTGATTGTTAACTCTCTGTACACTTACACATAAGCAATCAGTCTTAACATTTTTTTTTATCTAAATCAATCTGACTCAATTAATGATAATCTAAATTGTTGTGCTCCCAAATTGTCAACAATCATCACTAATTTTAATCACATTCATCTTGTAAATTAATCATAATATCAGCAAATCAATATTTTATTATTAATTATGATGAAAATCAGAATCAATGTCTTGATCATTTTTCTTTGATATAATTACTATTTAATTAAAGATTCACAGATAATATTAATAAACTAATTACTCTATTAATTACTCAACTTTATGGTTATTGTTAGTTAATCAAAACTAATAGAAAACTGTGTTAACAATAGTTGTTGATTATCAAACAACAATTAACCTTGCAACTTTGTCGTTCGCGTTGTTTTTCATTTCCACTCAAGGAAATATTAATTGTTTGAAATTGGTTCATGAATGAGTAATTCAACAATTAATTAAACAATTAATTGAATTGAAAAAAAGGTCGGAAATGATTATTGATGATATTGGTTCAAGGATTATTCTTTCAAATCATTTATCGAATTACCATATTCGGTTTAGAAATTAATCTCTCTTGATTAGGTGAATTAAAGTTTTGTGATTAATTTGATTTCACCTGATTGTCTGAGGAGATACTTTTAGCATCATATTTACAATTTTTACAGGAAAACATTTCATTATATCAAATTAAATTATGATAGGAACAGTTGATTTCATTCATGGCTTTTTGTTTCAACTTTAAATTGATTGTGAATAATTTAAATTGTTAGTTGATCATATTAGAGTTCAGTGCTCATCTCGTGTAGTTGTAATGGATTATTTTTCAATGGATAACCATTGGTAATCTTTGATGATGGATTAATCTAAGAAGAGAGAAATAAAAATAAAAAAGAAATTGATTAGTCAACATAATTTACTGATTGTTTCTTCTAAACAGTAAATGTTTAAGTTGATTTCTGGTGCTTTATGAGTGATTTAATTACCTGACTTGTAAAATAAGTTGTTGTACTTGGTGGACTTTGAAATGTAACGCGAGGTTGTTGATAAACAGGTTGATCATAATGAGATTCCAGATTAGATTGTCGGCTGATTAAGTGAAAAAAAAAGATTCGAATGGTTAAAAACAATTGATTATCCGATATTTTATATTACTTTTATTCATATTACTTACTTTGTAGATTGATAGATAGCATTAGAATCATAATTATGCTGTTGAATCATTTCATCATTTAGATTATAACGATCTAGATAAGTGTCATTAACAATCGTTCTGGCTCGATCATTGTATTGAACATTTTGGTGACTATTTTGATGTCCATTATATTGTCCATTGTCCATAATAGGTTGAATAACTTGATTCCTTGATTGTTGCAAATCAATATTTGGATTCATCATTTGACCAATGTTATTTATATTTTCACCATTCACGCGTTGGTAAATTTGATTATTATATTGAGCTAAATTACCATTTACAGCCGATCCATTAACATTAGGTGCATGTTGACCATTGTACATGTTGACCTCGTAGGTTTTTCCATTTAAATAATAACCATCGTATTGACCATTAACCATGTCAGCTGTATATTCACCGTAACCTGATGAACTGATACTATTATTGGGCTTGAGGACACCTCGAGGGACACCATATTGATTTGGTACAAACGACCCTTGACTTGAGTAACTAGTATTTCCATGGATTTCATCATTAGTTGATTTGGCATCTGAACTTCCAGAGTTTTGTCTAGAAAAATAATTAGACAATCAGTATCGATTATGTTATTAAAATGATAAATCTTACTTTAAATGCGTCTTAGCGAGGTCATATTTTGCTCTACCCGAATTAGGTGAATAACGAATTTTAAATAGTCTTGAATTATCGGTTCTATTAAAAGAATAAAAGTAAATTAGTAAATTAATTGTTCAGGTAAATGAGTAAAAAAAAGATTCTTACTCGACTCTTGTATAGTTGATGTTGCGTTTGTCTTCTTCAGTCGGAATGATTAAATCATATTCGATGTGCTTCTTAATTTCTTGAGGAATCAAATCTTTTTTCTTTCTCATTCGATTGACTGTTCCATCTGATTGCATTTCATTTTCATTTCCAACCAGTTGATTGTGATAGGAATTGGTAACCATTTGATTATTTCGTTGGGTGTAATCTCTTGTCTGAGCTGTTTGAGCCATGGTTGATCTTGAGATTCCAATTGACTGTAAACCAGATTCTTGTGCTTCCATCTGACGTCTTTGAATCTCTTTCCATTGTTGCTCTGAATCGACCATAGTGAAATTTGCTTCACTACAACACTTTCGCCGACGACGGTGTCTTCGTCTCGATGAATCAGATTCATTTCCACTTTCATCTCCACTTTTTCGACTTTTACATCGATGATGATGAGAATTGGTACTACGACTTGAATGATGGGAATGTCTTGAAGATTTTGAACATCGAGAAACTTCAGATTCAGCGTCTGAAGCTCTTCCACTTCTAGAATAGCCTCTATTGATGGAAGAAGATGAATTCCTTCGGTGATGATGATGATGATGATGATGACTATTGTTTGTTTGACCGCTGATCACGGAAGAGGTGCGATGATTGTTAAGAATCACACTATTGCGTGTTGAATGAGGTGAAACATCACCACAACTTGAGAATAAGCCTCTGAAAAAAAGTAGAAAATAATACAATTAGACTATTAATGTTATTATTGAATGATTATCATTAAATTGTCGTCAGATGATTGAATCATTTAAGAGAGTGTGACTGATTAAATGAATCAATCACGAAACAACAAGGCTTAAAAAAAGCTCATCCAAGATGATGGAGAATGATGAAAAAAGTGAGATTAAGAAATTAAGGTAATTGACAATTTAATCTCGATTCAAGGTAAAGCGCAATCACTTAATCGGAAATGATGTGATGTTCCCACACTTTTACTCAGTTTACTGATCCATTGAAAGAGAGAGACATCAATGTTTATCCGGTTTCATGTGAGCTGATAAGTTACTTATCCGATTCAGTAAGTCACAATCCATTATCTTAATTAATGTTCATGTGGTTGGTAAACTATTGACTGGCTTAAATTAAATTATTTACAATTAGTAGATTTGCTTACTTTTGATTTGGGTTCTCCCAGGGAGCTGATCTTATACTTTTCGGTGAATCATTAACCGTCAATGCACCAGGAACTGATGTTGATCGGTAAATAACAGGTTGAGCGATGTGTCTACCTGAAGCAACTACGATATTTGATTGTCCATCTAATTGAATATTTTTATCGGTCAAAGAATCTTCTTTGTAGACTTGAGCTGAAAAGAAAATAAATAATAACAATTGTAAGAATTTTTCAATTTAGATTCAAAATAGAAGATCAGGTAACCGTGAGAAACATTGGACTCTTTCTTTATCTGACTTTTCCCTCTTTCTTTTTTTTTGTAGGTCTACCAAAAAGACGGACACAAAAAAAGCAAATTGACCTCAAGTGAAGCCCCTCGGATAACCTTTAGATTGTTGCTTTGTTGAAAAATTTTACCTGAATATTATTGACATTAAGGATAACCTCTAATTCCGACATTGACCTGACCCTTGAAACTTGCAAAATCGTGAAACATTTCATTTGAATATAATAATTATATTCAAATTAAATTTGTCAACAAGTTAACACTAAATTAATTATCATTATAAAATATCAATTGTGTCTATTGAAATGATTTATACTTTTAAAAGTTTTAACAGGTAAATAAATTGCTGTTTTCTCAACTAAATTGTTATGACAATGAAATGTAATGAATGATTGTTTAAATAATGAGAATACAGTTAATTATGTATGAAAACTCATTATTAGGATTAACATGTGAATCTTTTCATGTAAGATAATAATCTGAACTGAATGATAAAGATTACACACCTTAATTAGAAGCAAATTGTATAATAGATTAACAATGAAACAATATAACAATTAAAAATTGTTTGTGTTTCATTTAAGAATGACAATTAAAAATGGTTTACCTGTAGAACCATCAGGCTGACGACGTTGATATCTTCGACTAGGAACTCTAACAATAACAGGGGATGGACGATCTCGAGTATTTAAACTTCGATTGAGTTCATCTTTGTTAAAAGATCTTCTAGAATATCTGAATCGTGAGGTGAATCCAGCGAAACGATTATTGGTTGGATTAAGGCGATCTCGATTCTGTGTTAATCTGAAAAATTCTTGATGCTCAGTACAACATTTCCATAGGTGTTTACATGCTTGTTTAGATGGTAATTCGAATCCATATGTATTGTTTTCATTCTGAATGTTTATGAGAGAACAAGGAAAAAGAAAAAATTTGATTAATTATTATTTTTTGAGTTAATTATTGTTTGTAATTATAATCAACCTTGAAATGACACTTTTCTTATCCAATTAACCATAAACTGCCCATGAAATGTTAACGGATTTCATGATGATAATGACTGATGATGAATGAGATGATTTTTAACCAACTATTGTTTTTCTAATTCCAAATATTTTCCTCATCATTTGTTAAAACATCATCATCATCATCATCCTAATCCATTAAAATTATCCAAATACAATTTGTAATTGTTGTAAATCTGTAAATGATTATAACCATTTGAGAATAACAATTACCTTGATATTGGATAATCTAAACTCTTTTAAACCTCACGCCTTTTTTAATCCAATTTAATGAACAACTTTTAATCTCAACTATTAAAATGAAAGTGGGTAGAGTTCAGTTCTACTGGTTGATCGGTTTGTTCTTAAATTGTTCATGATGGATTGTAGAAATCAGTTGATTATTGTGATTGATTAATAAGGAATTTGATGGAAAGAAAGAGAAAGAGAAGAAAAAATAGAGGGAAGATAAATGAGAAAGAAGATGAAGAAAGAGAAAATAAGAGGGGAAAATGGCCTGCGGCCAGTACAATAAGAGAAAACTTGTTTTTTGAAAAGATAGAGAGAGAGAGAGAAAAAAGAAAATAAAAAAAGAGATGATGATGGCGAAGACTCTGAGCGTGAGAGCCAAGAAAGAAAGAGCGTGAGACTATTACTTACATTTTTTTCAACAACTTGAAGCATGAAGTATTTATCCTTTCTGTAGATTTTGACAATCCTTGGCCTGTAATGATTAAGAATAAAAGAAGATTAACAAGTTAATTGAGAACAATTTAAATTATATTTTAGTCTGATTGTGTTTTATGTAATTACAATCAGAATATAATGAATAATAACTGCAAAATCGATAATTTCATCATTAACTTAAATGGTGATAGGCGTTTCTATAAGCAAAAAAAAACCACAACAATTATATTGTAACAATTATACATTTTTACTCATGTTTTTGTTTCTTCATTTCCTTTGAGATTTTGTTGTTGGTGTTGATTTATAAACAATTGAAAGTTTATTGTTATACTTACCAAAAGTAATTTCCGACTTTGGATTTATTTCGAAGAACGATAACTCCACTAGGTGTTAGCCCGAGAAAATATTCGACATTATCTTCGCCCAAAACTGGATGTAAATCGGCTCCATACAAATCGAGCCATTTAACTTTGTCAAGAAAATTAATCTCAGCAGCGGCTGGAACTTGGCCCGATAGGGTTTTATGTAAGGCGATCACTCGATCCTCCAATTCTGGTGTTTGATTAGCAATGAATCTAAATTCAGAAACGTAGCCAGGTTGATGTCGATGTGGATCATAATCGCCAAGTTCAGATTGAACTGCATAGGCAAATAATTGAACCAGCAAATCGTTGGGAGCAGGTAGTCGAGATTGCACAATGTCTTGTTTGATTTGAAGAAAAAATTGATACCTGTTGATAAGCATAAAACAATCGATTAGATTCATTCTAACTTTACTTTTTCATCATCATCATGGTAGTGGGCAAAAAAGGGAAAACAAGTAAGTTCATTGTTAACTATCACTTGAAGATTGGCGGAGAATAGAATAGAAGGAAAAAAAAGAGAGAAAGGTAATGACCCTCACAAATTTTGAATCAACACCTTCAAGCCAATCAGATTAATTAAAGGAACAATTGAATAAACAACTGAATAAACTAATTGGAAGCATAGACAAAAAACAACAACAGTTAACAAGAAAACATCAAGTAATTAATATGATAATTAGGGTGTTAATGAGAAGATGATGATGTTAATTAAATTGATAAGGACGATGAGGTAAAAAGATGGAGACTGAAAGTACCTGGTGATTTCTTCAAGCAGTTTACAAGGATCAGAAGCATAAAATTTAACACCGAAATAAAATGTCAGCGGATTAATATTTTTCACTTGTTTAACTATATTTTTAGTTGAATCCAACCAACAGGCTTGTCCATTTGTACCAATGAAACGAAGGCCAAAATAAACTGTTTCAAGAAGATTTAAGTGTTTAAAGACAATTTCCAATAAATCTTGCCCTTTAGAGGAATCGGATATTTCTTGAATTAATTCAGTTTCATCGAGAAGAACAATTTTACAATGATAAGTTCGCCTTTTCTCTGAGCCGCCAAAACACTTCATCACTTTTTCTTCTTCTCTCTTTCTTACAAAACAAAACAAAAAGAAAAAGCAAAGAAAAGAAAAGAAAAACGAAAAACGAAAAATTCTCCAAAAAGAACAAAATGACAACCAGGAAAACTGAACAATCAAGTAACAAAACTTAGTAAATCCAAATAATCGTGTGGAACAGATAAAAACACCTTCAATATTTACACAGTTACACGAACAATCAACAAAAACTCAGGTAAAAATTAATTAAAACAAGAAAATGAAACAAAAAACAAGACGAAAAAGGTAAGTAAATGACTAACTAAATGAACCAAAATGAAGGTTCATTTACCTGACCAGGTTTGAAAAGAAAAGAAAAGAAAAACTTGTCCACTTGTTGCTCCATCTTTCGTTTATTAGCATAACCGAAACTCTTGAAACCGAATGTGCTTCCATCTGTTATCCGATAAACTTAATATTCTTACAGAATTTTTTTCCACAAATAAATTGATCAATTGATTTAATCATTTGCATTATTCTTATCCAATACAAAAAGATTAATAATGTGTACGAACAAGTTCACTTTAAATGTGAACACATTATCATACACGAAGATGAAACGAAAATTGAAATTCCTCATGAAATATATTCGCTATATTTTCCCTCAAATTAGCAATTAGATGATCAACTAAATTCTCATGGTTTGTTTTTTCTCACCTTCTTTCTAAACATTTACTATTAATATCTTCTAGTATCGAGTAAATATCTTGTTAGGAATTAATTTTTTCTCCAAGTAATTAGCATGATAATGATGATCCACAACAACAAGAAGCGTTTCAAAGCATTCAAATCAATTGATGAGTCCAATTGAAAGTTTGTAAAAAGTTTTTCAAACTAATTTGAAAAGAGAGAGAAAAAAACTTAAGTTTTTCCATCAGAGATTTCAGTTGATTGCTTGATCCTTGGTGCTTTTGGTGTGTTGAACTTGGACTTGGATGATAATTAGTAAGAAAAGGGAGGATCTTCCATATGGTTCCAACCGAAAATCCAAAAACCCTTCCAAATGCAATAGAAAATCAAATGGATAACTAATATTGGACGAAGAAAAGAACAGCCTGAAAGACTCAAATTTCCTTTCAAATTTTCTCTCTTTCTTTCTTTCTTTTTACTCTTTCGACTTTATCCTCATCATCTACTAGGCCTTTTCTTCCGAAAGTCATCATCATAATCATCATCTTCCTCTTTCTTCTTCTGCGCATTTCGACTAATCCATCTTTCCTCATCATCTCTTCATCTTCTCATTGGCATCATTTTCCGTCCGAATCATCATCATCTTCATCATCACTTTTCTCTATTTTCTTTTCTCTCTCTCTCTCTCTTGTAACTATTAATATTTACCAAGAGCTTCTGAATATCACAATTAACTTAAAATCTTTAAATTATTGTTAATCTCAAGTTATGATTAGATTGTAAATGATCAAAAAAATAATCATCTTCGAGTAACTTGAATCAATTGTGTTCATAATCTTAAAACTGTTAAAGTTGTTTCAAAGTTAATTGTTGTTACTTAACTAGTAATAGATTAACAATCAACCAAAAGGAGAAAGGTAATGATAACCTTATCCTTTAATCAGTTAATTGTTAATAATAATGTTCAGTGTTTGTGATAATCAAAATCAAAGATGACCAGTTAATTGTGTTAACCAAAAGCAATTGAGAGACCTTCAAAATCAGTAATTTGTTTACATTTACTTTAACTTGTTAACTTATTTTCAAATGTTTACTTTAATTTAAAAATGTTAAATCAATTGATTTACTTGATTGGATTAAATTATCTTACCCTGTTAACGGTTAACAGTTATTCACATCATTCATTTCAAGATTATCATAAAAATGATCACATTGGCATAAGCCACACACTAAACAGTGAATCACAATTAGTTAATTCTCCTTCTCATCATCATTATAATCATCGGATAATCCGAAACATTGATCCAGTTAATATCAATAATAATAATCATCATGATGATCCAAGAAAACTATCAAACCTCAAAGTGGATTCTCATTTATCTTCAGGTAAAATTTGAATGTTTAACATTAACTATTAACCATTAATACAAATTGATTAACTTTCATTAAAATGATTAACTTTCTGATTGATGAATGAGACATGATAATGTTAATACAAACATGATGGTCACGCTTATGAATGAATTAATAATATAAGCTTAAAGTTAACCAACCATAAGGTCCTTTGAGTGGGTGGTCCTGAATTCTAGTAACGGCCAAAAATTGTAACAACTTCCGGTCAGTCAAAGTATGAAAATGCAAAAATAACGCAAATTGACCTTAAAATATACAATTTTAACCATTTGTTTCACTTTTTCCTCTCTCTCTCTCTCTCTCTCTCCTCATCTTCATCTTCCTAATAAATGTAGTTTACTAATGCATTTAATTTATGGATTCAACTTATGCTCTTTCTTCATCCTCATCTTTTCCTCTTCCTCTTAATCATCTTTTAGCTTGTCTATTTCCTCCCAAATCAATTACCAATCATGATCACGAAATAAACAATCAATATGATTGAAACAATTTCGTTTTCATCATGTTCTGCATTCGATAACCAAGAACCAATACCTTTCCAATTTTCTCTCAATTTTCTCCCAAATTTTCATAATTTTCTCCAAAAACTATCACCATATCCATGGAACTTATGAAAAATAATTAGCTAATACTCAATGGAATTGAAGTTGTAGTTGTAATTAATTTGAATTATGTTGATCACAAAGAGATTAGTTAAGTTAAGTGATGAAGATGAAGATGAATAGTAATACAAAGTAAGAGATTAAGATTATTCTGTAAAAGGAGAATCTCGAAGAAGATGAAGATGAAGAAGAAGAAGACAAAAAATATTCTTAAAGTTCCATAAACTTAAGAGATGTGAAAAAGAAAAGACATCTAATTATATCTTCTTCCACATCTTTTTTATCTTCCTCCTTCTCTGCCCTCGCCTTTTCTCATCTCATAATAATCATCATCTTCATCCTCATCATCATCTTCTTCTTCTTCTTGTTAACAGTATCTTTCTATGGGTCCAGCTATATTTGGATTCCTATGGAGGAATCAAGAGATTCAACCAAGATCTTTTTCCGTTTTAAAACCCATCGTACTGATGCTTTCCTATTCCTCGCTTCTGGTCCCAAAGATTATTGTCTAATCACAATTTCCAATGGAAACATCAATGTGAGTATTTCCATTGTTCAATCTAACACCGATCAGGCAATTCACATGATCATATGGGAACAATTTAGCTGATCAATATTGTATTTTATTGATATTGACATGAACATCATACCCAAATTGTGTGTTTGTAGCAATTAAAACTTTAAATTGTTTACATGATTACTTATTTTCAACCTACTCTGGTTAAGATGAATTTTGGGTTTTGTTTGTTTCTTGTTGATTACAATTCTCATAATTATTGGTATTACAATGAAGAAATGATTACATTTACTGTGTATTATTATTGTCTAATTAGATACGAATTAATTTGGGCTCTGGTGAAGAGGTTGTTAATGGACCGAATGACCTTAAATTAAATGATCTACTTTGGCACGAGGTTGACCTGGAACGTAAACAAAGTGACCTCGTGTTAACTATTGATAAAATTCACATTAAACATTATACAATTAAGGGTCGATTCTTTGAATTAAACATTAATTATGGTCTTTACATTGGTGGCCTGGGTAATTTCACTGAACTTTTTCTTGGTAACATGATCAATTTTCGTGGTTGTATTGATCAGTTTACTTTCAATGGAATTGATGTTTTCTCATCATCAATACGTTCCTATGGATTTTTAAAAGATGTATCAAGAGATTGTTCAACTGATTTCGATTCAATTTCTACAATTACAAATTCTAATCAATCTTTAACATTTCTCGGTGAAAATTCATACCTAACATTACCTTCAGATCTTACTGATCATCGAACTGGTGGAAATATTTATTTCGAATTGAAAACTTCCCAATCAACATCATCGATATTATTTTACAAAACTGGACTCGAAAATTATGCCTCTGATTTTGTTGCCATCGAATTGACCAATGGACTGATTCAGTTAACTGCTAACGATGGAAGTGGCCTAATTATCGTTACGTCAGATTATCAGGTTAACAATTCGGTGGCCAATGGTCACTGGCATTCAGTTAATGTAACATTTAAACCCGATTATTATGAGATTGTTGTTGATGGAAGAAGTAAAAAAGTTTCTTCTCATCAAAGTGATTCCCGTTATTATGATTTTATTAGTGACCTTTATATTGGTGGAATTGATGTTTCAAAGATCTTAATTGCTTCTCAACAAGGATTAAAATCATTTCTATCCGATTCAAGTGATACAAGTTTCAAAGGTTGTATTCGTAATGTTCAAATTAATTCAGTTCCAATGGGACAAAGGCAAATACTTATTAGTAAAGGAGTCCATTCAAACTGTAACTGGGATTATCCTTGTCTAGTATCATCACCCTGTATTGATGGATCAACCTGTCTACAGGAAGGATTTAGTTCATTTCGTTGTTTCTGTGAATCAACTAATTGTATTGCAATCAATTCATCCTCATCCTCATCATCAAATGATCTAATGCCATCAACCCAATCAAATTTATCTTCTTCCTCATCACTAATCACCATTGAGCCTTTGACAGTTTTAGAAGGTAAAAGTGAACAATTAACCGTTAAAAATATTCAATTTAATAGTAAATTGTTTGGATTTAAACTTGGAATCAATGGTGTTTTCTCAATTAAACATAATCCCTCTCATGGAGCACTTCTTATTGATCGTTATTCAATTGGACCTTCATCTTCATCGGCCGATAATACCTTCACTTATACTGAACTTAATTCAGGTTCAGTTCGTTATACTCATGATGGAAGTGAAACAATCAATGATTCAATTACATTGGCACTTAATCTACAATCTAAATCATTTCAACTTCCAAGTTTTCTTGAAAATCTATTGGAAACAATTATCCTTCCAATTAAAATAATCCCTGTTAATGATATTCCTAAAGTTCATACAGGAATTGAAAGTGATACTAATTCAGATTCAAATGATTTAATAACAATGGCTCGATTTACAAAACTTTGCTTAACTAATCAGATACTCAATTCATCTGATTCTGATAATTCAGATTCTGATTTAACCTATGGAGTGATAACACTTTACTCATGCCCTGATTGTTACATTGAGTCAACTGATAATCCATCAATTGGATTAACTAATTTCACTCAAGCTGATGTTAATCAACTTAAAATTTTCTTTGTCCATTCACCAGCAATTAACACAGAGACCAAATCATCTTCGATAAAAATTGTTCTATCATTGACCGATAATCCATCTCAAGATAATCCACCCATGGAAATGATGATAGAAATTCATTTATTTGATTTAACACTAATTCAACTGTATAACACTGGTTGTTTAGTTAATTACAATGATTCTGTTATATTAACGAGAAACAATTTATCCTTTACAACGAATGCTAATTCAACAAATTATCAAACTTTCGAGTTGAGATATAAGATAATTAAGATACCCGATTACGGAATGATTCAGAAACTCCGACCTAATGGTCAATGGATTAACGTTAGTTACTTTAATCAGAAACAATTAAATGAAGGTAAGGTTCGTTATCTTCATTTAATTGGTCAACCAACGATTGATTCAGTTTCATTTCAAATCAGTGTAATCGGAAGTAAAGTTACTTCAAGAATTGAATTTAAAATTGTATTCATACCAATGGTTATTTCAACAACAACAACACCAACACCAACACCAACACCAACATCGACAATATCATCATTATCAACGATTAAGAAACCAATGAAATCAATTGACCATCGGTCATCAAATCATATCATCTTAAGTGACAATGATTTACATTTCACAACTGAATCCCGATCAATTATTCCTGAACAATTATTGGTAATAACAACAAGTCAATTACTGGTCATTGCCATTTGTGTATTAACATCAATTGGATTATGTTTATTACTTATGATGATTAAATTACTTACATTTGGTAAAACAAAAGAGTCAAACAATTTAAGCTCATCAAAAGTTACGTCAAAAAGATGCGGATCAACTAATAATAATAATAATCATCATATTGATCGTGATGGTGATGAAGATGATGAAGATGAGGATGATGAAGATCGTCATCTAAATTCAAGTGAAAACAATTCAATACCTGATGGGATGTTGATGATTGATGATTCGGGAAGAGGCAGTTTACCTTATGATAGAGCATCAACAGTTATGTCCGATTTGAATCCATATTTACCCAATATAATTAACAATCCACCGTCGATTAGTACTAATTGTGGATCAATACGAAGCATAACTGCAACTCCAGTTTCAACTTTCGGAAGAGGTTAGTAAATCAATTAACTTTAATTATTATCAACAATCAATTCTTAACTAATAACATGATAACCATAAAGTTACTTTGTTACAAGTAATTGAATCGGAAACTCATCAACTTTTTTTTTGTCATCAATTTCCTAAGAAAATTAGATGAGAATTAAATTATCATCAACATTGCATGATAATGATGATGATGATGATGATCAAGGATTATGATTAAGAGATTGATTGTTGTTAGTGATTCTAATTTCACTAATTGTTACTGTTGGACTTTCCTTACTAATGGTTGGGGTTTTTGTTTCTTGTTTCCAATTGCAGGACATTTTTTTCATACAACAACATCACCTAAATTTGATAATGATAATCAATTAGATTCAAGGCAAGGGAATCCATTTCCTCTTCCGCCTCCTTCATTATATTATGGTGTTGATTCACTCGAAGAGGGTCAACGAATTGTTCAACCTCATCTCTGCTCTTTTCATGCTAAAACTTTACAACGATCATCACCACGAACAACAATTGTCACCTCACCAAGTTTATCGGAATCAAATAATTTACTGTTATTATCAAGTCCAAATTCATCATCATCATGTTTACCACCATCATCACCAACATCATCATCACAACAACAACAACAACAACCACAATTACCTCAATCACAGTTACTTCCTCCACCTCCTCCATCATTATCCCCACCTTTACATGAACAGGGTGATAATCAATCTAATGATGAAAACAATTTATCACATGAATCAAATATCTCAGGTATTCATAGTAATTCAATGAATACCTTGGGTAATAATCTGATTCATTCTGGAAATATCTCAATATTAGATGGAGATGAAATTAATCATTGGAATCACTCATCGCAAGGTAATATTTTATTACATGATAATGAAACAATTTACCCTGATTCTTATCCTTACAATCAATTAAATCAAAATCATAATTCAAATTCTCATCATCATTTAATATCATGTCATCAACATCATCCTAATTATTCAAGTGCTTTTACTGATTACTCTTTAAATCATAAATTGTCAACTTTACCATCAACACCAAAATCAAAATCAAATCGTCAACAGCAGCAGCAACAACAACAACAATCAAGACTATGGATTTAATTGTTCATTTGATTATCCTAATGATTATCATTATCTTTTGTATTTTGATAATAAAACTTTTCATACTCTTTACAATCTAACCGATTTTTTTGTAATTATCTTTTTTCCTTCTCGTAAATTAGCAAATTATTTAGGTTAATCTAATTGTCGATTATCATTGTAACTTAAATTATTAGAAATTAACATTTAATTGTAAATAAATTCTGTACTTCCTGCTAATTGTATTACTAATATTCAATTAGTTTCAACTAATAAAAACTGTTCATTAACTTATTCCCAATTATAATTGTTTCATTTTTTTTTTCATTCTAGATTAATTACTTTAAATCAATTACCATTTCTGTTGTACACAATTAAAGATGACAATTTTATTGATTATTACAAAATGATTACAATCAATTATCATTAAAGTTAAAACTTTGTTGATGAATGAAAGTTTCAAACTTCAATTTGATTAATACTTATACTTGTAACTTTTTTATTTGTCATCAAGTTAATTAATTATTACAACGACATGTTACAGATTATGAAAGCAAAAACAAAAAACAATTAACTATTTTGGCAAATTACTTACGATTTACTATTAATAGAATCAAATTAATTAATCACCAAAGAGAAACCGAAAAGAATGAAAAAAAAATTAATAACTTTACTATCTCATAAGAAATAATCTCTCTCAAAATCATATGAAGAACTTAATTGAATTAAATATTCTAAAATTGAAAATACAATTTAATCACTAATCACTATAATAGTTAATGAAAAATAATTAACATCCTAATTAGTTAATAAGAAAAAACGATTGTTCGAATTTTCGAAAAAACCGCCAAATCAGTTTTTCTTCCAAACATTTGGTGTCGCCACTGGAAAAGAACAACAAATGAACTCAGATTGTTGAGAATTAAATTTGTTACTTTTAATTTAATTTTCAACTTTAATTTATTTTCCGTTATTCCGTGAATTCAATTAACTAATGTATTGTTATTAATTGTTATTAACGTATTGTTATTGATTAATCCGTAATACCATGGAATTAACTGGATTACATATTAATATTGAAATAGTTTCATTTCTAATCAATTGTTGACTCTTTTTATTGACAGGGAAAAGTCAAAAAAAAGAGAGTGATTATGATTCTGGTTAATTGTGTTGGTTAAACATCACTAACGGTACTTTTTCAGTATCTTGTCTCTAAATTGATTGTGACAATTTGCTTATTTAAAGTCAATTACCTATTCTAACAAGTTTTTATTCCCATGGATAGAATAGAATAGAATAGAATTAACAAAAACAATTATTTTCTCTTACTCAAAGTGTCTTCAAAATCTGCTTCTTTTATCATCATCATCATCACATTAATATTATTCCTTTATTAACAATTTTAATTAATTGATTTAATTACTATTGTTACTATTATCTGCTTAGTATCTTAATCCTGCCCAAAATTGATACCAATTTGTGACAATTAATAATTTAACCTTTTCTATTGCCTCTTGTAAATAACGTTGCTACTAAATCGTAAAATTATTTATTTATTTTCACAAATGATGATTTTTATTTCATCAAATTTGCTAACAATTTTTGCTTTAATCATATTCTTTTGCTATAAATCACATCAACTGCCTTTAATATCATCATATTCAACTGGTCATTCTGGTATCGGTCAAATATTGGATAGTAGATCTGGTGATGTTTCAGTGAGTATATAAATTGAAATAATCAACTTAATTCAGTTGATTCATGTAATCATGTTTAAGAAAACAACTTTTATTTTTCCATCTTGATTGATAAGTCATATATTACTTGTCATCAATGTAACTCAATTAATCTATCTTATTATTCATATTAATCAGTTTTCCATGTCAATCACCGCAAGTTATTAAGTTAACTACAGAATAATATCCTATGATTAACGTTAATTTAATCTTAATCATTGACGAATCCTTGATTGTAGTTGTTGACGATTCGTTGACTCTCCAAATTATCTGTCAAAAACTTATTAAAACTCAATTAGATTCATAGATGATGAATTAACGTGTTAATTTCTAGACATTTTCTCTAAAACAATCAACTTATTATCTTATCCAAATTAACCTTTGTATCCCTTAATTGTTAGCTACCTGAATTAATTTACTCTCGTAGTTAATTAATTTCAACTGATTGACTTGCGAAAAAAAAACTTCATTCAACTCAGTTGAGAGAAAGGTTCTAATCAACAATTCGATAGCCACTTAAATCATCAACGATAACAAATGAGACCGACTAATTAACTTGATTGTAAACTGTTTGAAGATGTTTATTGTTACACAATTAGCTGAAAGTACTTAACTAGAAATCTAATTACGATTATTTATCTTTTGATAGGGTTAATTATAAACGATAGAGTTTCGAATGAGTTTTGAAAATTTGCGAAAAAATTGATTAACTAATTAAACTTTTCTTCTCGTCTCTTAATTTAAAGGATTTTCTTGTAAAATTTGGATACATACCCAAGGATGATACTCGAGCTGGATCAATACGAAGTAGTGATTATCTGCGAAATGCAATTAAGGAAATGCAAAGATTTGCCGGTTTACCTGTTACTGGAATAGCGGATGAAGCAACAATTAATTTAACGAAAAAACCACGTTGTGGTCTACCTGATTTCTTTCCACTAGATCATATTCGTAATCGAGTTAAAAGATACTCATTGAAAGGACCCAAATGGGATAAATTGGCATTAACGTGGAGGTAATTTGTTACTCGAATTGATGAGAAGGAGATTATCTTTTTGCTTTTTCATTCAATAGCCAAACTCAAAATCTCTAAATGTCTTAACACATTTGATCTCCATCACCAAAGATTTTCAAAAGGTTCAGTTTCATTCTGAGTTCTGGTTTAAAAATAGAATCTTATGTATCTACTATTCCCCATGAACCGTATCAGTGGATCTTCACTTTCTTACCCTCGTCTTTTTCATTTTATTTATTTAATTCTCTCTCTCTCTCTCTCTCTCTCTCTCTTTTCGTCTCAAGAGGCTTCAATTTAAATCTTTTTTTCCTTGTTCAGATTTTCTTGACACCAAGAGATTCATCATGTAAATGAAATTCACAACCAGAGATCATCTAAAACATGATTAATGTATTCCATTTAGCAATTTGATTATATTTTCCAATTTCAATAGTTTCTTACACTGACCCTATCATGATTTTCATGATATTAGTTCATTGACCTTTGTAACTGGTTCCAAATTTTGATGTATCTAATTTGTTCCTGAAAATTTCACTTTGATGGAATAACAATGAAACCAGAATTTCACCCTTTTCATGATATTAGTTTGATGATGATGATGATGAATATTTATATGATAGATTTCTTGATATTTTCTTGGAACACTCATCATTTAATCACAAATGATTACGTTAATTGCCTGTAAACTTCCTAGAAAAAAAGTCATACTCAGTTACCCTTCAATTGAGATAATTTCTCTCTCAGTTTCCGTCTCACCTTCCATCCGCTTTCAACGGAACTTTATGTATAACGAATTGTAAACTTTTCGTACATATGTTTTCTCTTTGTTCCTGTTTAATTACTATAACTTTTCCATCTTCATGATTAGAAAAGCGAAATTCAATTAGCAATTAGTTCATTAACTATCAATATCTCAGTTTGATTTTCTAATCAAAGTTTTCTCTTATAAAATTCGTTGAGCATTTAAATAACTACGAATAACTTTTTGGCCTTAATGTCTCGTTCTCAGTTATCTGTCAATCAATGATTGTCAAGGTTAACATAAAGCTGATGGTTAAAAGTGATAAACTTGATTATCTGTATCAATTTTCATCCAACATCTTTTGGACATAATTCAAGTTTCCAAAAGTTATCTTGATGTTGGGTTAGTCATTTCCGGTTTCCTTGTCTCCTATTTCAATAACACTTCATCATGTGTTAGACTTTTGTAACTTATATCACAGAAAACAATCAATTGATTAACTGATAGTACAATTTGGATAACCGTATATTATTCAAATTGTATTATCCTGTTTTTGTTTGTCAATCAAATTGTAATCAATTATCATCATTATTATTATTACTTTTGGTTTTGATTTTACAACTTTTCATAGCAACAATTAACTTATTTAATCCATTGATTGGTTGTTGATCTCTAATTGTGATGATAGAGATAAACAAAGATATCGAGATATACTTTTCATTGATCAATAGGATTTACTACTTGTTGATATTATCGATCCAAACGAGGAAAACTTATTTTTTGAACATTCGAAAGTTTCGTTTATTTAAATGTTTCTTTTCGTCTTTTCCACAGATTCAATGGTTCTCGACCCGATACTCTGGATGAAGGTTCATTGTACCAGGAAATAACTCGAGCTCTTGACCTGTGGAGTGCACATTCGAAGTTGGACTTTCACCGTTCTCGAGCCATCGATGCCGACATTATAATCTCCTTTTTCAGTCGAGATCATGGTGATAACATGTCTTTCGATGGTAGAGGAAATGTTCTAGCTCATGCTTTCTTTCCCGGCCCTGGTTTGGGTGGTGATGCTCATTTCGATGCTGATGAAAAATGGATTCGTAGTGGGATTAAAGATCCTGATGGTAAGTTAATTAGCAGCGACAATTAAGATCACAACTTTACTCAGTAAAATAACCAAACACATGAAAAAGTATGAACACTTTTACCAATCAACTTTTTATTATGATTGATTGTTAATCTACAATTAGTAAACAATAGATATTATATTTCTCGTTGAATAATTAATTATTATCACATTATTTTGCGATGATTATTAATCATCTCAATTTGACAATAATCTACTAATCTAACATACAATTTACTAGTATTTTCAATCATTATAATTAATTGAAATTATGGATCAACCAATTAGCTAATATTACGTTTTTTGGTTTACCTGATTACGATCACAATTAAGGTGGACAGTTGAGTTTTCTCAATTTATCCAATCAGTTTATCACTTAAACCATGAAGAATTGATAATCCACAATTAACCAATATATTTATATTAATTAATTGCTTTTCTTTTACTGACCAACCCATAAATAGCCAATCGTCTATTGACCTGAAGTAATTAAAGCTTCAATCTATTGATTTAAAATGTCATTTTTGTCAATACAATTTCATCATTTGAAATATTGGCTTCTAAAAATGATAATCTTATTAGTTACAGTTAGTTGATTCAGCAATTTACTGATCCTTCAAACGATGATCATCAGTAAACTTACTAATTATCAACCATATACAATTAGTTATTTTCACTTTTCCTATTGAAATTAATTTTGATTATTCTCATTAAAAAAGTTGCCAAGTTCCTTAACTCATGATTACATGATGATTTACATGAATTACTCGATAAATTAACTGTACTAATTACTAAAAATTTTTCTTTTTCTCTTAATTCTTATTTAGGTGTTGGTCTTTTCGGTGTTGCTGCTCATGAATTTGGACACTCATTGGGATTATCTCATTCATCGGTTGTTGACTCACTCATGTTCCCTTATTACAGAGATATTAGTTATGATTTTGCTCTTCCACAAGATGATATTAACGGGATTCAAGAACTTTATGGAGCTCGACTCGATGATAATAATCCCTGGTCTACCCCAAGGCCACCGCGACCTCGCCCCACATCACCAAGGCCAAGTTCTACTACGATCAAGCCGATAGTTCCCTCAATATGTAGCACTGATTTCGATGCTGTTGCCTCAATTCGAGAAGAAATTTTCTTTTTCAAAGATAGAGTAAGAATCGATATTGATTCTGTTTACTCTTTCAATTGATGAAATTCTCATGACAAAACTAAACATTATTATTACATAATAACACTGATAGAGATCAATCAATCAATAATTAGCTTACTTTTCAATTCTCATTATGTCTTGAGGCTTGAAACTATCCAAATAATAGTGATTATTGTTTGTTTTAATTTAGATTAGTTCGAAATAGAAAATAATTATCACATTGAAATTCGTTGAACTGATAATCCATCAAGTTTACATATTCTTAAAGTTTTCTTAAAGTTAAACTAATGTTCTGATAGGGAACGAATCAAAATAAACAATAATCACAACTCTCTTTTTCTATCCTTCTCTCCATCAATAATTGTAATTATGTCTACAATTTATTAATTGTTTACTTTATTCTCTCTTATATAGTATTTTTGGAGATTATATGAGAATAGAAGTTTGGAAAGGAATTATGCTGTTCCGATCGATGTTTTTTTCCGTGATCTTCCATCAAATTTTACGAAAATAGATGCAGTATATGAACGATCAATTGATGGTAAATTTTTATTCTTTATTGGTAAGTTAATTGCGAATCGAATAAAAATCTAACATGGAAAATTTAAAACTAATAACTTTTCTAATTTCTCTCTAAAATTAAAGGTAACCAATATTGGCTATTCGATAATAATAATCTAGAAAGAGGTTACCCAAGGCCTCTTTATACCCTTGGATTACCTGTAGATCTTAAATCAATTGATGCTATGACAAAATGGGGATACAATGGACTAATTTATATATTTTCTGGTGAACAATATTGGCGATTTGATGAAAGAACCAATAGAGTTGAACTTGATTATCCCAGAGGAATGAAAATTTGGAAAGGTGTACCAACCCATTTAGATGCTGCAACTCACTGGCCAAAAAATGGTTAGTTTTTTTTTTCATAACCATTGAAATAATATAACACATAATACAAGGTTTAGTGAATGAGAGAGCGAGATGATGATGAAGATGAGAGTGAGTGAGAGAAAGAGAGAGAGAGAAAAGCAATCAAGGTAAGAAAAAAAAATAAGATATCAAACTGGTTCCTGGTTTAGGCTCAGTGTTGCAGTTTGTAAACGCTTCAAATTGAAGTTCATAATTTGCAGGCTCAATCAATACTTAGGGCGTAATTTTTACCAGCCCAACAACAACAACAAAAACAAGAAGGGCAAGATAAGTTTCATCAGGGCCACAATCATTTTTTTCGTTGTGTTATGTTTCTTACCAAATTGTTAACCTTAAATTGCAATTGCAATTTAACTTTAATACTGTCAAGGTTTACATGCCACTAAGAGATTACTAAATTTACTCCAATCAACGTTCCCTTATAATAGTATATATACTAGTATATGTAGTTAATTTGACTGTTTCTTCAATTGCAATTATCTTTATCTCTTAATAGTTTTCTACTAACTTTCTCTCTCAGTCTCTCTCTCTCTCTCTCTCTCTTATTCATCTCTTCAAGCTTGCGATGTTGTTAATTTTCCCCTAATCTTGATTTATGTGTAATTATGTTTAAGCTGAATTTTCATCGTGTACGGTTGTTGATTAATCCTGTCATCAACAACTCATTAAGAGATTATTAAAAAAAAAGGAATATATTTTTTCAATGGATTATATTAATTGACAAGAATATAAATGTTGTTATACTAACTTTGTTTTTCTTATTCTTCTTAAAGGGAGAACTTATTTTTTCAAAGGACGAGGATTCTGGCAATTTGATGATCGAACCATGTCCGTTATTCCCGATTCTCCGCAATCAACGATTCATTTTTGGTTCGAATTTTGTAAAAATGAAGAATATCCCGATTTAAATTTCGAATCTTCAAGCGAACCCTCAATTCGAGATGCAAATGGTTCACCCTCTTCATTAATTCTGATTACATTTTCATACTTTGCTTGTCTCCTCATGATGCTCAGTCTTTTATTTATATTTAATTACAGTGTAAATATAAGTTGATTAAGATACAATTATTATTGTTATTGTAGTTAATCTAATCTCATTGTATCAATCATCACATACGATTATATAATAATTTATATTTACAGATGAAAAAGTTATCATAAGTTAATCATCATCTTATTAATATTGATCAACAATCAATTGATAACAAGATAATCAATTTGTATACTCAATTTGTTATTAATTATGGAAAACCTAATTGTAACCATGACCAAAGTTTTTTTTTGTAAAGAATCAATTTCGTTAATTGAAAACAATGAATTAATTTATTTTTCTTATTATTATTATTATTTCTTCAATCTGATAATTTACATCAATCAAATCTCTCAGCGTGATTACAATTTATTACAATTAACATGATCTTAATACTGTTACTTGTTATTAGAAAATGGAAATATTTAATTGTTGGTTTACTTAAGTTGTTAAAATTGATTCTTTTGTGTTAATATGTTGATTCTGTTTTCAGTTATTGATTCAATTACTCGAACAGTGAGATTATCATAATTAAGATAAATTGAGTTACATTGATTGTGAGCCGATAAATTAAATTGCGATTGGAAATAGTTTTCAATTGCTGTTATCATTTCAGGGCAATCATCTGGTGATATTAATTGTTGACAGTTTTTCAAACAATCGTAACCATCATTACCTTTGTAGAGAAACAATTTAGTGATGAGCCGATATTTTCCAGTTAATTTTAATTGTTGACCATTGATTGTGAGTGATTGTGGATCAATACGATCACCGGAAGGTTTTTTAGGATCAAATGAGAATCGAAGTCCTGAAACTTGAGGGAATCTGCCCTCTAATCGAGGCCAAAGGGAGACACCATTTTCGAGCGCTCTCCAGATCGTTGTACCGGAGACGGAAATTAGAACCATAGTTCCCGGGGTTGGTAAAATGTTGATCAAATCTTTCAGATGAATCGGCCCTGGTTCGTGAATCTGATCTGATCTGAATGTTCCTGAATGAATGATGGCACAATCAGCTCGAACCGATGAACACATTATATCAGCAATTAAATTGCCCAAATTAGTCTCTTGCCGACGGATTGACATAAATCTACCATCAAGTGGACAATTAGTAAATCCAATTATGTTATCCAATTGTTGATCAATATTCAATTTAAAACATTCCAATTGACCTTTCAACTGTTCATCTTGCGTAAATTTAGAGGTCACATCTATTAATTGATGGTTCAATTGAACAGAATCCAGATTGAAATTCAGATTAATTGTAGAAAAGTTTTTAAAATCAGTTCCTGATTTAATTATGAAAACATCGTTGACTTTCATAGATTGACAAACATGATCATGTCCACCCAAGATTAAATTGATTCCAGGTACTTGATTAGCTAATCTAATATCATTCGGATTTCGCATGTGAGTCAAAGCGATAATATAATCAACCTTTTCCTATGATGAGATTAACAGACAATCAAAAAGGACAATTAACCCAATACAAGATAATCAACCATATCGATAATCAAATTTACCTTATATTTCAAATGATAGATGAGCTTTCTGCCAATATCAACGAAATCGTTATACTTTATATCATCCGGATTAACGGTGGACAATATACTAATCCATTCACGTTCAACTAATCCAATTAACCCAAACTAAATTATCACAATGTGAATGTGTAAAAAGAAAAGTTAATTAGTTTCTAAATGTAATCAGTTTTGTGTGGAAAATTTTATTGGTTACAATTTAAACTATCCGCCTATTGAACGTAGATGATTAAATTTGATTGACAATAATCATGATAATAATGATTAATCTAATTAGCTTGAAATTGTCTATGGTGCAAATTTACAACATTGTGATGACAATTAACAGTATAACTTAAAGTGTAAATAATAACAATAATGTTAAGTCATCAACCTTTTTGCCTTGTTGGTAAATTGCCAAAGTCTTTTAACAATTAAATTAACAGATTATATTTCAAACCACAATTAGTACTTACGATTAGTATTTCAACAGATTAATTTAATCTGAAACCTGAAAAACTAACATGAACGAGATATAAACTTATCAAGATTAAAGATTAGATTAAATTAACAAATTGATTTAAGAGAATTTAATTCCACTAATTAGCTAAATTGTAAGAAAGTTTCGTAAGTTAAATTTTAAGAGGAAAAGTTAATTCAATAAATGATAAACATTGAACACAATTTACAATTAAATTGATTTACCTTTTTACCAGAATTTTCAATTACATGATAAACTTTGGTTCCAGCGATTTCAACTCCATCAGGATAAGTTACATTACTTAATAACCAAGGGAAATTAGTTTGTTTAATTAACTTTGTTAAAACGTCAATCCCATAATCTAATGAAATTGGTAAACAATTAACAATTAATTATGATTAACTTTCATCTAGACTAATTAACTTACCAAAATCATGATTACCTACAACTGCACAATCAACTTGACAGCCATTTAAAACTGGAATCATTTGTTTACCTTTGGTGAATTTACTTACTAGAAATGGACACAAATTAATAATAACAATTAACTGACCACAATTTAACTAATTGTTACAATTAAAAGACTCACATAAAGATGGGCCCAAACAATCACCACTGAACAGAGTTAAAGTTGATTTAGTTTTAAATGATTGTAATGCTGATTTAAATCTCGCTGCTCCACCAATTGGCTCAACATTGTGCTCATCGATATTGTAAACATCATTGAAATGGTTAATTGTTACTTGATTAACTGATTGTAAATTAAACATTTTTCATTAAATCATTAATTGGATGAAGGTTCACTTGTAATTGTTTTGAAAATCAACCAAAGTAACAAGACTATTTATATTTTTTTCAATCAAATCTACTAATCAATTGGATGAATCAATAACATATAGATTGTTGATTTAATGATTGATTGTTGATAATTTAATTATCAAACTGTGTTTATTTGATGATTTACTTACCAAGTTTCAATTACAATCAAGATGAGATCTGACAAACTTGAGCCTTGATTAAAATGAATCAAATCATATTGATGATGATTGTTGAAGTTGTAGTTACGAATTGATTTTAAACAATTAAATTAAATTTTGATTTCTCATTTTTTTTCATCTTAATTTGGTTGATTAATATCAATCAATTTCCGTTGAAATTGCAATCTCATTCGGTGTTTGATTCTTGATTTTATTGATTGTTTTTGATTACAAGTCTCTGTTGTTTATTAAATTGCTCGGAAAAACAATCAAGATAATTTTCATTTTTTTATGATGTTTAACTTGATTGCCTAGTTAATTGTTCCGAGGAAATGATTTCATCATGTTTACACCAGAAACTCATATATAAGGAAATATCTTCAGCAATTTACTCTGATCATAAATTAATGATTAACGATAGAGAAATCAATTGATTCCAATGATTAAATCATAATCACAATTAATTGAGAAAGAGCCATCTATTGGTATTAGTCACAGTTTCTTAAATTGTTGTTGACAATTAACTTTGATTGTAGGTGAATCAAGTGAAACCCTTAAGACACAATGAATGAGATGAACAGATTAGTTTCCATTATTATTATTACTCGGAAAATTGATAATAATGGTTATATTAATCACGAGAAAATCATCTGAACAATTACCCTGAACTTTTTTTTGTTTATCTCAAAGTTTTTACAACTTTCGCCATCTTTTTGCCTAAATTGTGGCTCCTTTTTTATATATATCCACTTTCATTATTAACCATTAACTATCAACAAGATTTACTAAATTAAGTGAAAATAATAATACACTTACTCAAGGACAGAATCTCACCTTTTCTTCAGGTAAGAAAATGATTCAGGTTTGGATAATATTTAATGTCTTTCAAATGTGAATCAACATCACAGGAGAGAGAGAGAGAAAAAGAAAAGGATTTCATTGATTACCTCAATTTATTAATTACGATAATTGTTGGTTTGTTAAACTCGATTTACAATAAATTCAGTTAATTGAATGTGATTGAAACAAGTAAGAATCGAGGAGAAATTTATTCTTATAACTTTTTAAATCTCGAAACTTTTGGAGAAATAAATTGTTATATTTTTTTTTGTTTATTCTCAATTCTTGATCTAATGATAACTTCTCTAAGGAAACTTATCATTATCTTTATTGTAAGAAAAACAATTTTCAAGGTCATACCAATCAGATGATTAGTATCATTTGCAAATGAAAAAAAATGAAAATCAGAAAGTGAAATGATAAAATTTCAATTGTGAGATCTACTATAAGTACAATCTATTATGATTTTTAATCAATCGTATTCATCTAGTATTGAATATTTAATCCTCAAACTGAGCACTTTATCATTAGAAGCATAAATGTCACGTTATGTCTTGTTGAGAGAAGGACAATTAATCTAAATTAGATGAAATCGTTATAATTTACTTTCGTTTATCTCATGGTTTTAATAAATATTGCACTAAATTTGTCTTATTTTGAGCTATGGAAATCTTTTGATTTAATCTGTTCGAGTTTCAGTCAAAGTCAAATCAAATAGCCTAAAGGCATGGAAGATGAAATTTCAGAATCTCAGAATCTCAGAATCTGAATTGAATCTGAGGTCAGGAAGTGTTGGAAGTTATGAATTAGCAAGTGATTTACATGAACCTAAGTCCAATCGTTACCAATTGTGTGTTAATTAGGTTGTTAAGTGAATTGCATGAGAATTTTCTGTACCAAGTGACAATAAATCTCAATAAAGATATGAAAATACTGATAAAAAGTGAGATTTAGTTGTAAAATTATTTAAATGAGAGTTGAGAAAGACAATTGATTAGTTAGTCTCTTCTTTAACAACAATCAAGTAACAATTAACTTTCCTTCTCTATGTAATTTTTGTATCTAAAGCAGGAACCAAAGAGAGGGGTGAACAATTAATAAAATGACTGTTCAATTGTCTAAATCAAAATATGATCGAGCTAATTTAGCATCTAAATTAATTTTCAGGTAAGTAAATTTCATCATTCTCTTGATCATTGATTAAATTAGTCAACTTATTATCATGTTTATTTCGCTATTAGTTGGATGCTGAAATTTTTCATCGATTCACAGAAAAAGAAGTTAAAGTTTCTGATCTAGAAAAATGTCCACAAACCTCAAGATCGTCAATGATTGGAATCAAATTAGAAAAGTAAGTCAATCATTATGCTAATTACAATTTATCAATTGTCTTATAACAAAATATTCTTAATTGTTAAGAGAATGGATTAATCAGCTCAACAAGGGAAAAACAGGTAAAGGTAAACCAAGTCTTGGTTGGGCGATAATTAAAGCGATTGGTCCTTCGTATTCATTTTGTTTCATCATTATGGTGATTTCGGTGAGTTAATTTTTGCTAAATTGACCTTTTCAGATCAAAACAATTAACCATTTATTAAAATTAACATTTGTATTTCATTTGAATTGGTGAAAAAAGTTCATTGATTTGGTTTATGCTTAATTTAAACAATTTCATTATAGTTAATGTTATTTTTTACTCTCAATTAATTAACTTTATTACCTGTAAATGTCAATTACCTAATTATAGTCACAATTTATCAGTTTAAATTGGTTGTTTCGATCTCTATGTTTAGTATCTTACATATTTAATGGTTTATATTATAATATCTGCACTGATTATCACTAATTAGCAGAGCAAATTGTCAGCAATCAAAAGGATTAAAACTGATTTTTACCATTTCGATTTTATGGTTTACAGAACTTGTTCCCAATAATTCAGACCGTTTTCATGGGATATTTGGTTGATCTTCTCTACAAGATGAATAAACCCGATGTCGATAATCATTCGCTCAAAAATCAGATCTATTGGTATGCGTCGGGAGTTGTTATCGCCCAAATATTGGGGTCTTACTCGAATAATTATTATTGGTTCTATGCTCGAATAGGTGGAATAGATGCTCGTGTTGCTTGTAGTCGTTTAATTTATCAGAAAACTTTACGATTATCACAAAGAGCTTTAGGTGAAACCACAACGGGACAGATCGTTAATCTTTTATCTAATGACGTCGCTCGATTTGATTATGCTTCTGAATTTCCTTTCTTTTTCATTTACGGTCCCATTCAAACTGGAATCTGTCTTTGGATTCTATGGCCTCTCATGGGTATTTCATCGGTAATTGGGTTCTTGGTACTTTTCTGTTTTGCTCCGTTTCAGTATTTCATGGGCAAAGCGTTTAGTAAGCTTCGGACTAAAGGAGCTATTCGAACCGATGAGAGAATTAGATTAATGAATGAGTTTATACCTGCGATGAGAGTTATCAAAATGTACGCATGGGAAAAACCGTTTGCATCTCTAGTCGATTATGCTCGTAAACGAGAAGTGTCCAAAATTCGAGGTGCCGCTTATCTGAAAAGTCTTAACTTTGGAATTGGAACTGTTTCAGAGAAATTGATCATGTTCTTGGTTCTTTGTTCTTATGTTCTAATGGGAAATCATTTATCGGCTAAAATGGTTTTTGTCGGAATGGCATTGATTCGTCAACTTCAATACACTATCACATTCTTTATACCTCTCGGTATATCTTCTGGCGCTGAAGCTCTGATCTCTATTAAAAGGATACAAACTTTTCTTGAACTTCCTGAACTCGACGAAGAATCTACCATGAAAAATGTCAGCACAAAATCAGAAGAACCTTCAATAAACTATGAGAATGTTCAAATCCGATGGAAACAAGATCATGATCCAGTTCTAACGAAAATTAATCTAAATCTTACCAGAGGCCAGTTAATGGCGGTTGTTGGTCCTGTTGGGTCAGGAAAATCGACACTTGTCACCTCAATTTTGGGCGAAGTTGCTGCCGATGTTGGGAAGATTGAGGTCAAAGGGAAAATGTCTTATGCAAGTCAACAAGCTTGGATTTTTGCAGGTAAGTTATTAATAACTGTTAGATTTTTCTCGAGTTTAAACTAATTTGTACCTCAAATTGTTCCACTTTAATAGGAACTGTTCGGGATAATATTCTATTCGGAAATGAGTATAACTCATCTCGTTATAAGGAAGTGATTCACGTTTCAGCCTCGAACGAGACATGGAAATATTACCTGCCGGAGATCAAACAGTCGTCGGTGATCGAGGAGCATCACTTTCTGGAGGTCAAAGAGCGCGGATTAACTTGCCCGTGCTCTTTATGCTCACGCCGATATTTACCTTCTAGATGATCCTTTATCGGCTGTTGATGCTCCAGTGGCTAAACATATCTTTGAGAAAAGTGTTAAAGAGTTTCTATCTGATAAGATCGCTATTCTGGTTACCCATCAGTTACAATTCATGAAATCAGCTGATCGTATATTATTACTACGAAATGGTTCACAGGTTTGTTTTGGTGATTATACTGAATTCTTGAAAAAGGGAAATGACTTTCTCACATCAACAATAACCGCAGAAAATGAGCCTAAACCTAAGCCGGTTGTTGAAAAGGTGATGTCAAGACAATTGAGTAAACGGATCAGTCGTCAATCATCATTGGCATCAATCATGACGGGAATCACTGGAACTGAAAATGATCTTTATACAGATCAAATTTATACTCTAGATGAAGGTGAGGGTGAAGAAGATGAACTTTCCGGACTTAAAACCAAATCCAATTCTCTTTGGACTTATATTCGAGCGGGAATTCATCCTACTCTTTTACCAGCATTCGCGTTTTATATTCTGGGTAGTCAACTGCTCATGTCTTTTATTGAATATTATTTCTCACTCTGGACCGATTCTGAAGAGCGAAAGTCTATCGCCTTCTCAAATAATTCAACCATCTTGGTGGCACAATCGTTTGTTGATAACTTCAGTCAAACCGATAATATCTATTTCTTTGCTGGATTAACTTTAATCTTGTTGGTTTGGTGTTTAACTCGTAACGTTGCCTTTTTTGCCGTTTGTATGAGAGCCTCGATCAAACTTCATTCCCGATTGTTCAAATCAATTGTTCGAGCTCCAATTTCATTTTTCGATGATAATCCTCCAGGAATTATACTTAACCGTATATCTCGAGACATTGGAACTGTTGATGATTTCTTACCTGCAACCATGTTCGATACTTTATTCATTATAACTTCCAATTTTGCTGCGATCTTATTAATGTCGGTGGTCAATGGTTTCTTAGCGATTCCTTCAATCTTACTGTTTGTTGTTGCGGGAATTGCTCGTAACTATTATGTTGACATCGCTCGAAATGTTAAAAGGCTCGAAGGAGTAACTAAAAGTCCAGTTTTTTCTCATCTGTCAACATCCGTTTCAGGGTTAACTACAATTCGAGCGTTCAAAGCTGAATCACGATTCAATGAACTTTTCGATGTCTATCAAGATGACCATTCATCGGCATATTTCACTTGGATCGCTTCATCCCGATTCTTTATATCGATGATGAATACGATTTCAAATTTTTATACTCTTGCAATTATCGTCATTGTATTGGTTGTTATCGATTCTCTTAATGGTAGTAGCGTGGGTCTTATTATTACATCCAGTATTGGACTTGCCACTGGTATTCAATGGGGTATGAGACAATTAACGGAAGTTGAAACCATGATGACTTCGGTTGAACGTGTGGATCAGATGAGATACATTGAACCCGAAGCCGAATTAGATTCAACCCCTGAAAATAAGCCAGCCGATTCTTGGCCCAGTAAGGGTGAAATTGAATTCCATCATGTTTACCTTAAATATGATCCGAAAAAAGCTCCAGTTCTGAATAATATTAGTTTCAAAATTAATGCTCGAGAAAAGGTCGGCATTGTTGGTCGAACTGGTGCCGGTAAAAGTTCAATAATGACTGCTTTATATCGAATGACCGAAACGGAAGGTCATATAATCATTGATGGAATTGATGTTTCATTGATTGGATTACATGATTTGAGAAAAAAGATTTCAATTATTCCTCAAGAACCGATAATATTTTCAGGATCAATTCGATACAATTTAGATCCATTTAGCTCAAAAAAAGATTCCGATCTTTGGGAAGCTCTTAGTCAGGTACAATTAAAACGACCTGTTGATGAAATGGGTGGACTGGACGCTATTGTGACCGATGGAGGTACAAATCTAAGTGTTGGCCAACGGCAACTTGTTTGCTTGGCTCGAGCAATTTTAGCCAATAACAAGATTCTTGTTCTTGATGAGGCAACAGCAAATATTGATCCAGTCACTGATGAATTAATTCAACAGACAATCAGAAAACGTTTTGCTGATTGTACTGTATTAACAATCGCCCATAGATTACACACCATCATGGATTCCGATAAAATTTTGGTCATGGATGCAGGTAAAGTTGCTCAATTTGGTGATCCAGCAAGTTTAGCTGATGATAAAGAGGGAATCTTTTACTCAATGATACAATCAACAGGTAAAGAAACTGCTGATGCATTAATCAAGATTGCGATGAGAAGCCGATTAAGAGGCAAAGGATTTGAAGATTCAGAGTAATAATTAACTTAATCACCATTAAAAGACAACAACCAACGACACAAAAAAACAAACAAAAAGTTAACCAGAAGCAAAAATAAATAAAAAACTTAAGTCAACATGATTAACTTAATAATAATGAAAGAATCAACAACAAGTTAATATAAAAAGTCAATAAATGATAATGAATATGATTAAAAGGTGTGTTAGATTACATGTTAATCCACTTAATCACTTAATCAGAATCATTATCAATCCATAAAATGATATCTGTAATAATTTAATGCGATAAACTTGTCAAATTTTAACACTATTTTGTTTTGAAAACTTTTCTTATATTTTGATCATCTAAGTTGATACATAATAATAATATAATTAGTTGATTAAGATTAACCATTTTGATAAGAAAAAACAATTTTCATAACCAGTTAATCAAATCAATTTGAATCCACCTTGATTGCTGATTAATTAATATCACTTAATGAGATAACCTTAATTGTAAGATAAGAAAAACTTTTTTTTTTGATTATCCTACACTCTCGTTGTAAATAATAATATAATTTATAAATTGTTGGGCCTTTAATTGCTAATCAAAGTTTGATTTACCCAATTAAACAACGATAATCAAATTAATCAAATTAACTGAATTAACTGATTGTAATCAGGTAAGTTTTTTTTTCCTACTTTTCTATTGGAAGAAAATAAAAACTTTAATTTACTCGTAATTAAGATTTGAATCATAAATTTGATTTTCCTTTGAAAACTTTTTTTTTCGTGGGCAACAATCAACTAATTATTAATTGTCCATTAGTGGTTAACTTTTAATTGTTTGGAATTTATTTCTCTGCAATTTAATTTATATATTAAGACGCGTTAATTAAATTACCACAACTGTCAACAGTTAAACGGTAATTGTTAATCGTTGTGTTTAATTTGATTGCGTCAATTAATTAATTTTATTTTCTCAGCATGAGTTCAGAGTCATTGATGACATTTATATAATAATAATTAACTGATGCTGACAATTAGTGACAGATTAAGATTATTATAATTAAGATATAGTAATAGAAAAGATTAACAATTAATCCTTTAATTAATGACGATAAGAGATAAATTCATTTTCAATATCTCCAGTGTTCCCATTAGTTAATTCAATTGATCATTTAGTAACCATTGATACTGTTAACTTAATTACTAAATTAGTTAATTGTTGTTGTTTTAAATTGATCAGTAAATTAAGTTGATTGTTTTTTCCTCATCATCAAAAAACAAACAAACAAACAAACAATCAAAATGAATGAACCTCGACCAAGATCATATACAATTGAAAAATCAATTGATTTGGAATCATCTTTATCCAATTTACCAGAATTGAATAACAATCAACACCAAAACCACCAATCAACATCAATCAGTGAGAATAAATTGTCAACAATTAGCTACAACAACAACAATAATAGTAAAACACGTCAATCATTTTCTCGTCGATATTCACAATACACTAATTGGTCGTCAACGAATCAAATTAACTACGATTCTGGTCGAGTTTCAATCACTCGTCGTAAATCAGTAATCACACCAAATCCGATTACAATTAACACTTTTTTATCCAAACTTCGTATCGATATTATGATATTTTTATTGATTTTCGCTTCCGCCGTTCAGAATATAACAGTTACTCGAATCATGAACGATAAGATGTGTTTCAATCAATTTCATTCTCGAAGTGAATTCTGTTTTCCAATTCAATACACCAACGAGGAAGACGATGGTTCAATCGATATTCTTGATAGGATCAATCTAACAATTAACACCGTTAAACGAGTTGATCACATTAAACCAATTGAATTGTGTTTAACCACAATTCCAGGAGCAATTACAACTTTTCTATTCGCAATTTGGATTGACGCTTATCCCAAATATCTGAAATACATGTTGAGTATTCCAACCCTTGGGTTTATCTGTCAAGTGATCATATTGTTAATTAATGCTTCGTTTTTTGAAATGAGTAAGTAAATTAGTCCAATCAATGGTTTTCACAGATTAATTCATTAGCAGGATTAATGTTTTGAAACTTTATTCATGATGATAATAAGTGGTTACGATTATGATGTGTGTATGTATGTGAATACATCTAAATGTTTAATGAGTTAATTAGTTACCAAAACAATCAAAAAGACAATCAAGTTATTGTTGTTTCACTTTGTTCCCATAATCATTGTCTCTTAACAAGAGATATACGATTTAATTACAATTGTAACAATTATCGGAAGACAATTTTATTAACCTTGTTTAACCATTTGAAAAGCGGTAAAAATTTGGCTAATTAAGGAAGGATGAAGATGATGATGATAATGATAATGATGGAGTGTAAAGAAAGAGAGAAAGAAAGAGAAAGATGAAGATGAAGATGTGAAAAATAAGACAGGTATTCAGGTGAACCTGTATAAAGATTGTTTCTTGTTAAAAGATGAACCCAGTAATTTACATATTACCTTTACCTTTATGCTGGAAGAAAAGTTTATCTTCCTTGATGATGATGATGATGAGCCTACGAAGAGACATCAATAGTTAATTGTAACTAAATTACATGGTTCATAACCTTTGTTTTCATCATTATCATTATCATCATCATTATTATTATCGCCATCATTATCATCTTCATCTTCATCTCTCTCTCTCTCTCTCACTCACTCACTCTCTTTCTTCAAACAAGATAATTAAAATGAGACTCCAAACATGATTTAAACATAATGATTATATCTCAATTTACTCTCGATAATTTTGTCTTGATTGTTGTAACATTTAATTTGTTCACATTTCTCACCAAATCTTTTTAATATTAATGTTGATCATCATAATCAACTTTGATATCTTTGCTGTTATATTGTTATCATATTGTTATGCTAATAACGATTCAGAGATATACTAATATGTAATTGTAATCGTTAAATAATTATCAACGATTTGTTGATTGTCTCAATTTCATTTTCTAACTAATTCCTGGTTAGATTATTAACCTTGAGAGTTATTATTTGTTATTCTATTAATAATTTTCTCATTTCTAAATTTCCAATTACAATCAATCATCTCATTCAATTTGTCAATTCATTTTCTTCACTTTTCTTGTTTACCTGGTCAAGAATCAGAGAAAAACAAACAAATTTGAAGAATTGAATCTTCCAATAATTGATTAATCATTCATCTTAATCAATAAATTTTGTTTTCTTTCTTTAATTAAAGATTCAATTGCTACAATATTGTCTTATATACCTTTCGGTTTCCTTGGAGCAACAATCAGCCCAATGACAGCAATTTATATCTTCATTGCAAGGACAACACAATTTAAAGATCGTTGCCTTAGATTTGCAATATTGAATACGTTTGTAATTATTGGTAAGAATTCATTGAACCATTTGTATCTGAGTATATTGAGAGAGAAAAGTTAATTACATTGATTGTAAATGTGTAAATTAACAAATCATGATGAAACTTATTTTCTTAATTATCTTTACGTTTTTTACTTTCTCTCAATTTCAGGTTCAATTGGTGGCACTTTAATTGGTGGATTAATATTACGATCACGACCCTGGACATCGGCTCAACCTGAAAATTATATCGGTTTACTTGCATTCATTTTAATTGTTGGCTTGATTTGGTTAACATTTTTCTTACCAATATCACCTTACGTAGCAACAATTGAAGATAATCATGACAATATCTCTGAATACTCTTATAAAACAACGGTGGCCAATTATTATATCTCTGAGGATATATTTAGATTATCCAATCTTCGGGTTATCTGGATAACTTTCACCCGAAAGCGACCTGAAAATGGACGCCTACGGATTTGGTTACTAATTATTGGCCTACTGATTATACTTTGTTGTACATCGGGAAGAGCTCGGATTAACTTTGACTTTTCCAATAGAGTTTATCAATGGGATCCCATGTTAATTACTTTTATCAATCTACTTGTAATTATGGTTCCAACTTTATTCACGTTGGTTTTTGCTCCAATTTTAACTAAAACTCTTGATTGTGATGATACAACTTTAGGTATAATCGGTTCAATTTCCCTTCTTCTTATGAACATCGTTCGAGGTTTCATCTTGGAACCTCATGGATTCATTGCTTCCTATCTGATCGGCTGTCTTTCTGGTCTCACTACCATTTCGATAAGATCAATATTATCAAAATCTATCGAAGAATATGAGATTGGACAAATATTCAGCGTTCTTTCAACCTTCGAACACTTATTTCCAACTCTATTTGCTCTTTGCTCGGAAAATATCCTCAAGCAAACGTTCACCATAAATCCTGGTATCGTTTTCTGGTTCTTTTCAATTCTACTAATTTTCCCAGTTCTCTTAATGATTTGGTTACGAGCAACTAAATCTAATTGGAATTATTCTGAAACCCAAAAGTTTATATTATCTTAATTATCCTTTCCACCAATTAACGAACAATGAACAATTACAGTTACCAATTCACATTCGAATGACATTTAAAACTAATTTAATTTATTTACTTTTCTTTTCTAATATATATATAAAAAAATGTCCAATTCTTTATTTACCTTTACTCTTCTTCTTCAACTAAAATTAACGACAACAATTAACTAATTGTAAGTGCGAGAGAAAAAAAAATTAAAACTTTCTCACTTTCGAATCAGTTAATTGTGTTTGAAACCTCAAAGTTTCACTTTAAATTGGAAAAACAGAAAACTGATTATAATCAACAATCAAAGTGCTAAATCTAACATTCAGTGCTAATTGTTAAAAGTTAATTGTTATCAATTTAACAGTTTCTTTCCTTCCTGTTATCAAATATCTTCTTCTCAATATCTCATTACCTGTAATCTTTACTTTTTTTTAGCCTAAAGGCAAATTGAATATCATATTTACCTTTCTAAATATTAGTTACCACAAAATCTTATCCGATAACAATTTAGAAGGAGAAAGAAAAAAAGTTGAAGATAATTTAGTTGATCAACTGATTAACTGATTAACTAGAAGGAGATTGTTTATCAATTTAAACAAAAGGATTTAATTGATAACAATCAACCAATAGGTAAATCACCAAAACAACAGCAACAATTAACAATCGTAAAACTTTAATTATCATGTTAATGGGAAAAAAACATTTTCTCAATTGAAAACTTGAAACTATCAATCAAATCAACGGAAAGTTAAGATTAACTTTTTCTTTGGTGAATTATTGATGATGATTGTGAGATAATCAAAGGAAATTAAGACGAGAAAAAAAGTTGCTTATCTGATTAATTATATCTACTAATTAACTAAATAACAAGTTATCATGTTTGAATTATAACCTTGACTCAATGTTACCTTTTTCCCATTGGAAAATCATTAATCGTTGATGATGATCATGTTTTTGCTCAACTGTTAACAAACTTTAGTCTCGAACAATTAATAATCTATAAGCTGAATTAATCCTAATCATCATCAATAGTGAGAGAGAGAGAAAGATAAAATTAATGATTCTGATGAAAAAGATTAGATATTGAGAGAAATCATCAAAATGATTAAATGGATAATAAGACAATTTAAAGATCAACGAAACCAAAGAAAAAAAAATTGAATCATTTTCTCAATTAAAAATTTAACACACACACACACATAGAGAGAGAGAGAAAGATAAGTTAATTGCAATTAATTAAAAGTTAATTGTGACATTAGCTAATTCCAAGGATAAGCTTGTCAGGTTAATTGTGACGCAAACTCAATTCAACTAATTGTGAACACAAACTGTGAAACTAAATTAACTTTAATCTTGATACGAATGGTGAAAATTTTACCTTTTCCACTGATTAAGTAGAAACATGTTATTTGTACGGAAAAGTGAACAATTTAAATCAATCAAATCACAATTAGTAAATTTTTTCACCAACAATTGGATCACAATATTGTGTGTATTTGGTTGTTCTGGTCAAATCTTCCTACTGACCAGAGACTATTTTGTAAAGGATGTTACTTACGAAGTGATTCCGGTCAGTCCGATTGATATTACCATTCCAAAGATATCGATTTGTATTCCCATGAAATCAGTTCTTAATTATACTAAATTAGTTGTCGATAAATGGTCAATATTTACCCGTTGTCATCGAAATCTAAGTAGATATTGTATTCTCGATAATTATTCAATCGAATCGCTTGGTTCAATTTTACTCGAACATTTTGACATAACCACAATTCATCCTTATATTGTTTCATCTGAACAAATGATTAACTTTATTTTAATTCATGGATCAATGAATGTATCAGAAAAGGGAATTTGTAACACTAAAGATTATCTGGTTTACCCTGAAGTTTGTTATACCATTGAGTGTACTCGAAAAGACGGAAGTCCAGTACTAGCCCATCGATTTCAACCCAACTTTTTAGCGGCAACTGAATCGTTGGTACAAATTGGCCTGAAAAGTTCACTATTATCATCGGAAAAAAGATTCACCATCTCACTACAATCAATGACCCATCCAAGGCGTGAAGCTGAATACGAATACGGATTAAGTGTCACATGTCCATCAGATCGGTTAACGTTCAGAGCGCAATTTAAGTTCAGTAAACGATTTATGGTCAACTTACCTTATCCCTACCCAACTGATTGTGTTAATTACGATCGTGATGTGACAATTTCCCGTTGTCTTAACAATTTATCATTCAATCTTTTCAATGCACCTTATCCTAGACGACAAATTGATCTACTTGCGTTTTCAGGTCAATCGTTCAAACTTTTCCCCGAATACAACGATCAAACACTGACACAGTTGAGAAAAATTCGAGATATTTGCTACCATGATTATCCACACCCAAGTTGCCTTTGTGAGATAAATTCTCTCTCATTATTGACACGAGAATTTACTATATTACCTTTCTATACCAATTCGACGATAATTGAAATTCAAGCACCCGACGAACCTGATCTGGTCTATTTCGTTACTCCGAAAATGGCCTTATCAGATTGTATCGTTATGATTTGTAGTGTTGTTGGATTTTGGTTCGGATTTGATGTTTACCATGATGCTGATCAAATTATAACAAGATTACGTTTCATAATTAAAAAATGGCTCACCAAATTAACTGGAACAATTAATGTTACATCGCCTCGATATCGAGCAGCAATTAAGCCAAAAATGATTGGAAATCAAATTGGAAAATCGATAATAATAAGTAAAGTTAATCAACAATCATTTTCTTTGCAATCTGATAATCAATTATTTCAATTAATCAAGTAATCAATTAACAATTAACTATAATTCCAACAATAATAAAATCAAATGAATGTGAGTTTTAAGTTACATGGAAGCAGATAATTAGTAAATCATCATCTTCTTTAAATTGTAATTAATAATCATCGATAAAATGAAAATGTTTACTTAATGTGATTCTAATTGAGGAAGAACTAATTGTTTTAACCTGATCATAATTATAATCAATTGTTAATTGTAAATTAATGAACGATGTAAAATTAACCGCAATCATTTGGTGATGTTGATTAGAGTCTATGAGAATCTTTGTTTTAATATGAATGTTGATTAAAAAATGAAAATAACAACAAATAAAAATGTAATTTCTCAACAATTAGTTAATTGTTGTGTGGTCTCTTTTATTGCACATTAAGCGCATTAATAAATATAATCAAGAGAGAGATAGAGAGAGAGACAGAGAGTAAGGCACAAATTGTATTGTATCAATGAAAACTTGGTAATTCACAATTTAGGGATTTGAGCTTTAAAATATCATTCATGTAATTTGAGAGGATTTTTGAAGTTTTTTTTTGTTGTTATCATAAAAATAGTGATATTAAATCATCAATGGAATCAGTGTTGGATTATCCAATGGGGGGAGATTAGAGATTATAGCAAAAATAATCATTATTTACATTAAAATAATTTACATGATAAATATGAAGATATAATATTAAAAAAAAATGAGATGCTGATCATTATGGTTAATGAATGGACATTTTCAGGAACCGGGTTTCTTCAACGAGGGTATTTAGTGTTGAATTAAGATCGTTAATAACCATATTTGAACTGTGGTTAATTAATCCTTGTTCAGTCATCCACTGAACCATTTCATCGGGTAAAATGATATCTTGATTTGCTTGGTCGATTGGTTGATGATGATGATGATGATGGTGATGGTGATGATGGTCAGAAACACAGTTACGATGATTAACATTATTATTATTATTATTGTTGTTGTTATTGATAATATTTGAAGGATAATGTTTATTATTATTAACATTTACTGTTTCGTTTGGATAATGAATCTCTGTTACTACGGTTGTAGTTGATCCTGTCGTTGAACCAGCCGTTGTTCCCGTGGTTCGAGTTGATGCTGTATCACTAAAACCTCCAGAGACACAATTAACCCCTGAGGAAATAGAAACAGAACTGTTTAAAGTTGTTAGTGAAGCTGAAGGCACAAATGGCTCTGGGCTTATTGCCATGGCTTTTGAGAGAGCTAAACTTTGTGGAGCAATTAACAGATTATCAGTTTGAGATAAATGATGTACTATTGATGGAGGGCGACGATTAACGGCACTTGGTTCATCTTTTAGTCTTGAATGGTGAGATAATCCAACCGGACCAATTGAACTTGTTGTTATATTACCATTGGTATTATTTGTTGTTGCATTATTATTATTATTATTATTATTACATATACCGGATACATTTGTTGGGATAACAGGCAAACCAGTGCCAAGTCCTGAACCATAGAGACTTGAGTTGGATGCATCACTTGATCGTCTACTGCTCCCACCAAGGGAAATAGGGTCATAGGAAGAGCATCGAGCAAGATTGGCACCATTACAAGGACCTTCCATACCAGTGTTGGTCAAATTGTTACAATTGGTCAAACCGTTTGAACTGCTTTCATTTGTTAGCTGACTGGCATCTGATCCAAGAACTGATGAATAAAATGAATTGATACTGCTCTCGGTGCTTCCATGACGAACTAGATTGGATTTTATCATTGATGATTTTTTATCTCCCTTTTTATTGGATATCATTTTCTCACAGTTAATTATGTCATCATCAAGACCATAGGAGGTCGCAACATTGTCACGATGATGACCTTTTGAGATTAAAATATTTGGTATCCAATTGGTTGCTGAGCGGAAACTGTTTTTCAATTTATTGGCAAATGATGATCGAGGTTTCATTGGATCTTTATTGGAAATTTCAATTATCGGTGAGGTTAATGAAGGAATACCTGGTGAATTAACTGATGAATAGTTGGGTGAACGATAAGCCACCGTGGTAACACCGCCGGTGTTTAGGTTTGAACCTCCATTACCAAGGTTCAATCGGATTCCACTTGAAGGTAAAAGGTCAGTTGATGATGCGTCTAAATCAATCGGTAAACTATTATTATCATTAACACTGTTTCCACCGACTGAATTTTGTGTACACCAATCGTTTCCGATGCACGTAGTTGAAACACTATTATCACTAATTGGAGGTTCAATACAATTTCCGTTGGCACTGTTATTGTGAAGATTATCACCAACACAATTTATATTAACATCTTCACCATTTAAGTTACTAGTATTATGATGATTATAATGATTGTGAACATTAATTGAACTTGGACTTGATATCATTTCACTTTTTTCACTCTTAATTGTTTGGTTCAACACTTTGTCACCTCCGCCTCCAGGGCCATTTACACAATCACTATTACCTTTATAACCATTAATATGACAATTAACACTCCCACTAGCGGTCCTAATGTCATTAGCCCCAGTGCCGTTATTATTATTATTATTATTATTGTTACGATGATGACTACTTCCATTACCATTGCCATTATTATTATTACCACTTCCACCATTACCTCCATTGCTACGGTTACCATTATTACCGTTATTCCGTTGATGATTTCCATTAGAGTTAATGTTTGATCCTCCTCCACTTCCACTGCCACCGGCACTACCATTACCACCCACCACCACCACCACCACCACTACCCTTTCTATCATCATTATGATCATCATCATTCATACCTTTTTTATGCTTTTTATTTGCATAAACATCAGGACCATGAACCGTTTTCACATGTTTACGAAGTGAACTTGGATCAGTATATTTCTTCATGCAACCAGGAACACCACATTTAAATGGTTTCTCATTGGAATGAGTTCGATTCTGGTGTTTCGCTCGATCGGAAGCATTTGAAAAAGCTTTAGTACAATTAGGAAACTCACAGGAATAAGGTTTCTCTCCAGTATGTGATCGTAAATGAGTTTTCAAATTTTCCAACCGTGAATAAGCCTTAAAACAACCTTCAAATGTACACTTATTAGGTTTTTCTCCGGTATGTTTACGAGCATGAACAACCAACATATATTGAGCTTTGAACTGTTTACCTTCACGAGAACAATCCTTCCAACGACAGATAAACAATCGTTTATGATTAGTTTGCTGAATATGATCAATGTTAACATGTTTAACCAAATCTTCTTGTGTAAGAAATTCTCGAGTACAATCACCCCACTGGCAATTAGTCTCAAAATTAGGATCAGGTCCACCATCTTCTCTCTCTTCCATATTACTATCTTCAATTTCAACCCTTTTATTGGGTTTATTATTATTCTTAAGGTTTGATGAATCACGGTCAACTTCCTTATCCAGAACAGTCGATGATACAACATTACTTGCTGTCTCATGACCGTTATTTTTACCCGATGATGGAGAAGATGATGAATCAGCAGTATTACTTGCAGAAGGAATAATTTTAGAACCTTTTTTACCAAGTAAACCAGTAAAAGCCGATGACGATGAGGAGCTTGTGTTATTATTATTATGGACGTTGATGGCACTATTGTTGTTGTTGTTGTTATTGTTGTGATGATGATGAAGATAATGATGGTGATGATTATTGTTTGCATTGGCTGCTGAAAAATTAGCAATATTATTGCTTAGATTAAGTGATGAATAATAATGACCAAGTCCAATATGAGGTGTAAAGGCTGAATTTTGGCAGGTTAAGATTGAATTTGATCCTAATGAACCAGGACCTGAAGGTCCTGAAGGTAATAAAATTGGTGACCTGATGAAAGGATGAAGATGAGACGGAAGACCAGCTTCTGATGGTGGACGACTGAATGATGGACTCAAAGAACCTGAATCAAGATAAACAAACAGAGGGGAAAAAATGTAAACAAGAAAAAAATGATTAACCATATATAACAGATCAATTTGATGACTTTTCATCCCTTAATCCTAAATCTCTCTCTCTCTCTCTCTCTCTCTCTCTATTTGTTTGTAAACAACAATAACGATTTATCATTGATCTTTTATTTAAAATTAATGGTGCAAAATAAAAATTTTTGTGCAATTCATTAGCTGTTTTTACTTGAATAGAGAGTACAAACTGTGTTAAATAAATGAGTTTACAGAAAGAAGAAAAAAAGAGAAGAAAAATTGAACAAAGAGATGGAGAGAGAGAGAGAGAAAAAAAGAAAATTAAGAGAAAAAAGAAGGCGAGGCGAAAGAAGATTAAGATGTTGAAGAAGATGAAGAAGTGAAGTTACAGAGTGAAAGATGAGCAAGAGGATGAACAAGAAAGATGAAGATGTAGAAAGAGAGAGAGAGAAGAAAAATGCTGTCACGATGGAGAATCGGCAACTTTTCTCTCTCTCTCTTTTTCTCTTATCCTCTTTTTTTTCTCTTCTCTTTTCCTTCTTACATCTTCATTATCTTCTAACCTATAATAATACCGAAATAATAAACATTCGGTTGAAAATTAAGTCTATATAAAAATAAATAACCTGGTATAGGTTAATGAAGATGTAAGAAAAAGAGAGGAGGGAGAGCGATGGAGAGAAGAGAGAAAAATGGAAAAAAAAGTTGCCGATTCTCCATCGTGACAGCATTTTTCTTCACTACATCTTCATCTTCATCTTTGCTCATCTTTCACTCTGTAACTTCACTTCTTCATCTTCATCTTCTTCTTCAACATCTTAATCTTCTTTCGCCTCGCCTCCTTTTTTTTCTCTCAATCTCTTTGTTCAATTTTTTCTTCTTCTCTTTCTTGTCTCTCACTCTCTCTCTCTCTCTCTCTCTCTCTCTCTCTCTCTGTCTCTCTCTCTCTCTGTCTCTCTCTCTCTCTGTTCAACCTCAATTATTTAACAAAATTTTCTCTCTAAACTATTCAACAAAAATACCTAATGAAGGATTAAAGACTAAATCGCAGTCAAGCAGGAGGATCGGATTATCCATGTTAAACTAATCACAGTCACTAAATTTTCATCTTCTTAAACAAAATACACACACAGACACACACACACACACATACAGTACATGGATTTATACAAAGAGATTAATAAGAGAATAGGTAATTTGTTGATCTACTTACTTGCTGATAAATGACCGTAAGAACCACCACTCGCTCTTGAACGAGATCCATTGACAAGTGAAAGAAGTGAATTTGGTGAACATCTTATTAGAGAATTTATGTCAAAATTATCTGATCCTGGTGAAAGTGCTCGTTTACGACCTCCACCACCTCCACTTTCTAAGGCATAACTTGTCGCAAGTGAAGCTGCACTTGAGGCATCACATGTTGGATGACAATGGAAATCAACAGCACCAGGAGGATGAAATGGTGAATAAAATCCATGGTATGGGAAATGAGAAGCTCCTGGAACAACATTTGAGGCCGCTGAGCTTAACGACCAAACGTAATTTCCTTCATGGGTCCGAGAATCGATATTAATTCCATGGGCCCACATAACTTACAGATAAGGCACAATACTAATGATAATCATACAAAAAGAAATCAAGACTTTAGAACTTCTTATCTATTTACTTATTTATATCAAAATTAGAAACAAAAAAGTCTCACGTTAACAAAACAAAAAGAAACGAACACAAACAAACGCAAGAGAAAAGAGAAACGAAATGTTAACTAGAGACTAATCCAATTCTAACTGAGCCAATGTCAGAATTCAAACTCAAACTCCTCCCGCGAAATTCACAATTTCAGTGCTTCCACCTGTTGGTCGATATTTCGACTATTCGATTTTCTTTTCATTTTTTTTTTAATTGTTACCAAAAGAATCACAATTAACGATTGACTTTTTTTCCATTTTTTATATTACCACTTTTTCTGATTCTAAATTTTCATTTCTCTTATTTTTTTCTTATTCTTTACGCGTTTGATTCTTTTCGTATTATATTTTTAAACGAAAATTATCTTGATGGTTAATAGATTTTACTCTCAGATTTTTTTTTGATTAAATGATTTCGATTTTGATTTTGATTCTTGGGTTTAATCATCGCCTTGGTTTGTGTTCGAAACTCCAACATTTCCTCGAACAGGTCAATTGAAATCCTAATGGGCCATTAGTTTGAATCAATAGAATTTCACAATTGTTCTAATTCAATAGAATAGCTTTGATTTACTATTGAATTAGTGACTCTGAGAAGACAATTAACTAATTGTTATTGAAATAATCTCAGAATCAATGTTAACTATTGAGTAACTCAAGGGAAAGTAGTTAATTTTTGGCTCGAAAATTGAAAATTAAAGTCGACCAATAATAACGTTAGAGAGATAGACATTTATACTCTTGGTTTTAAGAAATCAAAGAATTTAATTAACTATCGGTTTAATTAACAATCGTTCGGCTTGATTATCTTGGAGATTTAAAGAAGACCTCAAATGACATTTCGATAACTTTTCGGTTTTAATTTTTCTTCTCGATTAGAAATAGTTACAATCATTTGGAGTGAATTGAGTCAAACAATTAATTAAATTTTAACCCTAACAATTAATGTTACATCGCCTCGATATCGAGCAGCAATTAAGCCAAAAATGATTGGAAATCAAATTGGAAAATCGATAATAATAAGTAAAGTTAATCAACAATCATTTTCTTTGCAATCTGATAATCAATTATTTCAATTAATCAAGTAATCAATTAACAATTAACTATAATTCCAACAATAATAAAATCAAATGAATGTGAGTTTTAAGTTACATGGAAGCAGATAATTAGTAAATCATCATCTTCTTTAAATTGTAATTAATAATCATCGATAAAATGAAAATGTTTACTTAATGTGATTCTAATTGAGGAAGAACTAATTGTTTTAACCTGATCATAATTATAATCAATTGTTAATTGTAAATTAATGAACGTTATAAAATTAACCGCAACCATTTGATAAACTAGAGTCTATTAAAGTTTCAATACCAACAACAATTAACTAATTGTTGTGTGGTCTCTTTAAATTACCATTAATCCAATTAAAAGTAAACCATAAAATCAATTAACCATCAATAACTGTAATCAAAAACTTTCTAACAATAAATCAGTAAACATAAATAAACTCAATGAATTGAAAAGAAATAAAAATTAGTTTAAACAATTAAATTTTGAAAAATTAAAACTCGACAATTTATTTAATTGATACGATAAAAGATGTCACCAGTTTCTATTGATTAAGTGATCAACTTTTCATCATTCAATTAATGAAAAGCCTGAGGGTAAATTCAATTTTCATGGTTAATTATAATTTAATCATGTTCACGATTTGCAAATGCAAATTGTTTACACATTTTCATTTAATTCTCAATTATTTCAATAGTAATTAAATTTTCTAACAAAAGAAGAAAAAAATTTCGAATTAAATATTCATTCGAAAATGGCGCTTAATCAGCTGCTCTTATTTTCACCATTTGTCAGATCCCCTTTTCTTTTTCCCCTCCTCCCTCCTTCTTCTCCCATTGTTATCATTACTCTTCCGTCTTTCCCTTTTATCATCTTCTCTTTCTTTTTCTCTACTTTTTTCCTTACTCTCTTTCTCTCTCCCTCATCTCTTTCTTTTCTTTCTTTCTCTCTCTTTCTGACTCTTTTTTCATCATCATCATCATCATCTACTCAGTTTTGAGGTGAAGTAAGAGAGAGAAAGAGAGAGAGAGAGAGAGAGGAAGAGGGAGAGAGAAAGAGAGAGAGAGAAAATGATCTTTCAAAGGTGATATTTTGATCTCATGTAGAATTAATTTTTGTTTGTGCTTAATTAATATTTTATTTAATTTGTGAATTACCTGTGATTTTGTATAATTGAAAATAGAGAAGAGAATTATTTATATTTGTATATTTAGAAAAGCAAGAAAATCTCTGCCAACAAGCGATTACAACTGAAAAATTGAGGCGAACAATTGAAAACAAAAATGATGATTGGTTCTAATTATGGTTCTAATTGTATCAACAGTAGTAGAAGTGATTCTTTAGTAGCTGTTTGTTGTCATTCGAATCCGATTATGTTACCCGGATCCGCTTCACTCTAATTATCACCAAATAATGAATTATCATCTAGTCTAATGTACAGTTACACCCCCCATCATCATCTCTTATCAATGTTATCTCGATCTCATTCACCATCACCATCACCAACCCGCCCACCATCAAGAGTCTCATGTGAATTCGACTCCTGGTATCAAGAGTTAGGAATCCATTCTATTGATGACATACCAGAAAGGTGTTCAAGCCTCATTGAATGGACCAAGACTAAACCTCTCTTCATGTTACGATTAGATCCCGTTGACAGAGCAGTTCTTAGGATTGCAGGTAAATACCAAAGTCTCTCTTAATCTTAATCTCCTTTTCCTCTCAAATTTTCAAGACCTTTCAAAGTATCTCCGTGTCTCTAATCCAATCCTCCGGTTTTTTTTCTTTTCTTTTCTTTCTCTCTCTCTCTCTCTCTCTCTTTCTCAAAACCCCCACATATACACTCACTCACCCACAGATGAAAGAGATGAAATTCAAAAGAAAACATTCACCAAATGGGTTAACAAACATCTTATCAAAGCAAATCGTCGGGTTATCGATTTATTTGAAGATCTCCGTGATGGCGAAAACCTTGTATCTCTATTAGAAGTATTGTCTCAAAAAGTATTACCCCGTGAAAGAGGACGAATGCGTGTTCACATGTTACAAAATGTTCAAAATGCATTAGATTTTCTCAAACGACGTCGAATTAAACTTGTCAACATTCGTCCAGATGATATCGTCGATTCTAATCAGAAATTAACATTAGGACTAATTTGGACCATTATCCTTCATTACCAGGTAAACATGACAAAACTAAACAATTTCATCTGTTCCCATTTTCTAGGTTAAAGCGCCACTTTCAACATTTACAACTTTTTTTCTCTCTCACAATCACTTTACTCTCTCATTGTGAGTGACTAATATTTGGAGTACATGGGATGAGAGTTTGAATCTGAAATGGTTATTATTTATTGCTTAGGTTGTTATAATTTCTTTTTTCTCTCATTTTTTTTTCTCGTTCCTATCATCATGACTAATCATTTGATGACATTTTTATTTCATTTGATATTATTTTTCTATTCTGTTCTTTTTTATCTCTCTCACTCTCTCAGTTCTTTTTCTTTTTTCATGTTCTCCATTTTACCCCAATGAAGATAAGCAAAGATGGCAGCACATCTTTTTCCCGTAAAGTTTTGGGTTTCAAATGATTTACAGACAAACAATTTCAATCTAATCACAATTGAATATTGAGATTGAATAATTGTTAATCAATATTATATGTTATCGAAACCACGTATCATATTTACAAACGGAAATCGTAATGAGCATCATTTCTGTATTTACATTTGTATTTATATACAAATTATTCTGTAACTTGATGAAGTTAAAGAAACACCAGAGGAGAGTTTAATGGGCGTCAATGTTAACCAACTTTCTCTCTCTTTCTATCTGGTTCCTTAAAAGGGAACAAAAAAGGAGGGAAAGAGGAAGAAAGAAAGGGAAAAAGAAAGAGAGAGAGAAGGTTACCTGAGAGTGAGAATACCTCATCTTACCTGGAGAGAGAGAGAGAGAGACTGGTTGAGTGAGAAGATTTTAGGTTTTGTTATGTGAGAGTAAAGAAAGAAGAAAGAAAGGTTAATGTTGAAATTCCATTGGAAGTTTTTTCTTCTTCTCTTGTTATTGTTTGTCTCTTTTTCTTCTGTTGAAATAATATCACCGATACCTTGAGGTCTTCTCCCTCTTGTTCATCTTCTATCTTCATCATCTTCATCATCATCTCATCTTCTAACCTCTGATCATCCTACTACCTTCCATTTCTATTACTCTCTTATTTTCTCTCTCTCTCTCTCTCTTCCCCATCCTCCACATCATCCTTGGGATAATAAACATCCTTGTGATAAAATTATCATCCTTAACCCCTAAAAAATTCAATCTTTTCCTTGAATAATATTTTCTTGTCTTTCTAAGTATAACCGATTTCTTAACTTCCATACTCTATCAACCTACTCTCTTATCTAACTCTCTCTCCCTCTCTCTCTCTCTCTCAGGCTTTGTTGTTGTTGATTGAAAACAAATCATTTCTCGTGGTTGTGTACGTGTTTACGTTTTCATTCATCTATCGCTCTCGCTTTTTTTACCTCCTCATCATCTCCTTCACTGACACAACCACACATCAATTCAGAGTAATAACAACTCAACAATCAACCTTAAAAAAAGAGAGAGAGAAAAATATTCTTATTATTATTTTTGTTTTTTTCTCTTCTGATTTACCTGTGGAGGCGATGAAAAGATGATGATGAAAAAGAAGAAGGATGGAGAAGAAAAAGAGAGAAAGTAAAATGAATTTCTCATCATTATCGTCTTCTTCTTCTTCTCTCACTTCACTTTCTCCCATACCTTTGATTTGTGTTGATTAATTTGTGATGATTTTAAATTCAATCAATTTGTGAATTTTGTTTCTTCAATTCATCAACATTACTCTTGATTCATAATCATTTACAACTTTAGTGATTTATCTTTGCTCAGGTTTACTTATATTGCCAAGTTAATCTAATTGTTTACCTTTTTTCTAACCTTTTCTATTGTTTTTGTTTAACTCTTTCACTATTTCAATTTTTGTGCCATCATCAACATCAGCTGATTCCTAATCTAAGGAAACAAGATTTATTTTTGCTCTATTGGCAATTGATCAACAATAGTTTCTTATTTTCTTTGTGATTTGGTTCCTCTTTTTGTTTCTGTGACTTTTTGTTTGGTGATTTCACCTTTGTTTTTATTTGGATTTACTACTTACCTTTTTACCTTTTAAATACTACCACCACCACCACCACTACTACTACTACTATTACAATTACTAAATTTTCATCATTTCATCGTAAATTGAGTTGATAAAACTATATAATCATGTATAGTTTCATTAAAGGTCCAAGACTTTTTGTCAAAGGTTCTCGTAATTCTGATGATATTGATAACATGGCTGATGTTAATGGTAATGATATGATTACCACTGGAGAGGATATTTCCAGTTCAGCGATGCATGTTGATTATCAGACAAAAACTCATTTGGCTTCAGCATCACAAGAATCACGTGAATTTTTTCGAAGTCAAAAAAATCGAAGTGGCCTTAAAACAGTTCATACTAAGCGAGTTGTCCGTAAGACCACAACGGTCACTCGTAATGAGAAAAAGGAACCGGTACGTTTTCTCAATTGTTTCAATTGTAAATGATGACTATTCACATTTCCATCCAATAGTAATAATAATAGTTTAGCTTTGTCTCTTCCTTCAAGTTTGATTCGTCATGATGAATATAATATAATATCTTTATCATGACGATGATAATGTTGATATATATTGCGAAAAACAAAACAAAGAGAGAAACACAAGCAAAAGAATGAGTCTAAATTCTGAACGGTTTCGTTGTTGATTAATATGTTGATGGAAAACTTTATTCACCAAGTTATTAAAATTTTCTATTCAATCAGGTAACATGATGTATGAACTTCCTAATTCAGGGCAAATGACCTTTTCCAGACAAAACCCGTTTGATTCATTGTAGTTATTATATCAAAATAGTAATTATCAATTTCAATCTAATCGTGAATAATAATTTCTCAGTTCACTTTTCCATGATTATTATTATATTGTTTATCTTTTGTGTATATACAGGTATTTCTCTGATTTAATTAACCGTTGTAAAGATTTTCAACTTACACCTTAATTATTATTGATTCAGTTAATCGGTAAATGAATATTTACTTTGTTTCGTTAGATTTTTAATCAATTTCTATGGTTTTCAATCAGTAAAACTTTTTCATTTGATAGAATGTTAAATTGTATCTGATTAATATTTCTCTCTCTCTCTCTCTCTATCATGTTGATTGTTATTACAATCAGTTGTTGGTGTTTGATTTACTATCATGTTGAATTTTTGATCAATATGAAGACATGAAGTTGATCAGATTTATATTTGTTTTTCTTTCAGTAATTAACTTGTAATTATTTCACCATAATAATGATAATTAATGACAATTAGAATCATTTTTTTTTCTGTTGATAGATATCAAACTTACAGCAATTAATTTTGATTATTACATTTGCTTTAATTTTATCATGTTTAGTTTACTGAAAATATCATATAACCTGAACATGACATTTGTGTATATTTTTTTAACCAAAATTTTACCTCCAATTGAGTTAATTTAAATGTTAATTGTTAATTGTTGAAACAGTTTTTTTATTTCTTTACGTTAAATTAAAAATAGTAACCATTTTTTTTTTTGATTGTTGATTAGTTTACATCAATTAAAATCATAATTAGTCTGTTCTGTAGCCATAAATCATTAAATGATTTACTCTTTGATTGTTATTGACCTTAAACAGTTGATCTGATTAATGCATTTTCATGGATGATATTTAAAAACAATAACAATTTACTTTAAGCCAAATGATTGTTTATTAATCATATTGTTTATTGATTGTTGATTCTAATAGTTATCATGATGAAGATTACAATTATTATAACTCATTTTCCGTTATTTTCCTGAACATTAGGCGTTTCTACTTATCTTTTAGAACTGTTTGTTGATTCGTTTCGAAACTTTTAAATCGATTGATGAGCTTCGAAAACCTTGGTCTCTATTGAATCATCTTTGTTTTACCTAATTCTTTTTTTTTCCTACATTTATTGTCTTTTTGTCTTCGCCTTGTTATCAAACAGCGAAAACCTTGATTTTCTCATGAGCTGGAATCACAATTGAACATTCATTTAATTGTTTTAACAATTTTCAACGCGAACAACATGTAATCCTTTTCCCACTAAAACTCGAACGTCTTTTTTAACAGAATCGTGTAAATATCAATTGTTTAGATTTAAATATGTTCTCATTTAGTTATTGATTAATTATTCTCAAAAATTGTTACTTTCTATCTAATTGATTTCCATGATAAGTTCTGAGATATTTCTCATCTCTATGTTTCTACTTATATGTAAGCTCTTTTTTTTCCTTGGTGCGAATTGATAATTTCGACGATATGCTAGACTGATTGGAATTATTTTCTATTCTTTCCATCTATTCGTTGAAATTCGTTAACAATCATCATGATGACTTTTTCTTTTTTTTGTCATCATGTTGTGACGCTTTTCTCCTCTCCTCTTCTCCTGTTGATGATAAGTCAATTCTTTTTGTCATAAATGTTTCATCTCATCTCATCTTAGTTGTTGCATGTTAACATAGTTTTCTGAGTAACGAAATTGTTCAGCTTTTGTTGTTTATGTTTCCAAGAATCCAGTAGAATCCCCGAACTCGAATTGATCTGTCTAAGCTCTTTTCTTTTCAATTTCAATTCAATATTCAGGTTATATGTTAGTCTTATTGTCATGATAATTGGGTTAAGTTACTGAAGGTGTGCTGAGTTAAATATAATTACTAATCTTCTCATTCAAAAATAATTTTAATTCTAATTGACAATAAACTCATTAAATAGACAATTACAATGTATTCAGTTAATTACAAGCGAAATGTTTCAATGATGAGTGTTGATCTAGTTTAAAAATAACTTTCCAATAGTTGATACAATTGTCTAAATGGATGAACAAGCAAAATTATTGATCGACTTTTCAATAATAATATTGGAAAAACAATGAGAAAAAAGATGATGATGATGATGATCACTAATTTCTCAATCCAAGGTAACATGATGATTTCTTTTAGGCTTTTAAATCCTTCTGTTTATTTGGATGTCATTGTTAATTGAATCTCTATTTACGTTAATTGATGTTTCTTTTTTAAATTGTCTTGAAATTTTTCCCTAAATTTCGTGTTGGTTTCGTGCCTTTTCATACTACAAGGTGTTTATCATCATCATCAATTAACCTTAAATCCAAGACAAAATGAACTTGAATGTTGTGAGTGAGTGAGTGTAACTCTGTTGAGAATAAACAATGTTTTTATTAAGCATCAATGTAACTACAGAAACTCAGGTAACATGAACGCTAAAGTTAAACAGCTTCGTTTATGTGGGTTGTGTTCCCAATCTTGTAATTTCATTTTCAATCCATTTTTGGATGAAACTATTTCTTTCAACTCAAAGTCAATCAATTAATTCTCACTCTCTCTCTCTCTCCCACTCCCATTTACCTCTGCTCATTAATGCCTCTTCTTTGTTATCGGTAACTTATATATCCCTTCCTCCAATTACCTTTACTTTTCTCTCTCTCTCCTCTCACTCTCTCGTTCTCTCTGGTGTTTCTTCATTGAAAAGGTTTCCTGTTGTTTAGAATCTAATGTAAATCAACAAGCTAATCTGATGGAACCTCCTTATTGTTGTTGTTGTTGTTTTCTTATTGTAATGATTATTTTCGGCACGTAGGTGATTCTGTTACTTGTCTCTCTCTCTCTCTCTCTCTCTCTCATTTACCTTAATTATTATTAATATCACAAGACGATCTTAGTAGTTTATCAGGATTATTTTTTCATGAGAAATTAAATTATGATTGATAAAAAAAGAAGAGTAATTTAAGTTTCATTTAGATTAAAACAACAAATCTTCAAGAATAGTATAAGATCATGATGATTATTGCAATATTTTCAGGGAAACCATTCAAGTGAATCTTACCTTTTCCTCTGTCACCTTAATCATCATTTTATAACATAGAGAGAGAGAGAGAGAGAGAGAGAGAAAGGAAAGTTCATTCAACTGGAAGATTCAATTCCAATTAATAACTTTGTCCTTTTTTTTTAAGCGAGCAATTTATTACATTTGAAGTTATTATTAGTTATCTTTACGATGATAATAATATTTGATTGTTATGACTTTTCAACTGGAATTACATTTTAATATAATTACTTGAAATGATTTACCATTAATGCGCTTCGATTATCAATATGATGTTGCGATTTTAACTTGAAAAAGTTTTAAAAAACTTTTCTCACTCAACCTTTTAAATGATCTAATTTGTTGATTGTTCTAATACATAATATTCAGTTATCACCCCAATACCATTCACTAATTTTGTTGATTATCATGATGATATTATTATTTTCTCTTATTGTATTTACATTATAACAATATGATTATTCAATATCTTTAGCTTTATCCTTCTATTCAACGTTATCGTCGTTTAAGTCTCGATGCTAATCTGGTTCCGCCAACATCGTCACCAAGGGTCAACATCATGAAAGGGTCAATCAAGGCTCTAAATTATTTATCTCATAAACATGGTCGACACTCATTCTCAACGGTATAAACACTAATTCAGTGTCAATGTTATCATGTGCACATTTTGAATGCTGAATGATTGACAAAAGTTGCTTCTTAATTGCTATTAATTACTTTTTATTGTCTTGACATTTTCATTGATTCATCTTAATTGTGCTTCATTGTCTTTCCATATGATTATAATTATTATAATCTAATCAACGACAAGTTAATCTTATTTGATGTTGCATGTTTTTCACGTTCTCGCAAATATTATATTCATTATCAATCATTAGCCTTCCTATTATTTAGATAATTTAAATATTTAATTGCTTGAGAATTAACAATTTACAGATAACCAGTTTCACAATTAATGTCATGTTTACATTCATTTGCTTACCTTTGCTTTTTTTCATTCAATTTCTTCATATTTATCAATTCATATTTATCCCTTTACTTAATCACTAACTTTCACTTTCTCATTACCTGTTAATTCAATGACAATTTAAATCAACAATTAACCATCGTTAATATGTCTAGTTGTTTAATCTGATGGTTTATCTTTTAATCCTTCAACTTGATGTAATGAAATTTTCTTACCTTTTTGTTGAAGTGTTTTTTTTTGTTTTATCAACAATCAACTAATCACTCGCCCTTCTCATTACAACTTAATGTTTACAACAATCAATTAAGTGGATTATTAGTTAACTTTTTCTATTATTGTTGACAGTTGTAATGGAAGGATAAGTGAAGGCGTTTACCTGGCGAAAATGAAAAAACAAATGGATGCCGAATGCGATATCGTTTGAGTATCTGTTAGAAAACATTTTCGCCGGAATCGGTTAATTTTCCGGTAAAATAATGTTGACAATTTAGATAATTGTAATGAGAGCAAACTGAATTTAGCTTTGATATTTAGGACAAAATTAATTGTCAAATGATTATGTTGATTAACTGATTATCTTAGTTTATTGTTGCTCAAGTTTCCACACTGATTATTAATTTCTTATTCTCTTGTTTCTTAGTTACACTTAGAATTGTTAATATTAGTAATAAAATTCAATGCAATCGATTCTTATTCTTGTTTCCATTGAAACGATTAATAAATCTCAGGGTTGATTAGTAATTGATTAGTCATTTTCTACCGGTTCATAGTTTCATGAATTTTCAGTTGACATTATCATGATCTTTAGGTAAACATTAGAATAGATTGTTAATTGTTATCGTTGAACAGTTGAAAATTGAAGCAATTGATTTAATCTTGTCTCAAATTGTTACTCGATTCACGTAACGTTTCATGTAATATGTTTGGAGAAATTGGATATGAGAAAAACTGAAATTCCAAATTGATTTCATTTCCTTATTCTTTGAAAAGAAAACAATTGAAAAGGTTAATTGTAAATTCGAACTGAGTTCGAGTTCGAAGAAAAGAGAGAAAAAAAAATTCTAATCAACCTCAATTGATTTCGATTTTTTTTTCTTCTACCGTTAATCATTTGAGCTTTTTTCTTTTCGTTCGATGCCAAATTAACACAATTGTGATTCTAAAATTTAATACAAAGAATTACTAACTGATTAATTAAATTGTTTAGATAATCAATTAGTTCGTTAGCTGATTAATTAATTTGTTTGTCTTTCTATTGGCAAGGTTAACTTTCCAAATGAAAAAGGTTAAACAATAAACATTCATTGTGAATTTAATTCAGTTGATTTAATATTTTCTCTTAATCAAATTGTTGTTTTTTTTATTAATCACAATTGAATAGTTGAACTAAATCAATTGATTAATTTACTATTATCATTGATCCTTGACCTCCATCATCTTGATAATTAAAATCACCTTTTTCTCAGTCTCTCTCCATCTGCCTCTCTCTCTCAACTATTACAATTAAATTGATCAACAGCAATTACAATTAACAACTGTTTTCCCTTCACAATCTGGTCATAAGTTAATTACAATTATATCTAATAATTAATCAACTTTATTTGCATTCTCAACAATTGCAACTTAACAGTGGGTTTTAATTGTAATTTAATCTAAGGTTTAGTCAGTTAATCAACAGAGTCATTTGTTATTCAAACTCCTTTGCAAATCTGATAGACTTTTAATTCAATCATCAATCAGAAAGCAAAATTACTATCAAATTTAATTGTTGATTTAATCATTGAAATCCAAATATGGTTATATTTTCATTGATTGATTTTACCTTTGGAATGTACCTGTTGATTAAATTGTTACCTTGTTGATGATATTTTTTCATTTCTGTTTCCGTTTTTTTTTTGATGATCATCATTTTTGTTTACCTTCACCTTGAATGCTATTATTATTTTTACTAATCTCATTTTAATCCCTCAGATAATCAAAGCATTCAGTTTATAATTATTATTAGTTTTTCCTCTGCATTTAACTCAACCTACCTGGAATTTACCTTCAGCGTGGGTATTGACGCTATATCATTGTTTCCATGTGTGTGGATGTTAATAATTGTCAATGAAATTGTCTGATTCGATATTTTTTTTTTAATTCGAACAAAAATTTTCTCCTCTTGTATTGATAATATTGCTCGATGCTGCTTTTTCTTTGCATATTCATACATACATATTGTATTCGAGTGACACTTTTGCACATTGAATTGTAATCGAAAAGCAAATAAACAAATGTCTTTATTTATTGTGCTTTTTTCTATATTATTCCTATTGGCACTTAATTGCTTCACTCTCTTTGTTTCATTCATAAATTTTTACGCTCATTGTTGTTTTTTACCTTCATTATTTTGCTTGATTAGTTGTTTACTTTTGGCAAAGTCAATGATCTTATTTGGGTCATTGAGATTTTACGAGTTAATGTTAATTTTTCTTGTTTTCTATTGTTTATTTTAACAGATTTCTGATATAATTCAACACGATGAAAGCACTACATTCAAAGAGGCTCTATTGAAATGGGCTCAAAAAACTACTGAAGGTTATCCTGGTGTAAAAGTAACTGATTTTACCAATAGCTGGAAAGATGGGCTTGCCTTCAATGCAATTTTACACAGGAACAGACCTGATCTTTTGGAATTCCGAGACTGTGCATCACGTAATAATCGAGATAATCTCGAGAATGCTTTCCAAATTGGTGAAAGAGATCTTGGTGTTACTCGTTTATTGGAACCAGAAGATGTTGATACCAAAAATATTGATGAGAAATCCATGATCACATATATCTCATCTCTTTACGAACTATTCCCTGAACCCCCTGAACGAAATCCATATCTTGATGATGAAAAACTTCGCCAGGCTCGTAAAGAGTTCGATGAGTGTTATGAGAATATGCATTCATGGTTAGTTGCCAAGGATAAAATGATCGCTGCTCTTGGTCCAATAGGTTCTGAACCTCGACTTGTTGTTACACAAAAGCAACAATGTCAAGTTATTCGTGAAGAATTTAAATCTCAAGAGAGCAGCCTTGAAAGACTAGAGAAATGTGGTGATACTTATAAACGATTATTAAAGTATAGTAGTTCCGAGTACAAACGAGTGGATGACCGAATTTCCGATATTCGAAAGCATTGGAGTTCACTTTTAAGTCAACTATCCGAACGGGAAAGAGCCCTCGCTGTTGCCGGTGAAGCTGCCAGAATTGCGCCATTGATTGATTGGTTAAACAAGAGTGAGAAACGTTTGAAAGCCATGTTACCCATTCCAACTGATCAGGAACTTATTAGACAAAGAATCTCTGAACATCGTGTCCTTCATCAAGACATTTTGGATCATAAGAAGGACTTTAAAGATCTAACTGAAATCGCACAGAATCTCGTGAGCTTAGTTGGCGATGATGAAGCTCAAATGGTTGTTGATCGTCTTCGAGATGTAACCGATCGTTACGCTAAACTTGTTAAAGACAGTGAAAACTTGAAGCATCTTCTTTCAGGTTATCATGAAAGCTTGGGAGCTTTTGTGTTGAGTTTTGAGGACATTTTGGCCTGGATCACCGAAATGGATTCACGGCTCAGTCGATTCCGTGTTTTAAGTGTTTACTCGGATAAATTACGTGAACAACTTGATGAATTGTCCGATATGAATCAAGAAATCAATGATACACACAAACAGGTTGTCGATGTCAATAATATGGCACAGAAAGTGATTAAACATGCTTCTAGTGAGGATATTATTCAAGTGAAGGATAAATTGAATGCTCTAAATGGCAGATTCGATGATCTATCTCATCGGGCAGTGGAAAAATTGAGACAAGCACAAGATGCCTTACCATTATGTGACAATTTCCATTCAGCTCATGATCGTCTCAACACTTGGCTGGACGAATCTGAGTCAGCTCTTGATTCTTTCTCTACACTTACCTCTCATGCACAAGAATCATTAATCCAAAGAATTGAATCTGCTCTTCCTAAATATGGCTCTCTTCTTGATCAAGTTAACAGCATCGGTCCACAATTGGCACTTATTTCCCCTGGCCAAGGAGCGGCAACCGTTGATGGATGGATTTCTCGAGCCAACAAACGCTTTGAAAAGATTGCTAAACGCCAACGAGAGCTTGGAGCCAATTTCCAAGAGTCAATGGCATTTGAACAAGAAATACAAGATCTCCTTAATTGGCTGGACGATATTGAAGGTCAATTCGCTGCCTCTAAACCTGCCGGTGGACTTCCTGAATCAGCTCGAGAGCAATTAAACAAATTCATGGATCTTTATGATGAACTACTTTCCAACAGGCCTAAAGTTGACTCTGTTTTGCACCGAGGTCAAGATTATGTCAGACGAAATCCTGATGGAAACTTTGCCCTTCAACAAAATCTGAAAGGACTCAAGAATAAATGGGACAGTGTTCTAAATCGGGCTAATGATCTTAAAAACAAATTCGAAGGAGCTCTTAAGAACGCCAAGCAATTCCATGAATCGTTACAAAAATTCATCGATTGGTTGTCCAAGAGTGAAAGACGTTTGCAATCCATGTTACCAATTCCAACTGATCAAGAACTTATCAGACAACGAATGTCCGAGCATCGAGTTCTTCATCAAGACATTTTGGATCACAAGAAAGATCTTAAAGATTTAACTGAATTCGCTCAGAATCTCGTGAGCTTAGTTGGTGACGATGAAGCTCAAATAATTGTTGATCGTCTTCGAGATGTAACCGATCGCTATGCTAAGCTTGTTAACGAAAGTGAAAACGTGAAGCACCTGCTTTCCGGTTATCATGAGAGTTTGGAAACTTTTGTTTTAACCTTCGAAGATATTTTAGCTTGGATTACCGAAATGGATTCACGACTCAACAGATTCCGTGTACTTAGCGTCCATTTGGACAAATTACGTGAACAACTTGATGAATTGTCTGATATGAACCAAGAAATTAACGACACTCACAAACAGATCGTTGATGTTAACAATATGGCACAGAAAGTGATGAAACATGCCTCCGAGGGAGATGTTATTCAAGTGAAGGACAAATTAAGTGCCTTAAACTGCCGATTCGATGATCTATCCCATAGAGCAGCTGAAAAATTGCGACAAGCTCAAGACGCTTTCCCGTTATGTGACAATTTCCACTCAGCTCATGATCGTCTCAACACTTGGTTAGATGAATCCGAAAAAGCTCTTGATTCTTTCACAACTCTTACTCCTCATGTTCAAGAATCTACAATCCAAAAAATTGAAGCCGCTCTTCCTAAATATGGTTCACTACTCGATCAAGTTAACAGCATTGGTCCACAATTGGCACTCATTTCCCCTGGTCAAGGAGCGGCAACCGTTGATGGATGGATTTCTCGAGCCAACAAACGCTTTGAAAAGATTGCTAAACGCCAACGAGAGCTTGGAGCTACATTCCAAGAGTCATTGGCATTTAATCAAGAAATTCAAGATCTCCTTAATTGGCTGGACGATATTGAAGGTCAATTTGTCGCCTCCAAACCTGTCGGTGGACTCCCAGAAACCGCTCGAGAGCAATTGGATAAATTCATGGATCTTTTCGCTGAACTTAATTCCAAAAAACCAACAGTCGAATCTGTTTTACATCGAGGACAAGAGTATGTCAGACGCTCTCCCGAGAATAACGCTGAACTTTCATCAAATCTGAAGACACTTAAAACTCGATGGGACAGTGTTGTCAATCGAGCAAACGATCTTAAAATTAAACTTGAAATCGCTCTACGAGATGCAAATGAGTTCCATGAAGCATTACAACAATTCACCGATTGGTTAACCTCAGCCGAGAAATACTTGAACAACATGGGCCCGGTTAGTTTGGTTGTTGAACATATTCTACCTCAAATCGAGGAGCATAAAAACTTCCAGAAAGATGTTTCCAACCACCGAGAGACCATGTTGAATCTTGATAAGAAGGGAACTCATCTTAAATACTTTAGTCAAAAACAAGATGTTATTCTGATCAAGAATCTATTGGTCAGTGTTCAACATCGTTGGGAGCGAGTTGTCGGTAAAGCTGCCGAGCGAACTCGAGCTTTAGATCGTGGATATAAAGAGGCTCGTGAATTCCATGATGCTTGGAGCAGTTTAATCAGTTGGTTGAAAGACGCTGAAGAATCACTTGATACCTTCCAACCGATTGGCAATGATCCTGAAAGAATTAAACTTTATCTTAATAAACATAAAGAATTCCAAAGATCATTGGGAGCGAAACAATCAACTTACGATGCTACAATTAAATTGGGTCGAGCTTTGAAAGATAAATGTCCTAAATCTGATGTTCCTATTTTGAATGATATGATTGAAGAATTGAAGAAACGTTGGAACTCCGCTTGTGCCAAATCGGTTGATCGTCAAAGAAAATTGGAAGAAGCTCTTCTATTCTCTGGACAATTTAAAGACGCTGTTCAAGCTTTAATCGATTGGCTCGAAAAGACCAAAGGTCGCCTTGGATTGGATAATATTCATGGTGATCTAGATACTGTTACGGTTTTAGTTGAACAACATAAAGCTTTACAAGAAGATTTGAAAAGTCGCCGTGGTAACATGGCCACTGTCAAGAAAACTGCCAGCGATCTTCTTGAATCAGCTACACCAACGGACGCTGCTTTAATTAGAGAGCAAATTGCCACACTTGACTCTCGATGGGACGAAGTTGTTAAAATGAGCGATGCTAAACAACGATGCTTAGAAGATGCTCTAAGACAAGCTGAAGAACTACACAAGGCTGTTCATTCACTACTCGAATGGTTATCTGATGCTGAGATGAAATTACGATTCTCTGGTCCTTTACCTGAAGATGAAGAGACAACCAAACAACAGATTATGGAACACGAAGTTTTCATGAGAGAAATGTCCAAACAAGAGATGAATAAAGATTCAACCATCTCATTAGCTGAAAATATTCTTGCCAAATGTCACCCTGATGCTGTTTCCGTTATTCGTCATTGGATAACCATAATTAAATCACGATGGGAAGAAGTCTCTGGTTGGGCTAAACAACGAGAAACCAAATTGCGTGAGCACTTGGAATCATTAAGAGGAATCATGAATATTTTGGAGGAATTACTTAATTGGCTGAGAAAAGCTGAAGCTAATCTTTTGGCTGCCGAATCAGAGCCTCTTCCAGATGATATCGAATCTCTTGAAGGTTTGATTGAAGAGCATCAGAAATTCATTGATGAGATGAGCTCAAAACAACCCGAAGTTGAAAGAGTTACCAAAGCCTTTTCATCAACTAAACGACAAACTAAATCAGTTGAAGTTAAGGGTCGACGATCAACCTCAAAGACTCGAGTTGAAACTCCCGTTAATGGTCATTCTCGAACCTCAACCAGCAGTGAACCAGAAATTAAGAATCCCAAGGCTCGTGAATTGGTTGAAAAATGGAGAAGTGTTTGGCTTTTAGCCATGGAAAGGATGAGAAGACTTCAAGATAAACTTGATTATATTCGTGAGGTTGAAAGAGTTAAGAACTTTGAATTTGATGAATGGCGACGACGATTCTTGGGCTGGATGAACAATAAGAAAGCTCGAGTTATGGACTTTTTCCGTAAAATCGATAAAGATAACGATGGTAAAGTTACTCAAGAAGATTTCATCGAAGGATTCCTTGAATCTAAATTCCCAACTTCTCGACTTGAAATGGAACGAGTTGCACCGATATTTGATCGAAACAGTGATGGTTTTATCGACCATAAAGAATATCTTGAAACTCTTCGACCAGATCGCGATTTACCCAAAACCGAGGCCGAAATTATTCAAGACGAGGTCCAACGACAAGTCTCCAAATGTACTTGTGTCCATCGATACAAAGTTTTCCAAGTTGGCGAAGGCAAATACCGAGTAAGTATCCACAGATATTCACAAGAATTTATCATTAAGCGTAATACAATTAATCTAATTAATTCGTTTCTTCATTTTTTCTTCGCTTATTCGAAATTCAGTTTGGTGACTCACAAAAACTTCGATTGGTTCGTATTCTCAGAAGTACTGTCATGGTCCGTGTTGGAGGTGGTTGGGTTTCTCTCGATGAATTCTTGATTAAGAACGATCCTTGTCGAGGTAAGTGTTCAAACTCGATTCTAAATTGCTTGCATCTAAATTAGAAATTCAATTTATATTATTAACGATGAATGTTTATTATTCGTAAATTAATATTATCATTTCTTATTCTCTGCAAGTTTGTTTCTTAATTTAAACTTATTGAGTTGATTTTCTTATGCATGATTTTATTTTTCTTTTTGCATTCATTTCGATTAATGATTAATTACACTTTGGCACCATCATCATCATTATTCATCACTTATCACCTTAATCACCCGATTAATTTACTTGATTATCCATTTGATTTGCAACTTGCACGAATTATTTGTTGATCATTATTATCATTGCAACTTCGAACCCGCTAAACAAAACTAAATGTAGCTAAAGGACGCACGAATGTTGAGCTTCGAGAACAGTTTATCCTGGCTGATGGTGTAAGCCAAGGTATGGCAGCATTTAAAGCTAAACCAGTAATCGATCCAAAGACAGGCGCTATCTCGACTGTCGGTCCAATCACCAAGGTTTGTAATCGTCGACAATTAACTTTTCATTTCCAGCAATTACCATTGTAATTATATCGTCGCGTTTATTGCATCTTACTCTCTCTATTGCGTCTCTTTTGATTGCCGTAAATCCTTTGCTTATTGTTGATCATCTATTAGTAAATCGCTTGATTATTGTTGTTATTTATTCATTTTCGATAGTTGTATTAATATCTATATATATTTTCATGTTCGAATTTAACTTTAAAACGATAACATTTCTCTCTCTCTCTCTCTCTTGATTTTTCTTCTTTCTATTTTCGCTCTTTTAATCGTCATTCTGTTAACCTGACAATATTAATTTCTTCAACTTTGATTGACTTCGTTGAAAAAAACGTTCTACTAAACCAGATTGCTTAGAATTGGAATTCTTTTTACCTTGTCCAAGGTGTCTTCCAGTTCGGGGAATTTCAGTTTTCCCTGAATATTATCGTCCATTGGCTCCAGATTACAATTCGAAAATACCAGTACCTATTATGTCTTTGGTAACTTGATAACTAATCTACTAACCAATCAAATCTTAATTCTTTCATATAATTTCATTCGGCATTCGTTAGAAACGTTATTTCTTTTGTTAAATATTATTATTATTATTATTCTATCTATAGATGAATATTAATTTAGAATAATTTGAAAAAAATTCTCATCGATATTTTCATTTGTAAATGCTTATTTTAGATCCGAGAAAAAACGGAACTGAGTGTACCAATGTCTCGTTCATTCCGTTTTGGAGGCTCTACAAGTGACTGTAGTTTCAGTGACACCGACAGTGGATCCAAATCACGACCTGGAAGTCGAATGGCCATCAAAAAATAACCAAATTTTCAAAAGAAAACGAGAAAATATCAACAACAAGATCAACCAATTAAATCATTAATTCATCTCACACCAAACTAAACACCAATCAATTTATAAATACTAATCATAATTTCACTGAGCAACAACAACAACAACAATCAATCAATCACAAATATAAATACTAATCTTATACTAAATGTAATAAATTCAATTCTAACTTTTTAAAAGTTAATCCAATTTAAAACTGTCCCTTAGATTTTATCTAATGTGCAATCAACTATTTCTAATGATGATAATATTTAATTAATTAATAAATGAACTCTGGAAATATCAACTTTTTTACTTAATCAATTGTAAATCAAGTTAATTTCCCATAATAATAAACAATCAAAACCAAAAGCGTTCACTTGATTATCAATATCTTTAAACTATTAATAAAATTACAACGATTACAATCAAAGACAATAGGATAACTATTAACCAGAAAATTGTATTCCACTGGTGATTAACTAATTGTAATCTATTAACAATTTAAATGTGAATCTAACGTGATATTTTATTGTCAAAGTCCATGTAATATAAATATTATCATTATAAGTTTTTTATTGACTTGATACCAATGAGAATTGAATTGATCAATAATTGATTAACCAATTGACAAAAGCGAGAAAGTTAATCATGATAATTTACTTGATGATTTAATAGAAACGTTTATTAGGTGATCATTAGTTGATTAACTTTTAGTTAATCATGATAATAATAAACTTATTGTGTCAATTGTAATGATAACTGTTAATGGTTAATCATTGATCTGTTTTTAAATTGTTCAATATTTAACTTAACTGTTTAATCATGAAAACAATCCGGTTGATTATCAATAATTAACTTTCATTTTCTCATTAATCATACAACTTAAATATAGAGTTAATTTAGATTAGTTTTTAATTTCAAATTGTTTTCACTGTTTCTTGATTGTTAATCAACCAACTAAATCATGTTTATAACAATCAAGTTTTACTATTATTTCAATAACTCAAATTGAAACAATTTAAATCAAATTTGATTGAAACTTTCCTCAGTTTATTTAATCATCTTGAAAGTTTGTCCTTAAATTTTTTGTCTGATTAACTAATCCAGTAGATTGATCATTAATCACCAATATCACCAATGGTAATACACTTAACAATTTAATATCCATAGTTTATTATCATGATACAATTGAAACATGTCATTTAATTGTAATTATAACAAACGGTTAAAGTTTAATATGATTTGACATTTTCAAGTGATTTAAGGCTAAAAACCAAGTGATTATAATTTAATTTGATTGTTTTATTTTGGAAATATGAATTTTGACAAGAAAAAAAAATATAATTCAAAATCATGATCGATATTTATTAAGCTCATGATTTGAATACCATGAAAAATGAATTTTGTTTCAATTATTCAGAGGAAAAGTTGATCAGTGGTTATGGAATTGAATTACCATGAGATAATAATAAATAAAAAACTAAAGGGATTCTAATGGTTATCAATTGCTATGAGAATTAAATTAATGCAAGTTGATCTAATTGTGATTAAATTGACACAAAAATCTAAAATTTGATTGAGATTAAATCTTGATTGAAGTATCAAGGTAATTGATGAAATTCATTCATCTTTACATGTAATCATCATGTTGATAATCTGAGTGTTTTTCTTATTAATAATAATGAAATTTTCATATTTTTCATGTGAATTTACTGACACAATGAACAATCAGTCAACACCCTGTGAGATAAATAGGGTTTTCAAAATCAACTATCGACTAAATTGTTAATATGCTGGTTAATTCTCGAGGTGGGAATTGTCAACAATTTATCGAATCAATCAAGGAACAAGAAAAGAAAAGTTCAACTGGTGAAAGATAATTTTATTCACATGGTGAAAATGATCTCATGTAAAATTGACTCTTGGTCTCTGAATTTTTTTCCTCCTTATTTCAAGTAACATGTATAGTTGATCTCATTCAATTCAATTCATTTTCTCATTTTCATCCTTTTGTCATCTCCTGTCATCCAGTCAAGAAAAAGACTATGAGACAATCAACAAACAAGAAGAAGATAAAAGTTCAGGTTTTCTTCCCTGTGTCTTGTTGATTGGTTATTCTCAAGTGACCAGGGGTTATCATGAAGAAGAGACAATAAAGAGATGAGAAGACAAGAACAAAGTTCATTGAGTATCACCAGAAATCTGCTGACAATTACTTGATTCTCATTCAACTATAACTTTACCTTTACTTAATTCACATGTTCATCAAGGTTAAATCAACCTTATTTATCTTCTTCATCTTAATCCTCATCATCTTCATCCTTCTTGTTTGTAGTTTTATTTTTCCAAATCATTGAACTGATATATTTCATCTCAATTTGATGGTTTCGATTAAACCAGTTACCATCAATTCACATCAATCAACTGAATTATGGATTGATACTTGATCATGGTGATGATATTAAACCTTTGGTGCTGATTTAGACAAAAGAAACCGGAACAAAACCAAATCCTATTTAATAGTTTCACTGAGAAGGATAAAATAGTCACTTGAATATCATCACAAATCCAGTTTATCCTTAAACATTTTCTCATAGGAATATCATTTATCCCTCGATTCTTCATGATAAAACTCATTCTCCTTCATTTCCCCCTCAATTTCCCAACGTTTTATAAACACTTATACTCTGAGATATTCAATGAGCTATCACATCTTCATGAGCTTTTAACATCATCATTTGATCCTAAGGTTTTTTATCATATTCCCTTGCGAGAATCGATATTGTGTCAACTTATATCCTCTCGAAAAATTTTCTCAGAATTTCCTATCATCTATTATATAACCATGATCAGAATATTCAGTTCCAATTGAACCTCTTCAAAACAAATGCTCAGTTTAATTACTGAAGAAATTGTTATTCTAATATTTGATTGTTGCTATTAAATTGATTTCTAAGGTTTTAACTTGGATGATGATTAGATGAAAATTGAATTGATTGATTTTATCTTGAATCAAATCAACAGTTTTATTATTATTGATGATTAATTTTATTAAAAACGATATTTGATTAACATGAACAATTTACATTTTCTCACCTTAATCAATGTCCACAAAGTTCACCAGAAATTTGATTAACTATCAAATTACTAATCTTTTTATTGACAATAATTCACTTCCAATGGTAATTTGATCCAATAAGAATTCAATTGACCCATTGAAACCAATAATCGCTAATATGATAATCTCAACTCCCAATTATCATAACATTTTGCCTGACAAATTATGATGAAATCCGATAATAGATTAATAATAATCACTAGATGGTGATAATCACCAGCTAAATGGTAACCCAATGATCTAGTACAATAGTTGAATTTATATATTGACATGAGAGTGAAAAAAAAAGTTTTTTAAGTTGATAATCAAACAACAATTAGAGAGATAATCATAAAATTGATAATATTGGTTTAAGATTACATAATATTTATCATGATTAAAATTGAATATGATATATAATGATTATGTTATATTAGATTGATGATTGATATCAAATTGTCAATCTTGGAAAACAAAATAATAAATAAAGAGAAATTTTCAATTTTGATCAATTACTTCAAGTTGAGATATTTTTTGACAGCGATTTGGGATTAAAATTCATCCATCTGAGTTTCTCTGGTGATATTATATAGATTTCATTGAACTTAATCTTTTATCAATCTCATTTTCACCGAATATTTATAATCATGATCATGGAACAACAATCAATCGAGTGAACAACATGATGTAAGTTGAATGAAGGTTACCTTTGAGATTAGAATCAATTTTTTGTTCTTCTTGCGCTCTGACACAGAGAGAGAGAGAGAGAGAGAGAGAGAGAGAGAGAGAATGAGTGAGATAGATTAACTTGATTACTTATTTACCTGATTATCTTTTGTTTACTGTCATAAAACTTACATGTATTTGGAAACATAAATTGATGATAATAAGTTTAATTCCCTGAAAGCAAGAAAGTGGAGTAAGAGGAAGGAGGCGGAGGAGAAGGAGGAGAAAAGTGAATCGTACTAAAAAAAGGCTCAAGGAAGAGAGATGAAGATGATAAAATATATAGGAAGGGGGTGGAGTTGGAATAATGTATTTCTATTAGAAAGAATCACGTGATTTGATGAGCAGGTCAAATAAGGTGGAGTCAATCTGATGTAAATCGAGATGATATCGGTTCATATCAGATAATCTCCATTCTAAAATGATGAAATTATCAACCAAAAGATTCATTCAGTTTGATTTTACTTTTTAATTGTTCATAATCATAACCATCATCGTCATCATCATCGTCGTCCAGAGTATTTACCGTTATATTCAATCAGCTGTTTCATTGTTGTTTATTTTTTTTCTCTGCAATTTAATTCAACATAATTTAGTAGTAAATTTAGATGTTTGTGATTCAGTTTCAATCTATTGGATATTAATATCATTAATTAAGAAAACTTTAAAGGTAAGACAACAATTAATTCATTCATTTGAGCCATAGAGCAGTTTACTTGATTTGTTTGTTACAATTTATGTTTGTATACATTTTGGATTAGTTAATTGTTACATTGATCTTTGGTAAATTGTTTACATTTTAGTTGAAAAGTGGATTTAATTTCACTATTTCATACCTCTCATATTCACATCCAACCATTCATCACAATTTATAGTTGAAATAGTAACAATTAGTTTGATTACAATTAAGAAAGATATTGATTGTTATCGATAAAGATATGATGGATTTGGTGAAAAGTTTATTTCGAGGACTCGATTGGAGTTAAATCAATTTGTCTGATTGTTTCATCGTAAAACCAAATGATTAGATGAATGGATTAGATTTGCACGTAATTAAGACTAACTGCTGAGGGCTAAACGATAATAGATCAGTAAAATTATATCAATTACATTAGAGAGATTATTGCTTGAAAAATGATATAAATTCAAAAAGTATTGAATGATAATAATATCGAGGAAATTGTAATTGTATTGTTTGTATTGTCTTCATGATAATTTGAAACATTGAACTTGTTGGTTTTGTAAAATTAAATGGAAGGTAATTAAAATTAGAAACAATTAGAAGGAAATTGAATCAATAGTAATCAACGATTGTTAATGATTCTAAAGTAAAGTAAATGTTGTGTACATTTCAGTTTAATTATCGAACTCTTTACTTTTGTATATTAAGGTGAATTTTATAGGAGAATCAAGTATATTCATAGTTTGCATGTTCCATGATGAATATTATGTTTTTTTCTGTTCAGTGTATTCTTGTTGTTTCCTGTTACCAGGTTAACTTTTATTGTTATCATATCGTGAGCATTATCCAACTTTAATCATTATAAATCCGTGATCAGAAAAAAATAAAAGAGCTTAAGGTTTAGCTTGATGGTTTTGGCATAAAAAATAGACTCGATACTCGAAGCTGCTTAATGAGCATCCAAATATCATCTTCATCTTCTTGGGCTCAGTGTTGTTTTTTATCCTTTCATTTATTGATTGGCAGCTTAACTTAGCTCAGTTTATCTCTCACTCTCTCTCTCTCACTTTCATCATGCTCTCCTATAGATAGTTTTCCATGATGATAATAATCATCTTTACACTTGAACATTTAAGAACCGATTGAATGTTTGAATGAAAACTGAATAAAAATTGACAAAAGCTTAAGATGATTACGATTTTGATACATATCGTATTGGAATATTAAAGATTAAGATTATCAATATATAATCTAAATGATACATTGATTGACAATTTTGTCTTATTTTTCATTTTTATTATCATATTCAAAGGATGATAATCATGATGATACATTTGTGTTGATAGGATGATTAGTATATTGGTGAAATTAATAAAGTTATAATCATGAATTAGGATAAATGCTGAGTATCATCATCATGGAAAACTGTGAATCTGTGAATGTAAATATTCAAGTTTCAACCATTAAATTGTTGCTCATCTTCAAGGTTAATCAAATTGAACACAAACTGAAACTTGAAATGAATCTCAAGTGATTAAATTAGATTAAAGCAAATTTCTCATCATGTTTATCACCAACAAGTTAAGATGTAAAAAGCAACAAACATAATAAAAGGAACTTCCCTTTTCCCTCTTAACTTCCTCCTTCCTTTTCCTCTTTTCGTGAAGCGAAAAAAAAAATATTCATGATAAACAACAACAATTGAAGTTCCAGAATCAACATGCTGATATAATAAGCTTGATTCATAATATATAATTTGAATGCAAGTTGGATACAAATTACATACAATCAAGATTAATTCATTAATTATAAATGAGAAGATGAAATTTGTTTTTTTCTCCTTTAACTCAATATGAGAATCAAATTTTCATGATAAAACTGTTTACACAAGAGATGAGATTACCATGTAAGATTGTTGATTCACAACTTGATTGTTATGATTGTTCATCTTTGATAATGGTAATAATAAGATTAGAAAAGGTTATCAAATTGAGTACAAAGGGTTATCCATATATTCAGTTTGTTGGTTTTTCTCAAACACAATAGTTTAATAATCATTTTACAGTTTTGATTATATTGTATATTCACTTTGTATTATCAAACCACTGTAGATGAATGATTTTCTGCCTGACTGGGACACTCGGTTTGATACATAATGGATACTAATGTAATCAAGTATTACTTATATTTTACATCATATGTGCAATTTCACACTGATGATTTTTTCACTCTCTCTCTCTCTCTCTCTCTCTCTTTCAAAATATAAAATCGTCAAATTAGATTAGTGTATTTTCAATGAGATTGTTGATATTCATTGGAAAAAATTTCATTCACAATGTTAATCAGATGAAACAAAAACTCTTCACCTTTTTTCTTGACCCAAAGTAAATTGCTCACTTTTCAGTCTCTCTCTCTCTCTCTCTCTCTCTCTACTATGTTCCCAGTGAATTTATTTTATAATTGAATCAATCTAAAAATGATAAATTCTCTGGTGAAATGTCTCTCCTTCACCTTCCTTGGCTTTTGCTTCCAAATTTCATTGGGAATTGAATCCTTACCATTTAGGGATTTAACCAAAGTCTAGTACAAGTTAACATGTAGTTCACTTAACTTTGAACATAAGTATTGGTTATTCATCTTCATCACAATCGAAAGAGAAAGAGAGAGAGAGAGAGAGTTCAATATGCTTGTAGATACAATTTTATCCTCAATGATAAACTCCCAATAGAATTGTAAACAAGACTAAACAATATTGTTACAAATAGAACGTTTTTCATTGAAAATTTTTTTCTCTTCTTCTTCCTCCTCATCTTTTATGCCTTCTCCTCTTTTCCTTCTCATCATTATCATCATTATGCTTATCATTGGCCTCTCATTCCTCGTTTGATCTTTTACTATTAACACCAATTTAGGATTCGCCTCGAAAACCATCAAATTGTTACAATAGGAAAGGGAGAAAGTGAACAAAAAAATTGTTGGTTTTCATTGATTGAGCTTATTCAACAATCATAATTAACTGACGACAAGTTACTCTTGTCTATTGTTAATCACAATTAAGGAGGAAAGGATATTATTATCTTCATTTACTATAAACAGTTAATTGTTTGCAATTGTTGTAATCAACTTATCGACTTGGAAATGTACAGTCACTCAGCTCAAGTATCAGGCCAATCGACGGTCAATCCAATGCCTTTCCTTTTATCTCCCAATAACTGTGGATACAATTTAACAAGTTATTATCAAGGGGCAAACCTCGCCCTTGGCCATTTATCACTGCCCAGTTCAATTTGGGCTCCTCGTGTTAACAATATCAACAATGCTAATGGAAACAATAATTCAACTAATAATAATAATGCACGATTATTGAATAGCTCAATTCGCGATCCAATATTGTCAAGATCATCTTCGATCATTCCTTCAAATGGTTCAACATCAACTTCGATATCAGCTGACCCTTCAATGACCATCTCACCGGCTACAAAACAAGTGGAAATGATTAAACAACAACCATGGAATCCATTGCAATTAATACCTTTTCTAAGCGGAAATGGTCATCATCATCATCACTCTCATTCTCATCATTTAAATTCAAACATTCATCTGCAACATCATTCAATTGAAAATCTCACCAATTCCTCACCAACATCAATACTAATCACAAATGAAAATGGATTAACAAACTCACAATTAACTCGACGAAAAAGTCGAACCGCATCACCGATTAACTTATCTCCATCATCATCACCTCTAATTAAAGGAATCTCATCATCATCATCATCATCTCGACAGATTAACCATTCCAATCATATGAACACCACCACCAACAATCATGTTGCCCTATCATCACCTTCACCATCTTCATCTTCATCTTTTTCAACATCATCATCAGTGAACAGTAAACATGATAATGTAACAACAGTTTCGATAACAACAACATCACCTTTATCCGGAATTCGTAGTAACCACAATCGCCGATCATCACCCTCCACAATTCAATCAACATCTTCCCCTCTTTCCGCTTGGTCAGCAGCCGCGGCCGCCGCTGCAGCAGCAGCTTACGCCTCCCTGATTCCATCATCAGCATCATCTTCATCTTCATCGACTAATAAATCATCTTCAATAGTTATTGCTGGTTCATCACAAATCGTTTCTGGTCAAGAATTAAAATTAAATAAAGAAAAGAGAATCCAAGAAAATGGATACACCAATGGTAAGCATTTTTATCAATTTATCTCTTGGAACATGAACAAAGAAAAAATCATTTTTCTATTCTCCTTTTCATCTTTCTCCTCGAGCTTTTTATCTTCTCTCTCTTGATTCAATCCAATATTCAATTGGTGTTCTTATTGAGTTTATCCTTTTTTTTACTCATCTTTCTCTCTCTCTCTCACTCATAAGCCACCGATTCCTTTTGCTTTTTCACTCCCAGTAACTTTCAATAGGAAAGAAAAACCTTTGCACTCCCAAGATTCAGCAAAAAAATTCTGTTAACCTCTCATGAGAATTGACGAAACAAGGAATCTTCATCTTGTTTCATCTTCTTCTTTCATCACCAGTCACATAAACCACCTATGCAAGAATCCATGTCACGTGGTGTATTTATCATGGGGATTCAGTTTCTCGCGAACCAGATAATTTGTTACCTTTCATGATATTTTATCCATCATTATTTTCATTCTTATCGTTCTGTCTGATACTCACAATAGAAGATATAAAAAATTGTGAGCAGAGATAAAGTTTTTCTCTCTCACTCTCTCTCACTCTCTTCATCTCATGGGTTTCATCACTTTTCTTCATCTTCATTCTCAGTTTTATCTCATCATCATTATTATCATCATTCTTTTCTTATCATCACTCAAAAAATATAATATTCTCCTATAACATTGAGCATTTCATATCTTCTTCTGATAATCTTATCTCTCGTCAGAATGATTTATCTCATTTATCTAAAACTGACCAATAGATATATAAAAAAAAATGACCAATAAGATTTCAACGAGAATAATGATAATGATCATTTTTGAAATTCTTGGATAAAAAGTTGATCAAAAATCGATAGCATTTCATTTTTTACTTTTTTTTAATCATTCAAAGGCTCCATTCAACTTATTCAATGAACTTTCCATGAGTATCATGATAACAGAGGATAATTATTATTATTCCTTCAAGTAGATGGAGAGGTTGACCAATTACTTTGGTTAAACATTCCTTTCAGGATTCTTAGCATTTTCAATGACCACTTTCAATCATCGATATTAAATTTTATCAATTTTTCATAATCTTTCATCTTAATCAATTATTATAATTGAGTTCTTATTACTGGCCAGTAAATGACAGTTTTTTACAATAAAATAAGGTCATTTTAAACAACAATAGACTGATAGGAATTGAGAATTGTCGATAATTTATCAAAAGTTCAATGAGATTATCATGAAATTAATTGCCAATCAAATGGAAACTTGATCAACTTTTATTTCAAACAGTTGATTGAATTAAGATTATCCGATTCGATTGGAACTGTTTTTATATTTTGTTTTTCTTCAGATTGTCAAATGATTGAAGTGATTGATTTAACCCATGAAACTGAATTAAATTTGATTCGAACGAGAAAGAGAGAGAGAGAAAGTTGATAGAATCGAGAAAAGTTCAGTCTCAGAACTTTTTTTATTCAAGTAACTTCTTCATTCAATCTATAGTTATCCTTGATCATCAACAACTCCACCCAAAGATATTGTTTAATTGTAATTAAATTAGAAGTTGATGAAAACCCTGAAAATCAACGAAAAGGAGGAACATGAGAGTAGGAGGAAAAACCGAGTGGGAGGGAAAATGATTGAATCTAAATTCTAATCAATAAGATCAATCGTAATCAATATTGAGAAAGAGAATCAAAAAGAGAACAGAAAAGAAAAGAATATGAAAAAAAAGAGATAATCATTTACATTTTATTTCGATAGAAGAGAAAAAAATTATCATAATGATTATAATCACATAGAGAATTTAATATTCTGAGATAATCTTAGATAGATTTTCGTGACATGGAGCAAGATGAAGATTATCGTGATTCGAACATGATAATGATTAGATAAATGTTTCTCTTCTATTCATTTAATTAGATATTTTCTTTCAACAAAATGATAAACATTTCCAATCACACCCTATCCTCAGGTTCTCATTACAATTCATGAGCAATTAACTGAAAGTTCAATTAGATTTGATGAGAATTTGTAAGTTGCAGCAAATCCATTGAGTCCAATCGACTCCCAAGTATCTCAATTTAATCTTGATTAAAATTGATTGTAACTTGATTTGGATAATTTAAATTGATTATTCACTTTACTTTAACTAATTTTGTTTATTAATTTTGTTTTTTTTCCTTCTCTTATTTAACTAAATTAAATTGTTTGCCTTCATCTCCATGAAATAATTCAGTTTGTTTGGTTGAATTTTTTTCTTCTTCTTCTCTACAAAATCTTTTGTTCATTTGAATCTCTCATGGATTTTCATGGATGTTCATGATTCAGAGACTTTCATGATAATAATAATAAAGTTACTCAACTTTTCAGTTTTGTTTTTTTTTCTTCTTTAGTATTTAACTTGAATATTTTTTCATCAATTTCAAGTAAACTTTAGATTATTAGTTTATTATTATCATGAATGATGAATAAATTATCTGAAATTCAGGGGGATTGAAGAATTGAAAATTCATGAATAAAAATATATTAATTCGGAAAAGAATCAGTTAAGAACATTAAATTGTATTCATTTTGCTTTTCACTTTTTTCCGCTCATCTCACCAAATATCACAAAGGAATTGAATTGATAATAATTGAAATATGAAACAAATATATTGACCTATATCTAGATTAAAATTCTCGATGATTTAATTTAAAAAAATGAGCAATCAAAGATGATGAAGATGAAGATGATTATATTTATACATATGAATGATAATGATGATGATGATGAACAATGGGAGAAATGAATGATTCAGATAATTGAATAGTTTTAGTCTTTTATCATAATTGCAGGGTGATTGCTGAATATGCGCTTGGAACAGATTATCAGACTCATCATGTTACTAATTAGAGTTGACTGAAGGATGAGAGAGAGAGAGAGAGAGAAGAGAAGATGCTGATTAGGATGATGAGGATGAAAAAAGAAAGAGAAACAAAGGTTTTTTTTCAATCAGGAAAAGAATCTTAAATGACATATAAGTTGAGTCAGGAACAAAACGGGGTAAGAGAATGATGGAGAAGATGAAGATAATGATGATGATGATGATGATGAATCCTCAAGAGAAATGAAAGAGAAAAGGATGAGGAGAAGTACAAAGATGATGAAAGTTGTTATAGGAAAATTATGTACGATCATCAAATAAAATCATGATGATGGTGAAAAAAAACTGAATAAACTGAACATGAGCAATAATAGAGATAAAAAAGAGATATAAAAGATGAAGGAAAAAGTAAGATGGTGATAAGAGTAAAAAAATGATGTAAAATTAAGCTTCCTTTTTCCGGTTTGGTAAAGATGAGGATGCACAAAATAAAGATGATGATGATTCCCTCCTTTTTCCTTCTCCCTTTTCTCCCTTCTCTCTCTCTCTCTCTCTCTCTCTCTCTCTCTGTCGATCACCACAGAACTCATGTTACGCCTTCTCCATCATATTTGATAACCTTTATTATTATTATTTTTTACTATTTCCTTGTGTCCACCCATCATTTTGTATACGTCATCAGAAAAGGACATTCGTTGGGTGGTAACTTCATCTTCAATCATTTCTTTTTCTTGTTCAACTGAAAATGATATATCAAGAGAGAGAGAGAGAGAGAGAGATATGAAAAATGATGAAATAAAGTAAAAATGCTTATCCAGGCAAATTGTTTATTCTTATAGATCAACAATCTGAATCAATTTCAGAATCTACATGAATTATCATCTCATGATTTTCTGAATATATTGAAACAAGAAGATGAGTAAGATTTTCACTAGAACGTTTCTCTTGCAATTAACAATCAAAACAACCAAATACTATTAACAATTTGAAATCATCTCTCAAATTGCAACAATTAGTGAGTGTGAGAGTGTTTGTTTAATGTTAATTGTTAAATTATCCACAAGGATAATTGTAAATAGCAACAGATAATTAAGGATAATTAATTTCTAAATTTTTAATTCTCATGTTTTAGTAATCTCACTAATTGTTACTCATGGTGAATTATTGATTGAATAGTTAATCATAGCTGTATATTCATAAGAAAACTAATTAAATATTAGTTGATAATGTTGATAATTCAATTATTGATCTTAATCATTTAATAGACAATTGATTAACTCTCTCTCTCTCTCTCTCTCTAAATATTAAAAATCAATCTAAATTTCATCAATCAGATTTGATTGTGAGCTTTTACCTTAAGTTTTATTCAATCTCGTATTTATTAATCACGCAATTGATCAATACAATTGTCAATTGAGTTTCTTGAAGAAAAAAAATTATCTTCACAATTATATTCATATTTTTGATCATTAATAATGTGAAAATAAATTGTATTTGTGTTGATTCACATTTTCTTTGATTATCATATTTAAACATGAAAAAAACATTCAGATTTTCATGGAAATCAATTGATAGATTAATAGATATTTGCAAATATATGAATTTCTGTCTATTTTCATTTCTCCTTCTCAATAACAATTATTGGAAATCAATTGTTTCGAGATGATAACAATTAAACCTGAAGATAAATGAAACCAGAATTTAGATTTTATCATTTTCAACATCTATTAACATTCAGATTAGATTTTTACATATGTAATATGGGAACAATTTATCTGTTATCTTTCTGGTTTACCAACAATCATTAAATTATTTTCTTCTCAAAAAAAAGAATATATCATTTTCTTGTTTAGAACTTGATTAGAACTTTAATAATAATAATCGATAAAATAGTTCGATAATTGTAGATTTGTTATCCTTCAGAACTTTCAGAATCTTCAATTCTGATTATTAACTAAATCGTTAGCAATTAGATTTTCGTATTCAACTCAATCAAATCAAAACCATTAAAACTGTAACATTATTATTATTAGTTAATTGTGATTAGTAAATTGTTGAACTAAATTGAACAATTTAACTATTAATATATCAAGTTAAATCCTTGAGGTTGATTATGATAGTCAGTTGGATATAATAATGATTACAGTTAATTGAAAACAATTTAAATCAATTAGGGTCTTGGTTTTTTTTTTCAAGGAAATATCAGTCAACAGAGTTAAATTGATTTAGTTAAATTAACTAATTAACTAAATAGTATACGAGTTACTCATTGTTATTGTTTTCTCAATAGGGAGAGAGAGGTTAATGAAAACAAAATTAATTCCGCTTGTCAATATTAATCAATTTTAAATTAACTTTTGCCATCAAAATGATGTTACAATAATTTACAATTAATGTTAAAATATAAACAGCGTAATCATATTGTTAATCATATTTATAGCATTTAAAACACGTGGTGATTATCAATATGTTGTTGATAAGTTTAATGTTTGTTGATGTGAAACAATCAATGATTAATAAAAATGCAATAATGATAATCATGATTAAGGTGAATTACTATTAACTGGTGATAATAATAAAATAAGTTAACTAAGTCATTGATGATCAGTAATAATTATTATGATTATTTTTTACATACGAGTTAAATTTTATGCTCTGTTGATTAATCATTTATTAGTGGTTTGGATTAAGTTGATTGTGATCATGATGATTATCATCAATACTATTTTCATCATCATCATCATCATAGTAAAGGCTCATTAATTGTAACTTTTTAGCTTATCAATTGACAACTGGTCACCGAGAGAGAGAAAGAGAGAGAGAGAGAGAGTATGATGATAATAGTAATCATATTGACTCACAGCATTTGTTATCATTCAAGTTTCCCTTTGATTGCTGATCACGAACTAAATGAAATGCCAATTAGAGGCAATGGTTAATCTTTATGATAAATTGTTGGAAAAGTTAATTACAACCTGAAAGATGATCAGCTTTCCACTGGTACAATTTTTGATTATTTGATTAGTAATCGTATTCATATGATACATACGGTTTAACAATTATCCATCTTAATCTTTAGATCAATTAATCCTTAATCTTGTGGGTGAGTTTAAGTTTTTTTTTTCTTGTTGTTTACTTTGAGTATTTAAAGAGAAAGGTTAATAAATCATTTGGTAATGATACCGATTAACTTGGGATTAAATGATTATTTTGATTAAATCAATTAACTCTGAAGTGTGTGAAAATTAGACTCACTCAATGATTATATTAATTTTTACGATCGCTGTTAAAGTTTAAATATTTTTTTTTGCTTCTTCTTTTCCTTTGGAATTAAATTATTTGTTAATATGATGATTGAATCTCATGGTGATGGGATAATATTGCTTTGAACCATTTCAACTTAAGGGAATAGGTTAAGATGATTGGGTGAGATGTTGCAAGGAATCAAATTATTTGCTTGATAGTTTATTATTTAAATTGTTCACATGAGGATTTGTATGATTAATATTGACCCAGTTATTATCATATAAACAAATTTACTCTCGTGTTCAGTTTTACCTCCCAGAGGATTTTCATCATCATTATCATCATTATCAGCAGTAAATTATCATCAGAAAGAGAGACAGAGAGAGAAAGTATTTCAATTGTTTCTTTCTGATTTTAATGCTGAGAGAAAATTTTATATTATTATCATGGTGATGACTGAGTCCATCTTCATAATAATTTCATGATCAGAATTTTAATTTGGATCCACTGATTCATTGGATTCACTTGTGTAGTTAACAACATTTAATCTGATTGGGTAGGTGGATGAAGAGGGTTAACTCCTACTTCTGAATCCGATTCTCCCAATCTCTCACCATCATGAACCCGAGTGGTTATTCAATTGAACTGAATCAGCTTTATTATAATCATCATTATATTAATTCATAGGTTGAGTGATCAAAGGGGATTTTCATTTTGTTCATTTAGCCAATTATGAATAAAATTAACATCATTAATGAACAAAAATGATTCTCATATTAATCAATCTTCAAACTGATTCATGATAATTTCATATATATTTTATTGGTTCCTCCTTTAGTTGTCTCCTTTTCAATGTCAACTCATTCATAGTTATCACATTTACTCACGTTAATCATTATAATAATCTATGTAATTAGGGATAATTTATCAGCAAATTGATTTTCTCATCTATTAACTTGATATGAAAGTTAATCTATTCCAAGAGATTTAATTTGATTCACTAATTATTCAAATTTTTTTTCTCTCTCTTTTCCATTTTAGATTCAATTTCCAATAGTAACGATGTCAGTTTCGATTCCAGTAAACGATTCGGTGAAAATCATCGAGCTTATTCAACTGAAAGTCTGAGTAGTGTTAACGATTTATCAGTTGATTCTTATAAATCAAATCGTTCGATTTCATCAAATGGCCGAGATTCGGCTAATTCAAATGTATCCGATCTAAATGGAGCTAATCAACATCCATCGATCATCATTGACGATCCTGTTGACTCTGAAGATGAGGATGCTAAACCTTTCATTCATCATAAGAAGGCAAAGTTGAGAAAACACAATCATCATTTTCAATCTAAATCAAATCAAATTAGAGAATCAAAGGAAGAATTAAAAAAGGAAATTAACAACAATAATAATAATAACACGACTGATATTGATATAGATGATGATGAAGAAGATGATATTGATGAAGAGGAAGATGAAGATGATGATGATGGGGAAGATGTTGATATAATAAATACCATTCGAAATCGAAATAGGAAAAATAATCGATTACAAATACGATCAAAATCATTATCACCAAGAGAATCAAATTTATCAAGTATAACAATGAGCAAGAGCAAAGAATCAACATTATCTAAAAATAATTCGAAAAATTTATCGAATAATTGTCATCATAATGTAACATCATTAACTGATTACTCGATTGATCGACTATTAAAACTTAAGGAATCACGAGAACGTCATTCAAGTCCAAACAGTTCAAATGAAAATAATCGTAATGATATTGACCATGAAAACGATAACGATTCAAAATCAGTTCGAGCTGCAGTCACATCGGTCGCCATAGCGACAGCAGCAGCGAGATTGTTAAATAGTTCAGATAATCAAGTACGAAATATAACAACATCATCATCATCTCAACTTTATCGACCTTTTCAAGTAAGTGGATGATAAATCATTTCTCCCCTTTTCTTGCTCTCTCTCTCTTATCCTCCCATTTATCTCACCTTGAACAAAAAGAAAAGAGCAAAAAACCAATGAACCATTATAACACGTAACACGCGCATTCATTATAAGGCACGTGATCAACTCACGCTAAGGGTAAACAGAAGTCCTTTTGTATTGTTAAGGATAAAGAGGGATCACCCTCGAGGGCATTTTTATTAGTTCTTACTCACAATCATAATAATAATAATAATTATTTGTCTGATTAAGTTACTCGATTATTCAACTTCGATATGAGTCTCGCTCTTTTTTTCTCGGTCTTTACTTCTTAAGCCGATTTAAGGCCACTTTTATCTCTCTCTCTCTCTCTCTCTCTCTTTCACTGATCGCAAGGATTACTAGATAAGATTTAATCTCTTCTTTCTTTTCTTCTTCATCATCATTTGTTATCTTCATTATCTTCTTGGTAAACCTCAAAAAGTAACAGTAAAAAAAGTGAGACTCTCATAAAACTCGTATTTCATTTAAATCCGATCCTAATTAGGGTAACATAATTTTCTCAATGTAAATGATTATCATAATCAAACTACATTAAAGGTTAGTGTTAATTGACTCGCGGTTTTGTATTATTATCAAAATGATCAAGTATTAACCCGAGAATTTGGTTAATCATAATAAAGGAAATTGATAAAAGCCTATTAAGCTTAACGGAAATAGATCAATGAATGGATCAATTTTATCTCTTTTTATTATCTTTTTGATTGTTATCACAATAACATCGAGATGAAGGCAAAAAAACTGCGATTTAGTTGAAAATTTATTATCTGTTGACCTTTTTCATTCAAATCTAAATTGAGGTTTCCATTAGTTTATGATTAGATAATTAACCTTTCACACAATTTATTATCTCTCTCACTCAATCAAGTCTCAACATTAACTTATTAACTTAATCACTATCAGAGAGTAATCAAAGACCTTTTTAATTGTTCATCTTTCTGATCAATTCTTAGTGAGAAATGTGATTAAAACTAATGTGTCTCTAATCACCATGTAATTTACTGTAGACAATTAAGAAATCAGTAAGTTAATAAATCAATAGATTTCACTTTAATTGTGATTTCAATCTTAATTGTTCACATATCTATCGATTGGACAATTAGAATAACAGAAAATAAAGTAATTTGAAACAATATAATTAAAGTTTGTGATATTATTTTCCATTGTTGTTATTGTTATTCAGTGTTGATATAAAGTAATTACAATTGTAATTGTAAACTAATTAATAAGGGTTCCAAGTGCTCTAGACCATGCAATTAAATTAACTACAGTTAAAAGTAATCAGCATAATGGTAATCACAATGAATGCTAATTGCTAAAGACAAAGACACAACAATTAATGGTATTGCATTTGTAATTATTATTAGGATTTTGTAATATATGATTATTGTTTTGGCTTTTTGGTTAAATTGTCAACTGATTTTAATTAAAGTTAAATAATGATTTTTGTTTGTCATCAATTCCAGGACATGCCTCGTTATATTGGATTTCCGTTTTGCGGTTTAACGGGTCAAAGTTTATCTTTAATGGGACAGAAAGTTGCCAATAATTTGGACAATAGTTCACTGGTCAGTCGCCTTTTTGGTCACAATTTGGGTCCTAATGGTCCTAATGGTTTCTTTTCACACCTTCACTCTTCATTTACTCGAGGGTCACCTCTTGTTCTTGACGGAAACGGAAACCCACCAGCGGATGGTGTTGTCTTCTCATGTGTTAAATGTGACAAAATGTTTAGCACACCTCATGGTTTAGAGGTTCATGTGCGTCGATCTCATTCAGGTAAACGTCCATTTGCCTGTGAATTGTGTAATAAAACTTTCGGACATGAGGTCAGTTTATCTCAACATCGAGCAGTTCACACAGCAGAGAAAACCTTTGAATGTAAACAATGTGGTAAAACTTTTAAAAGATCATCAACTTTATCGACCCACCTTCTTATCCATTCGGATACTCGACCTTATCCCTGTCAATATTGTGGTAAAAGATTTCACCAGAAATCGGACATGAAAAAACACACTTATATTCACACAGGTAAGAAAACAAGAGAACCGATAATCGAAACAATCAAAATTGTAATAATATCGAAAACAACCAAAGATCTGAACCAATATGAGAACGATAAAGATAATCAAATTGAGCGATTCCAATTTAATTCCATTAATCATTTAGATAAACTTTACTCTCCTAACTGATTCAATTGTGTGGATACAAAATTGTTATTCCAAAGATTTTATCAACATGTAATAGAAGAGAAGTAAAAAAAAGGATGAGGATGGAGATGGAGATGAAGATGATGAAATGGACAATATATTGTTGACAGATGAGGTAAACAGAGCAATTTGAATATAATCAAATTGTTATTTAAAGAGGGAAGAAAAATATTCAACATATAACAAGATTTAGTTGATTGTTTGTGTTGTTCATTTGATTGGTGGTTAATAAAAAAAACGGTTTGATTGTTTTTGTAACAAATAAAATTGATGTTTACTTTTTTTTCATGTTCTTTCATCATCATCATCATCATGATTCTCAGTCAATAGTCACTTTATCCAATCTTTATCCGTGTTTACATAGAGACTTTTTCCTTTGCCATATAATCAGATGAACACTAGCTAACCAATTCTCGAGAGTTTTATCCTCCATCCTCATCCTCATCTTCGTATTCATCTTCACTTTCAAGAACCAATCATTGTTCATGATAAATATTATTTCTTCTGGTTGAATAACACTTACCTTTAATCAGATGAATCTGTCAACAGAAATGCTCACAATTTATTACAAATACAAATTCAATTCAAATTTTGTATTAATACTTTTGAGCAAAAAAAAAGTTGATCATTTGTGATTCATTTGATTCCATTAGTTATTCATTATTGATAAATCATCTCATTAATATTGAAACATAGATTATTAAATATTATATATAATGTATATAATTAATACTGTGTTAATTTAATTAGTCAAGATTGAATTTTCCATTTCCTTTCCTCTATAACAATCTTGATATTTGCTTAAGGCTATTGGGGATTAGTGATGATTGTTAAGCTAATTGAACTGATAATCAGTTGTAATCAAATGATAAAAGTGTATCAATGATAACATGTAAGGCTTGATTCTTGGAGTTGATTTATCCAAAGTAACGGTAATCAGATTAATCAGTAATGAGAGGTATATATTGATAGGAAAAGAGTAAGAAAGAGATGATGATGAATCGAATCGATCAGGATCAGTGGTTGATATTTACTTATGGATCTCATGGAATTCATGATAAAACATGATCTCTACCATGGGTTAATTCAGTTACTTTTGTTTCAATCAAATGTGTATCCAGGGTTTTTTTTGTTCTGTAGGAAAAGAAAGGAAAAAGTAATCATTTACTTTGAGAAACATGGTTATCCCCCTGTTGATAGATAAACCCTCAGGCCAAATATCACTCTTATTCCTATTCATTGGAAGCTCAAATTGTTAGTCATCATTGAATCAGGTAAACAAAACGGTTTAACAATCAATCTGATTTTTGTTTTCTCTCCGAAACCAAATAATCCTTCAGTAATTAAGGTGAGAAAGAGAGAGAGAGAAATGAATATTATATTTATCTTATGAATTCTGAATTGAAATTCCAAAGGATAAAATAATTCCCAGATTTCCAGGTCTAGAGATGAATATAATAATAGGTTTTCGAGGAGAGATTGTTAATACCTTAAGATATATGACATTTTCCTTTATCGTTTACAGAATTTTATTCAATCAAAGATCAGGGGGGAAAAGTGATCATTAAAATACCAAAGTGTTGATGTGATAAATTAGGATTAATCAAATTTCCTCTGTGGCTATAAAGCTCATCTTACCGATTGGACCATCAAGTGATTTAGTCAAATTAATCAATGATCAGTTTTAATCAGTCTCGAGATTCCCCTGGAAAATATAATATAAACACATTCCCTGTTAATATTATCATTACGATGATAATAAATTTCCAATCTAATTATAGTCTTTTATACATCCAAACAGAATCAAGGTTATCAATTTAAATCAATTGCTATTACTATTAAATGGTTAACTATTTATTACTCTGTTGATTGTTGACAATTTAGTGTGGACAAGAAAAAAAGATTAGTCCAATTGTCATTAATTGAGGTAATGAATCAGTTTTTGTTTACCTTTTATTTTCATGTATCATTAAATTATTGTAACAATTTGTTGACAATTTCAATGGTGTTGATTATCATTCTGATTATCATGATTATCATTGTAATCATTAAATTTGTTTCAATGTTTATTTAACCGTCCAAACTGATTACATGTTCATCATTTTATTGATGTAACACAATTTTACCCCTGAGGCGATAAAAAAACAAACAAACAATCAATTGAAACGATCTGATAATAAATTCTGATAAGTATCATGGTGATTTTTTCACCCTGAATAAGACAATACAATTCAAGAACTATTCAGTTGATAATATTATCGTTATCAAAACAGTTTCTCTCTCTCTCTCTCTCTCTCTCTCGCCTGAAGGAAATATGATAGAAAACCTCATGGAAACAATTATTTTTCTTTCATCTTCCTTTTCTCATTATTAATGATGATATTTCCCTGATGATTCTGAATCAGGGGGAGAAAAATATGAAACAAAAGTCTCAACAGTTTCATGGAGACAAGTCATCCTGATGTTTCATATGAAAATGAAGGATAATTAGTAAAGATTAAGATGATTCCAAGTGAATAATCTGATTGAAAATGTATGAGATAATTTCTGACATGAGAGATGGATTATTATGATAATAGTATTGTACATTAAAATTGAATTATTCATGGGGAAAAATATTACAAGAATAAGAATCAGAATCTATCATGATAAAGGTTAGTGAATTATTTGTGTTGCTTTTTTTTCCTGGTTTAAGGTAAATCATATTGTAAATGATATTATATTAATCATGATGATAAACTTTGTCTTATTCATAGGGAAATGTTGATCATTATTGTTATTATCATTATCGAAAGTGAAAAAGATAATTTATCATAAGCATCAGGACATTCATTCATCTTATATATTCAGTTCTTATACAGGGAAGGAGAAAAGGTTGATAATAATAACGAGAATCAAGATGATGATGATAATCATGATGAGAACTGAGCAAGACATTAGATTGACTGAATAATTAATTATCAACTTTATCAACATGATAATAATAAGTTTCCCTTGTTATATTGTATTTCCATTGTTTGATCACAATCAAATGATTGATTAACTAAATCAAGACTTTAATTAGAGAGATGAACCAATGAACAATTATCATAATCGATTAACAATAAGAATAAATTTTTTTTTTCTCTATTGATTCAGCAATCATCATGATCATCATGATCTGATTATCTTGAAGATACAGAATTAACCAAGATCATGTTTTATTATTTAAGATTTTGCCTTTTGTTTGTAACCAATTAACATCAATTGTAATCAAACTTTTAAATGTGGAAATGTAATTGTTATTGGTAATGGGAAAAAAGCCAGATTGTGATTTAGATTAAAGGAAAACAATTTATAAATTGTTGTTATTATCATTTGATTCCTTTAGGCGTGACTATGTGAATTCAACCCACTGTCTTGTAAAACTTTTTTATCCACACATATAACTAACCCTCAATGTGACTTTTACAACATGATAATGATAATATTGTTGTTCTTGATTATGTGATTGTTAATGGTCAAGATTAAATTGTAAATGTCTTTTTTTCCCTCTTGTTGATTGTGTGAGTATGAAAGTCAATGTGAATCTTGATTGTAATTGAGTTGGAAACTTGATTTATGATCAAACAATCAAAATAGACTCTCTCTCTCTCTCTCTCTCTCGGTCTCTATCCTTGTCGAGTCAACACAAATAACTTGTCATCAACATCATCATCTTGGTGATAATATTAATTTCAATATAATAATTATGATAACAGAATCGAAACTATTTCTTTTCTTTGAATTAATCGATTAAAACTGGAACCAATTCATTGAAACAAATATTTCTCATGTAATCATTAGTTCAGCTGATCAAATTGCTGTTGTTGGATTTAAATATCAATCAATGTCACTTTTAATTTATCGCATTTAGCTAATCACTAATCAGTGAAATTTATTATCAGAGTGATTCAGATAAGTGTACATGATGATTAACATGTATCAAGAATTATAAATATTCCTGAGAATCATTCAGATGAAGTTCTGATAGTTTCATGATAAGTTTTCCTCTTCTCTACAAATCCTAATCCCTCAACTTGCAATTGAGATTTGATTGATTGTGATGATGATTGCGAATGGAAAATGAATTTGAATTTTCGAGATTAATTTATCGATATTTTGTTTTTTTTCTTCTTTTTTTTTAGGTGAAAAACCTCATAAATGTTCAGTTTGTGGAAAAGCATTTAGTCAATCGTCTAATTTAATTACTCATTCACGAAAACACACTGGATTCAAGCCGTTTGCATGTGATGTTTGCGGTCGAGCATTTCAACGGAAAGTTGACCTTCGAAGGCACAAAGAGACTCAACATTCAGAAGTTAAATCAATCAACTCAGTTACTCCTTCGCCATCATCATCAACCGCTAGTCCTCATCATCATCACCATCACCACCATCATCTACACTCACAACCTTCAGCATCCTCATCATCTCACCATCACCATCATCATCACCAACATCACCAAAATCATATAACAATTACAACAACAATTCCTGATAATCAATTAACATCCCAATCAGGAATATCATCTTCATCCTCATCCTCATCAACTAATTCATCAACTCGACAAATACATTTACCAACTGATTATCGTGTTCACTCACCACCAATTAATATCTCAACACAACAGCAAAATATTATTTGATTAATTAACATGATAATTAACAAACTGAATTAAAACTTATCCTCATTTGTTTTCTCTTTTCATTTTTAATTCAGTTTACAATTAAATTTAATTGTTCATTTTTCTTCATTCTCTACAATTTCAAATGCTTTTAAACACTTTAATTATCTCCCTCTAATTAATAATATTATACATTATAATTAAGTGCAATCTCTTTCTAATTGTATCATGTTCTGACAAAAATTAAAATCATAACGAAACAGCAACAATTTAAAAGTTAATTAACAATTTATTTCATCATATTGATTAGAGTCTTAATCATGTTACAATCTTTATCTGTACTAATCAAACTGAATTAAAGTTGTCATGAAATTATGATTGTTAATCTAATATATTTTATTACTTGATAAACAATCATAATAATAGGAGATTATCGTGATTAAGACAAATAACTATTAGTAAAACAATCAACTAATTTAATTGATTAATTGAAGGTTCAACACCATTTGTCCAATCTATTCAATTGAATCAAGATTATCCAATGGATTTAGATTGACAATCAATAGTTAATAATGAAATTGGAATTGAATTAATGAATGAATGATGGTCAACAAGTTTGATTGTCCGATTTCACTATGAAGATACATTGATTTGCAATAGAATAACAAAAAGAATCTTGATAATCATGAGGATTTCATGATGAGAACAATGAAAAACTATTATGATTCTTATTCCTAATGGGCAATCAACGATTATATTGTTTTTCGAGTTGATTGTTATGTTCAACTGACACGGATTAGTAATAAAAAAAACAGAGAATTATATTAAACTTAGAACCTTAAACTCGAACCAATTATAGCTCGATAATAATTCGCTCCAATAAGTCAAGAGCAATTTAATATAATTGTTCAAACAATCAGCACTCAATTATCTTCCATTTTGGAGCAGTTATCTATTTTACGAATTCATTTAATGATCAGTTCTCTTGATGATGTTACAGAACTTAGATAATCGTGAAGTTTTTTATTACAAAATTGATAAAATTTGTGATAACTTTTTATAACTAAATTTGATTGAGAGTATTAGCACTGATTACTCAGAATATATAATAATACAGAAATCAAGTGAATTTAATTGACGAGATCTTTTTGATTCTGATTGATCATTATGATGTTACTTTGATTTGCATTAATTGAAGATCTATTGATTATTTACATGATATTGATTAATTGATTAATTTCAATCAGATCAACGAATCATTAGAACTGAATTGAACAAGAGTTAATCAATATGATTTTACGAGTTAAATGATAGTTCAAATATATGTTGATTGTGAGTTTAGATACTGATTGCAAGTCAGAATCTATAAGAAATTAGAAATCAAGTGAATTTGAATACACGAGATCTTTTTGTTTTCCTTTATTGATTTATCTGTTACTTGATTACATTGAAATTGCCCTGAGGGTATTTTACAATCATGATTAATTTGATAAAATTTCATCTTACCATCAACCTCATTAGGAAGTTGAATCAAAATTAAGAGTTTACAATTTCCCATAGAGTAAAACTAATGAATAATAAAAAAAAGGAAAACAAATTTTCAACCAAACGAAAACTGTAACAATTTAGAGTTAATTAATTAATATGATGCGCGAGAAATTGGTAAAAATTGATTGACGCTTGTAAATGTTAACGAATCGATAGTTTTAGTACTTGAACATTGAATGAATCGTTTTAATCGAGGATTTTAAATGGGGAAAAAAGAAGCCACTGATTAGATGCCTTAAGGAATTGATGATGAATTCAAGTATCAATCAAATGGGATCAGCAACAAATACTACGAAGATGATGAAGAAGATGAAGATGAAGATGAAGATAAGGATGAGGATGAAGATGAAAAAAGCAAAGAAGTCTAATGAAATCAGTAACCAAGAGTTTAGTGGTTAACAAGGTAAAACAAACATTGAGTGATAATAACAAAGACTCTCGGTAAGCCCTCAGGCAAACTTAATCATGTTACATTGTGATTAGCAGAAATATAGTAAAAACAAAGCGGAAAAAATTGATAATAATAATGATGATTATATAGAGATTAATGTTTATTTATTAGGGGGGAAAAGGGATTAATCAATTGATAACATTGATTAATATTATTGATAAAACTGTGAACCAATTTGATTATTATTATTACATTGATTGGACAATTTGATCACCATTTCGTTGATTAATTTTGATTACAAGTTAAGACAATCGACTAAATAATTGTTGAATTGATTGTTGTTACTATTAAATAATATCAACATGTTGCGTGTTAAAATTAACAAACTAATTTAACAATTGTGATAAACAATAAAATGATTATTATAATCATGATAAAAATAATTAGCGGAAAGACAGTTAACTTAATGAAGTTCATTTATGAGACTAACACTCATTAACAATTGACTGATAAAGTGACTTAATTGTTAAGAATGATTATAATTTTATCAGCAATCGATTAGTGAAAAATCATTAAGACAATTAAAAACAAAAAGAGATGAAAGAAAAACAAAAAATTTCTTATATTGAAAGTTAATCACAAATGATGATAATTATCCATTGATGATAATTTAAGTTAATTGTTGAGTTAATTAAAATTGGAAAGAGTCAAACAAATAATATCACCACCATGGTGATTAAAAGGTCTGATGAAAGTTAGCAAATTATTTTTGCTTATTATTATTGTTAACCAGAAATGAAAGTTATGATTATCATTATTATCATAATGTTGATGATCAACATGATTATGGTGATGATGATGATGATAATCATTAATGAAGCAACAAGAGAGACACACCTATTCAGTGTGTATATATTGTTTGCTTTGCAAACAATAACATGAAAAGATATTTTCATCATCATTATCATCATTATCATCATTGGTGACCTTTTTTAATGTCATGCTCATTAGATGAGCCATTCATTAAGGTTGGGCTTACACACAAATCTGATTAGTTTTTGTTGTTGTTATGGTTAAGATGATGATGGAGTTGGGTTGGTCTTTTGTTGATCAAGTAGGGAGGTGATCATCATCATCTTCATCATTGTTATATTTATTATTGTCATCATTTGATAGTAAATAAACAGTAACACTGACCATATGTTATCAACAGATTGATTATCATTTGATTATCATGAACAACTCATTTTTTTGCTCTCTCTCTCTCTCTCTCTCTCTCTTTCTCCTGTGTTATCATCTCTTTGATTCTTATCATCTAATTAAGTACAGAATTGATGATGATGATCAACAGGGAAAAGTTTCATATCAGTGATGATGAAATTTTCCTTTTATTATATTATAGTTGAAAAGGATTATCATGAAATCAGTAATATCGAAAGTGAATGAATGTTTCCAATTTTGATCGAATGGTTTTGTTTATATGTTCAATCTCACTTTGGACAATATCAAATGTCTCTCATGATAATTGTTCTGAGACAGGAAATATTATCAACCTTTCTGTCATTGATATTGAACAGAAATCAGATTAAAAGTGAGAGTAAAAGTTTATCAAATCAATTGAATTCTTTATGTTTATAATATATTTCAGTTCATATTAAGAGTTATTAATATTAGTCTATTATTCAATTGTAATAATATTGATATTGATACAATCACACTAATTAGTTAATATTTTATGAGTAAAAGTGCTGACTGATTGAAATTAAAGTTGTACCAATAATCTGAGTCATATAATGATTGGTAATAGACAATAGGTTACTAGTAACTGGATTAATCTTTTTTGATGGAGATGATAATAAATTATAAATATATAAAAGAGGAAAAGGAAAAGGAAAAGATGAAGATGAAGATAAAGATGATGAGGAAAAAAAAATCTTCATAAACTAACCCATTATATACACGAGAGGATTAAAGTAATTGTTACAATTTAGTATTGTTATTATGATAAAGATGTTATCTGATTGTTGATATTTGACTGTTAATACAAATTGTTTACGATGGTGCGATGATTATGATAAAAGCATCAAATATAATTGAAAGATATATTATCTATGTATACGATACATAGATTAGTCAATTGGCTGAGTTTATGATTAAAAAATGAGCAGAGTAATTGTTGTAATATATAATAGATACAATGAATTTGGTGAACATGATGAATTTTTTAACAGAAATAAACTCATTCAATTCAAGGCAAGAACTCGGAGTGAATTGTATTTTCACTCCCAGTTGATGCTCTTTGGTATATATACATATAACTTTTGTATCTTTTTTTTTGTTGCTCCAGATGAAATATTATATCTCTTATATGTAACAATTACGAACCTTATTGTTGTTTAGTTAATAGTTTAATGATTTCCTATTATGATTAAAGATTAAAGTTTATTATTATCACGAAAAACTCATGGGACGAGAAAGATTCAATCTCTATGATACCTTTTAGTTAAATGGACATTGATTGTTGGACTTTAATCAACTTGATAAGCTTCAAATTTGTCACAATTAACACTTAGATAACTGTTAATTTTATCAATATTGATCAATTATTAATCAATTGTTTCATAAGCTTTTTCTCTTGTTGATTAAAAACTTTCCTAATCAATACAGAATCTGATTATCAATTGTTTTGCTTTACTCTCAATTGGTTATTGATTTTTTTTTTGCTTCATTCTATTTCTGTATTCATGAGATATATTATAAACATCTCATTGATAATCAGATAATCAAATTTAGATTCTGATGAAAATAATAATCAACATTCATCTTATTCAATTTGTTTGTTATTTCTGCTCTTGTGTTAAGATATATAATGATTTTCACTCATGTGATTGATTGATTATGAGGAAAAATTTTCAGATTATTCAGTGAGATGAATTGAAATTGAATCGATGATGAAAAAAAAGGTAAATTAACATATTTGTTAACAGATTTAGTGAAGATTATTATGATTATCATGGTAATGGTCAATGTATTAGTATAATAATTACCTGGGAAACCAAAGTTTAATTGGTATTAAAGGTTAATATACAATATCATGCAAAAAACTATCACCAAAATCCAATGAGTTCAGGGTAACTCGTAATACTATTATTATGTATTATAACTCTGGTTGAGTTGAGATTTTCATTTGGGAATTAAACTAAATGAGAGTTGAATATGCCAATCAGAACTTTTTTTGGGTTCTAATTCATTAGGGACACTTTGCATGGTTAATTATGCATTTTGATTAACATTAGATTAGTTGGAAAAAAAATGAGTAATAATAACGGTAAACGGATAGATAACAATTAAAAGACTTTGACAATTTTGATTCAGTATCAATCGTAAGTATTATTATTATTATTATTTTCTTGATAACAGATTATCATTTGATTAATGGTCACAATGATTAACCAAATCAGAATATTAATTGATATGATTACGATGGAAACTATTGATTTATTTTATTTCTTTCCCAACAATTTAATCTAATAATAGTTTGCTGAGAAATTAACAAACTCTAATCAAACTGATTTCTTGAAACGGAATGGAAACTTGAATTTCCAAATATATTAATATATAAAATTCAATCATGACACAAACAATTTACTTGGAAAAGATTGAATTAAATTGAGGATTAGTCTTTTAGTTTACAATTTACCGTTAACATTTTCAACAATATTGGTTCATATTTTATTATTGATTTGTTGATTACCCTGGAGGCTTTTTGTTGATTCTCAATTGTTTGTTTATTGCTGTTTTCCTTGTTGAAACCCTTTTCTGTTTCGTTTATCCTCAAACCAAAAGTTCTGATTGTTGATTAAAATTGTTGTTCATCTCATTTCACAACGATAACAGAACATGAGTAATAATAATCTATTATTCAGGTTACCATGTATGTGAGTGTGTAATCTGGTGGAATTAATCAGAATAGAGTTGAGAGATAATAATGATAAAAAAGATTCTAAGTCCCCTGAGTATGAATTGAAAGTCGATTGATTGTAAAAGTAAATAGATCCAAGATTTTGAAAGATTCATATTATCAACATATTGATAAGATAATGATGATGATGATGATAATATGGGATAAAGGTATCAAATTGTGATGAAAAGAAGGAAGATAAAGTGATGATATTAGAGGAGAAGATAGGAAATTGAAGATTAGGATTGGTATAGGTTAAGAATAAGGTTAAATACTCGTGGGTATTAATGATAGAAGAGCAAATTTAGAGTAACTTCTTGGTAAAAGATGAGAAGAATCAATTCAGTTTCTTTTAACCTTTTTCTCTCTATTTTCGTTATATTTTTTTTTCTCTTCTTCTTTTACTTCATTGACTTAACTAGATTCGAGTTCTCATTAAATAGGATTGATATTATTAAAGGGGGAGAAGGAGAAATGTAACCAAGTTTACTTTTGATTCGAGTTACCCAACGAAAAACTAACGAAATCAGTGTGGTTCGAGTTGGTGATGAGGCGAAAGATGAAGCAGATTAAAGGAGTAAAGTAGATGAGGTTTTTGCTTAGTTTTCTTACCTTAAGGGTTCAGATGAAGATGATGATGATAATAGTGAGATGGTTATGCTCCTTGTTACTTCATTTTTCATCTTGTTCATCTTAATATTTACTAAACTCGTTAACAAGTCTATTCTTGTTCTCATATAATCTGATGAAACTTGATGGATGCTGAATAAAAGGTAAGGAAAATGTTGATTGATTTTCGAGAAAGATAATCAAGCAAAGACTCTAATGGATCTTGTTAAAGTAACTCAAGTACAGAGAATGAGCAATCTGATGATGAAAGAATCTGATTTCATGGAGAAAGTTTGAGTTCAACCCTCGAATAACAAACTTTCAATAATATTAAATTCAATCGTGATCTGAATAAACAGGATAATTCATATGAACAAATGAAACTCAATTTTCCATGGAAAAAGAAACATTTTTTTTCACTTGTTCTTCTTCATGAAAATTCAAACTGACACTTTGGAATTAGAATTGCAACTTTGATTATTAAATATTATCAGTGAATTAATCATTTCAATGAAATGTTTTTATCCACAATTTTATTGATTTGATTATGTGAGTGGAGAAACTGATCAACTAATTAAGTTGATTTTTGTAGTTCAATTAATTGATTATAAGTTATATAACTTTTATCAATTCAAGAGGTTGATTGTCAAATCAATTGGTTGATATGAGATAATTATTATTATTGAAATAACTGTAACAATATTAATTGTTGGGCTAAATCATTCAATCTCTAGAGTTTAGATTGCTACTAAACTACAATTCTAGTAATTAATTAGTTAAGAGTGGGCACACCCAGTTGATCAAATGTACAGTTGATACGTTATGATTAACATAATTTATATAATTATCATTATTAACGATACAATGGTTTAGGTTACGCATCAATAACTAAATTGCTAATAATTTGATTATATCATCAAATCAATAGATACAATTATTGAATTTCTTTTCCATGTAAACTCAGTTTATGATCATTTTACTTTTCTCATTTTCTTCACTTAATTAGGATAACAGATCATTAGAATAGAGTTTTTTTTATCCCCTCAGAAATCAGAGATTGGAACCATTAGAAATTCAACATCGAAACAATAAATAATCAAAAAATTTCGAGCCTCGAATGACCTGAGGCCAAGAAAACTTCGAAAATAAACTGTTACATTTGACCTGCGATCTCAATACTTGGAATAATGTATCTTCCATCAATCGGTCTTTCGTCTTGTTCAGATCAGAATGATGATGAATTTTCATCTCCAATCTAATCGATTATCAAAAATTCTGTCCAATTGTTTTCTCTTCTTAAATTGTTACAATGTTTCTTCAATTCAATTCTAAAGTTACGAAAACCGTTTCTTCTAGCTGTTGATTGTTTTTAACTGTTAATCAGATTATCGATTGATTGTTGCACATCAATTGGTGATTGATAGTGAATTTAATTAGTTGTGGAAACTAAATTATCCTCACTAAGATGATAAGTAATAAGTATAAAAAGGACAATCAATCAGTTTTGCAATTTCATTCTTCTCATTCATTAATTAATATTGAATCTGATTTTATTGTCGAGACTCTTTGAGATGAAAAGTCGAAACTGAACTACTGGATTAAATTATCAACGAAAAAGACAAAACAATCTGAGATGATTCCGAATACAAAGTCATTTTTGGATCTTTGAGTTGACAATTTTTCGATAATTTTTTAATATTAATGATTAACCAGGAAATGATCTATGAGAAAGGAAATGAATGTTCCAAGATTGTTAAGGTGGCATTTTCTTAGTTTTTATTTTCTTTACAAGAAATGTTCAATTTGGATGATTAAAGTATCTTATAATATTCTATCAGCTTCGTGTTGTTTAGACCAAAGAAGAGCATATAAAGATGATGGATTAGCAACAAGAGAACTATGATTTCCTTTTTCAACAACGTGTCCATCTTGAAGAACGTAAATTAGATCGGCATCAACAACGGTCGAGAGTCTATGAGCGATACAAATTGATGTTCGTCCATGTGAAGCTCTAGAAAGTGCTTTGAGAATTTTCTAAGATCAAAATCAACGGGAAAAAGATTAATACAAATCGAGAAAAGAATAATCAACAAAAGAATAGAAAAAACTTACATGTTCAGTGATCGAATCTAATGATGATGTTGCTTCATCGAAAATTAAAATTGGTGAATTTTTAACGATCGCTCGAGCAATGGCCACTCTCTGTTTCTCACCGCCACTTAATTTAAGACCTCGTTCGCCAACTTGTGTTTGATAAGCATTCTGCCATCGTTGAATTGATTCATGAAGTTCAGCCATGGATGAGGCTTCACGGACACGATCAATTGAAGCATTAAAATCACCGTATTGTAAATTGTAATCAATTGTATTATTAAATAGAACCGGATCTTGGGGTACAACGGAGATCGCTTGTCTCAATGAGTCCACATCGATGTCTCTGACATCTTGTCCAGCAACGATAACACGACCTTGTTGAGGTTCAAAGAATCGATACATTAAGCGGATAATTGTCGTTTTTCCCGAACCACTTCCACCAATAAACGCAACCTTTTTACCCGCTGGCACCTCAAATGACAGTCCATTCAGAATCGGCTGATTTGGTACATATTCAAAGTAAACATTATCGAAAACAACTGAGGCATTTTCAGGCGTTACTTTGATAAAAGGAGCACCAGGTTTACTCTAATGGCAATAATCAACAGATATGAGAACATAAAATTAATCAGTGAAAAAATTGAGTATCATCGTTTAATCACTTACTTGAATTGCTGATTTTATATTTAAAATACTAAACATTGTTTTCATATCGATCAATGATTGTCGTACTTCCCGATAAACTGTACCAAGAAAATTAAGTGGCATCGAAAGTTGGAAAACTAAACCATTAACCATAACAAGATCTCCAACAGTCATGTTACCTGATTTGCATTGAAAACGAAACGAGGAAAATGCCAATCAGATTGATTTTGTCTTTCTCGACGATATTAAATTACCTTTCACAATTTGTACAGCGGCTAATCCCATTACTCCAGCGAGAGCTGAGCTAAATATTGCATTTTGACCGAAATTAAGAGCGGCCAAACTGGTGGAGGTCTTTAGAGAGGCTTCTTCGTACTTTTTAAGTACCCGCTCATATGTCGCAGCTTCGTGATGCTCATTGTTAAAATATTTGACAGTTTCGTAGTTAATCAATGAATCAATTGCATGATTTCCAGCATCATTTTCTGCTTTGTTCATTTGAATTCGAAACTTTGTTCTCCATGAAGTAACACCAAAGGTAAATGCTGAATAACTTCCGATACAGATTAAAGTAATCGCAGCAAACTGAGGACCACACTTATAATACTGGAAAAGTAATCGAAAAGAACCAAATTAATTAGATTAATCGAAAGTATTAGATCAAGAAAGAGGTGAAAACCAACCAATATGGAGCTTGCCAAGGCCACTTCGAGTATCGTAGGAGCGACATTGAAAACGATTGCACTTAACACGAAATTGATTCCTCTGGAAGACCATAAGAAATTAATTGATTTAAGAAAAAAAATTTTTCGATTAAATTGTTGTTATTAATCCAATTACCTGGTTCCACGATCAATTGCTTTTGAAAGAGCACCAGTTTGTCTTGAAAGATGAAATGAAAGGTCCAATTTATGAAGATGAAGGAAAACATTTCTGGCCACTGTTCTGATTGAATCGTGAGCGACTTTGGCGAAAACGGCATTTCTAAGTTCATTAAATAGAGAAGCACTTGCTCTGAAGACTCCATCTGAATTGATCAAGATTCGAATTGCAAAAAATTAATCATCAATTAGCTTGTAATTGTTGTGAACAAGAAAGAATCACTTACAACCAATAACCAAGGAAAGAGCAGTGGTCATTATACTGGTGGCAGGATCTTCGAAATTCAATGGTGTCCCTGCATTAGAATTTAAAAAGTCAACTAGATATTTGAAGATAAATGGAACTGAAACATTTACAGTCTATGGGGAAGAAAAAAGAAACAAATAAAATTAGTAAACAATTAGCAGGAACAAAAAAAAGGAAAATAAATTCTTGACACTTAACCTTAGCAGCGATCAATAGACCCAAAGCAATGACGACTCGTCTCTTTAGTTCAGGCTTATCTTTAGGCCAAACATAACTGGCCATTTGTTTTATTATCGACCAAGATCCAACCTTGTTTTTTGCCGATGTGAGGCCATTATTTGCCTCTCCGCCGTGACCAAGACCATGAAAGAAACGGTAAAATGATTTGTAACTTTTAACCAAAGGTTTGTTCACATGTTGACTTATTATCAATGAATTACCAGTTCTTAATCGTGTAGTCCGACTTGCATGAAACAAACAACGAATCATAATTACCAAATAAGTGACATTTAATTGGTTAACAAATTTTAATTCAGTCAAAATTTAACAAAAAAATAAATAAACAAACAAATTGATTAAACATATGATTGAATTGAATCAATTTTCAACTCAACAAGTGTCGACATCTATTAGCTAATATATCCGACATTTGGAACAACAATTTAAATTAATCATGGAAATTAATCTTTAATCAATGAAAAAGATACGAGAAATCATTTTAATCACAATTTAAGGAATGATTTAGTGAAAATTAACTTTATCATCTTCGATTTAAACTTAATCACTTTAGAAGAAAGAAGAAAAAGTTTCAATTGAATCTCAGATCGATGATCAATTGGAAACTCAATTAAATTGTGATTAATGTGATTGCTCATTTAGAGATGTGATCATTGACGATTAATTTAATTTTTCTTGGTCGTAATTAATTAATTTGGTGGTGAAATTGAGTAAAATATTCTACAACAATTATCATGGAGGAAAATGAATCGTTTTCTCACCTCAATTCTTATTCTGATTAAACAATTTCGATTATTGTTTTCAATTTCATTCGCCGTTAATCAATTGTATTTGATTGTTTATGGGATGAGGAATTAAATTGTGAACAATTAGAAGAATTTCCATTTTTGTTTGTATATTTATATAACGAATTTTAAAAAATGTTTTGTTAACCTTTAGTGTTGCTTTTTTTTCTCGCTTTCTCATCATTACTTTTTTTTAGTTCATTAATTTCATCTCTAAATTAGCAACAATTAAATAGTATGTTTGTTAAATTTGACCATTAATTGTGGGAAAACAATGGGTCAACATGTTTAGGATGTTGAGAACAGAAAAAGAAGAATGGAAAGAATAAGAAAGTTGAAGAAAGAAAAGTAAGATGAGAAAAAAAGGGGGAAAATTAATGAGAAAGATTAATTAATCCTCAGATTGTTGGTATTAATCACAATCATTGGTTTTAAATCCAATGGCAAATGGTTGTGTCTTTGATGTAATAAAAAGTCAAAGACGTGAAAAAATCAAATCCTTCATGTGGATCAGCTGATTCTTTCTGGGCAGAAATAAAGATTGAGAGAGAGGAAGAGGGAGTTGGAGAGGGAGAGGGAGAGATGGACAATACCACTAGGAAGAGAGGGTGAGATGAGGAGTGAGAGAGATTGTGACAAGCTATTGTGAAGAAAAAGTAAGGAAAAAAAATATATGTATATTCAAATGGTAACGGTGGAATTAATTTTCTTTGTTGTTTCTCGTCTGTGGTGGTTCATGTTGATTCAATTCCGATTGGCTTTGAGTTGTTTATCTGTATCATTGTGGTTTTTGTTTAAGCTTTTACCAATGTGTTTATCAGTTAACATAATTAAAATTATCATTATCATCTCTTGTTTCATTTTCTTTTATCGGTTCTTTATGTCAACATTAATTATAGCGACTAGTGTCCCAGAAAACCATTTTTCCGTCCAGGCCAACAGTTGATATCCTTTCGACTCCTGAACCATTTTTAGATAATGAATGAGCTCGAATTTCTTTGATACTATTTTGATGAATTGTGTCCGAGGTTGATTCGTTACTTGATGTCGTTGTATGGTGATCATTTAGACTAATTGCAAATTTATCCAATTCACGAAATTTTCTCATTGCGCTGAAACCATCGGTCTCTTTTTTGGTCGATTTATCTAATTTCTCGACACATTCTAGTTTTCCACTATTTTCATCATATTTGTATAACATTGGACAACAGTCATGACCCTGTAAGTAAATTGATTAAGGGAGGAGAAACAATTAATTTACAATCAATCAAATTATTCTCTCTGTTGATATTAACTTACGGCAGCGATAATGTAACGATTGGAGGACCAAATTAAAGTTAAGTAGGGTAAATCAGGAGTTTTAACAGTTATAACGGCTTGATTTTTTTTCGCATCCACAATTGATATTGAAGAATCATGAGAGACCCATGCTAATTTTGATCCATCTAGGGAAAAGGAGACTCCATGAACCCATCCTCCTGATAATCAACAGAGAGAGAGAGAGAAAAAAAAACAATGAGAAAAATATTAGTAAATTTTGTTGATCACTTCGTATGGAAATTGGATATTGAAGGGTGTAACTGTTGAATATTGAGATAAGATTCATAACGGGAGATATGAAAGAGTGATGATGAGGGAGAAAGAGAGTGAGGGTAGAGGAAGACAGAGGTGTGTGTATACTCTTGTTTTACTATAAAAGGATGTAACTGATAGTTTATATATGGGAAAGAAGGGAAACATGACTAATAGAATTATATAAATTGTAGAATGTAAGAGAACAGGTTTCCGAAAATGTTATGTGTTTCTTTTCCCTGAGAGAATGAATTTTTACCTCCACCAGTGGTCCATTCACCGATAAGATGTCCAGTTGATGAGGGTTGTTTTAATGACCATTCACTTGGCTCTGGATTGGCTTGGTCAACCTCTTTCACGTAAGCGGAAAAAATTCTGGCTCTGTAATCAGTTGAACCACAGGCAAGCAGGATATTGTTATGATGCCAATCAAGGCAGGTAACGGTTGATTTGATTGGCTTTTTAATGTGTTTACATATCCACCAGTCATTGGCTTCTTCAAAGTAACAAACTGAGATGGTTCGATCTCCCGAGCCGACAGCAAATTTATCCGCGTTTGGTGACCATCGGACAACTGTTGCTGCTCTGTGGATTCTTAAAATGACTAATGTTGGCTTCCAAACACCGGCATTAAGAGACCATACATAAGCATTTTTATCCTAAATTGTAGAGAGAAAAGAGAAAGAGTTTAATGAGTATAAATGTTTTTTTGGTTATCATCACATCTTCCAAAGAAGGAGAAGAAAATGTTTCTCAACAACTTACGGCACTACAACTGACGATTTTGTTAGTTTTCTGAGCCCAGTCGATGGAAGTTACTCTAAGATCATGTTGAGCTAAAATGGATTCTTGAATCCATTTGGAATTATCCTTTTTGTATATGTGCACTTCGTTGTTATTTGGAGATATTGCTACTTCTGTAAAAGCAAGGGAGAGAAAGAAAAATATTGGAATCATTAATAGTTGTGAACAAAATTGATCAGCAGGTAGTTGAGATTAGAAGAGTTAAAAGATGATGGAATTGAGAAATTTTCAAAAGCTTTGTTTTCTTGTTAGTTAAAATCTCAAGACTTCAACGTTGATTCTAAGGTGTGTCTATCCGATCTTGTAACAAATTCGTCTCGACTTGGATTAGGTGTAAATGACGTTTTTGATTTCAAGAAGAAACTTGAAGATTGGCCAAATGATATTTGATTTGAACATTAAAAGATGAAGAAAATAAAAATGTATTGGTCGAAACACTTACTTGATCTATCAGGTGAAAATGAATGACAAGGAACTGGTTCATTGGTGAAAACGTTTACTTGAGTCATCACGGAATTAAATCAAACAAAACAATACACAGAAACACTTGTATCTATATATATAAAACAAAAGGTAAAGTTGATTGAGTATTAAATTTGTTTAAGAAGAGAAAACAAACAAGGCAAATAGAATAGGAAAAAAAGAATAAGTAAAAACATAAATTAGGAGAAAAACAGTAAATCAAATCAATTTAACCGGATGATAGATTTTTGGGTAGAGAGAAAGACAGAGAGAAACAGAGACACAATAAAAATGATGCGGTGAAGAAAAAGGAATAGAAAATGAAATCCCTTTTAGAAAGAAACAATTACCTAAACAGGGTAGTAAAAATAGAGAAACAGCAATTAACAAGAGAATTAGATGAACAAAAAAAAAAGTTAATTACCTGAGGAAATCAAGAATCTAATGTTGATTGTTGATTAGAAAAAATCAAAAAAAAATAGAGAAAAAAGTGCAGCACAATGAGTTCGGTTGATCGACAACAGGTGGCGGTCCAATGTTCTCTTTCTAATGTTACCGGTTAATTTGGTTTCTTTTTTTTGTTTGCTTGACATTTGATTCTTATTTTTTTGTTTTGATCTTGTTTTCTAATTTTTGTTTACGGAATAAAAATATTTTTTATTACAATTTGCTTTATAACATCTTGGGTTCTCCTTGTTATTTTCCTCTTTGTCTAGCCCACTATGATTGAAATAGAACCTGTTGAACCTACAGGCCCAATAAAGCCGATGGTTGAACGTTTGTTGAAGAGTTTAAAAGAAAATCCGATGTCTCAAACTTTCAATGAGAGTCAAATCGAATGGGTAGTGATATGGTTCAATCGACCGCTTCGCACACCCATGCTTTGGGATATGTTTGTCAAGGTATTCAATTCATTTGGTCCTTATCAACCTGATTTGGATGTGTGGGATGTTAAAGGAGCCTATGCGGAAGTGACCACGCGGCTTGAACAAGTGGCTCGTGACTTAAATCTTCCAGGTTTCGATGGTTGTATCGCTAGAAAAGAGAAAGATCTTGCAGATTGATCTCCCTTTCAATCACTTTCTTTCTCTTTCTCTTTTTTGTTTCTGTCACTCAAAAATAAGACGAAATTTCCAGTATAAATTGCAAATTGACAACCGTCGAAAAAAAGTTTTCAAATAATGTTAACTTTAATAAAACTTTAATAAAACTTTGAAATGAAATGAAATTATTGTAACAATCAAAAGAAAAAAGAATAAAGTGTCGCCACCTGTTAACTTGAAGAAAAAAAATTCTACTGTTTTGTTTACAGAATAAGAATATTTCTTAATACAATTAACCGATTTAAATTATTAACCAACTACCTTTTATTAACTATTAACTCTCACCAAAGGCTCTCAACTTAATAACTTTATTAATCAGGTAAATTGAATAAATCGAAAGAAAGTTTTTAGAAAAACTTCATTTCTGTTTCTCTTTCCTCTTCTATTTCTTTCTCATCTCTCATTTTCTTTTGCTTCCTTTTCTTTCCCGGTGTTTCTAATGTAAGATTGTTTTGTTTGTTTTTACTCACATTTTCTCCGTTTTTAGCTACAGATTCTTCAAAATTCAAGATGAAAGTTGCTGTTGTTGGCTGTCTCCATGGTGAATTGGATCAAATCTATCAAGAAGTAACCGAGTTGGAAAATCGCAATAAATATAAGATTGATTTATTGGTGATTTGTGGTGATTTTCAATCAGTTCGAAATGAAAATGATTTAAAGTGTATAGCGATGCCACCTAAATACCGGAAACTTGGTTGTTTCCATAAATATTACAGCGGTGAAAAAATTGCTCCATTTTTGACAATATTTATTGGAGGTAATCATGAAGCCTCGAATTATTTGATCACTTTACCTTATGGTGGTTGGGTAGCTCCAAATATCTTTTATATGGGCTATTCAAATGTAATCAGGTATAAAGGATTAAGAATTGGCGGAATTTCTGGTATTTTTAATCATCATCATCGACATTGTGGACATTTTGAAAGATTACCCATGAGTGAGGATACAAAGAGAAGTGCCTATCATACTAGACATTTGGAAGCATTCAGATTCATGAGCATCAAAAAGCCTCTGGATATTTTCATATCTCATGAATGGCCGACGAATGTTGTCCATTACGGCAATTTGAACTACCTGTTGAGAGTGAAACCTTGGTTTAGCGCCGATATTCAAAGTGGTAAACTAGGTAGTCCCATGCTCGACGCTTTGATGAGCCACCTTAAACCATCAAGATGGTTTGCTGCTCATCTTCATGTCCGTTATGAGGCTCACATACGTTTTGATGATGGAAAAGAAACTAAATTTCTGGCCTTAGATAAACCTCTTCCTAGAAGAAAATACTTGGAAATAGTGGACATTGAAACCTCCAATAGTTTAACAGATGATGATTTTGTCAATGATGATAATCTCTATTATGATAAAGAATGGCTTTCAGTCCTGAGAGTCACCGACGAGTATCTTTCGATTGAAGAAAAACCGACAAATCTTGTGCCTGAACTTTATACACCACCGAGACTCGACATGGAGAAAGAGTTAATTTCTGTCGAGGAAAGATTCAAGGGCTGTTATAAAATTGAGAAAAGTTTTTCGCAAAATGAACCAGTTACTGAAAATGGAGACTCTGATCCAGAGAGAATTCGCAACTTTACCAATGAACAAACTGAAACTTTTTGTGCCAAACTTGGAATTCGTGATCCCATGTCCATGATTCTGAATGAAAACAAACATGTTTCTAATCCTGAGGAAATATCGTTAAGTGATGATGAAGAAGATGAAGAAACAACAGTAACAAATGTAACAACGACGGATTCAGATTTCGTTGAAGAAAATTCTGAAATTCCATCCAAAAAGTTGAAAATTGACACTAAACAAGAAGATTCTCTGGTTGCTTGATTTCTTTTATAATATTCACTCATTTTGATCTCATAAAATAATTGACCCTTCTCATATTTTCGAGAGAAATCAATCTCTTTATTTCTGTGGACCAAACTTTTAAATTGAGTTTTCTCTTCATCTGTGGCCTCACTTGATTCCTTTACTCTTTTTCGAGATTCATCCAATTTTCTTCTCTTCTTAATGTCTCCAGACTCTCATGTAATTATTAATCAAAACGATCCAATTTTGTAAAAATTTTTCCTTCACCATTCATATTTCCAATAATTATTTGACAAGTGATCGATGATCACCAACCACTTGTTGATCCTAAAGATGACAAAAAGAAAACCAATGTTACTATCGATTAATAATAATAAAAGATGATCAAATTCTAGTAATCATGTAATCGCTAAAATGGTTATTCACTCACCCGATAATCACCACAGATTTTAAGTCCATCAGATTTTAGGAAAGGAACGAGAAATGACCTTGATTCATATTCTCAACTGTTTATAATTAGTTTTCGTTTCGAAATGAAACCAAAATAAACCGATTGTTATTCTTGTCCCTTGGTGACATTAAACTCTTTTGAAAAGGAAGCACCAAATTTTACGTAGAAAATATTGAATTTATTTCATGAGAAAATCGATAACTGAGAAAAGATTTTTAAATACCTTCAATTACTCTTTCCAAATCTTCATTCATAATTTCAATTTCATTTCTTAAACTTTCAATGGTTTTTTTCAGCGATTCCTCATCCGGTTGAAATGTATAGTAGGTCAGCTTATCGTTAATCTCTTTGATTTGATCTTTTAACAGGTTGTTATCTTGTTCCAAGGTTTTAATTGATTGTTCGGAAAGTTCATCGTAAAAGCCAACATTAACCAAGAGATTCTCTAGTTGCTTGATTTGTTTATAATATTCACTCATTTTGTTCTCATAAAATAATTGACTATTCTCACATTTTCGAGAGAAATCAATCTCTTTATTCCTGTAGGCCAAACTTCGTTCATATTGAGTTTTTTCTTTATCCGTGGCTTCACTTAATTCCTTTGCTCTTTCTCGTAATTCATCCAATTTTCTTTTCTTCTCAAATTTGGAACAAATTTCAATACTTTTCTCCACAATCATTGGGATCAAACAATCCTTTCGGTAAAAGTTAATGTCACTCATCAAAAGTGGAATCAGTTTAGTTAATGTTTCCAGATTCTCATTACAATTGATCAAATTTTGTAAGAAAATTTTTCCTTCTCCATGCAGATTGTCCAATAAATATTTTACAAACGGATCATCAACCACTTGTCGATCCTAATCAAGAGAAAAAGAGACAAACAACAAAAAAGAAAAGAAAATCTTGTAAAAAATGACAGAAACGAGTTGGAAATGTCAAGTGGAGAAAACAAAGAATACGAACCATCGGTAATTATTATGAAAAACACTAGAAGATGAAAGATTAGATTAGCAAACAATAAGGAATTGGAAAAATTTAATTAAAAAGTGGAAAAAACTCAAAACAAAGAGAAAATGTTTTCAAAATTGACCACCGACTGTTCACCTTGGCAACTCAATAGAAAATTTCGACGAGCGCTCATTTCGAATTTTCGAAATTGTTCATAGAACTTACATTTTTTTCTACCGGTTTTCTAAGGACAACCTGAGGAATATATTTGTCTATCACCTGTGGTAAACTCTAACACTAATTCACATCTACAATTCATTCATAAAAACATCTTGGGCTCTCTTGTTTATCTTTCTCTCGATTTCTCTTATGTTTCATCTCTTCTTTTTCTTTCACATTTCACTTTTCACATCCCAAACTATCACAGATTCATTTTTATAAACATTTTGGATTCTCTTTATTATTTTCCTTCCTCATTGTCCAGCTCACTATGACTGAAAACAAGCCTGTTGTATTTCGAACCCCATTAAAACCGATGTTCGGTCGGTTATTGAAGAGTTTGGAGGAAAATCCGATGTCTACAACTTACACTCAGGGTCAATTAGAATTTGTAACGTTTTTTTTCATTCGTCCACTTGACTCACCCTTTCTTTGGGATTCGTTTGTCATCATGTTCAATTCACTTGCTCCTGGTGAACCTGATTTGGATGAGTGGGATGTTAAACGAGCCTATGCGGAAGTGGCCAAGCGGCTTGAACAAGTGGCTCGTGACATTAATCTTCCAGATTTCGATTCTTTCATCGCTAGAAAAGAGGTAGATCTTGCAGATTGATCTCACTTTCAATCAATTTCTTTCTCTTTTTGTCTCTGTCACTCAATCATAGACGAAATTTCCAGTATAAATTGCAAATTGTCAACCGTCGAAAAAAAGTTCTCAAATAATGTTCGACTTGAAACTTTGAACTGGAATTAAATTATTGTAACAATCAAAAGAATAAAGAATAAAGTGTCGCCACCTGTTAACATGAAGAAAAAAATTCTATTCTTGTTTTGTTTTGATCTTGTTTTCTCATTTTCAACTCTTCATTTTTGTTTACGGAATAAAAATATTTTTTATTACAATTTGCTATTAATTGAATTAACCAATTTAAATTGTTATTATTCAACTACCTGTTAACAACTATTCTCTCTCACCAAAGGCTCTCAACTTAACAAATTTACGAATCAGGTAAATATTGGAAGAAAAAATTTCCTCTTCTCATTCTCTCTCATTCTCTCTCTTCCTCCTCTTTTTATTTTTCTCTTTCTCTTTCTCTTTCTTTCTTTTTTCCTCTCTCTCTCTCATTTTCTCTTTATCTCTCTTTTGTGTGAATCTTAGCTTTTTTTCTTCATTGTCTTTGTAAGTCAAGATTTAACTCATCATTTTCGTCTATTTTTTTTCCACAGATTCTTCTAAAGACAACCTGAGGAATATATTTATCTATCACTCTACAACCACCTACACAAATCCACATCCACAATCATCAAAAACTCTTACATAAATCTTGGGTTCTCCTTGTTTTTTTTCTATCTCTTGCTCTCTTTTTCTCTCGCTCACTCACTATATATATTCTTCTGCTCTTACACCTTTTTATATCTCCATCTTTTTGTCCACCACTCATATCCTCAACTTAAACCTTTATCCTGCTCATTTTGTTAAACTAAATCAACAAGTGTCTCGTTTTTATAAAAACACATTGAAAGTTAAATTAGGATCAACACCGGGATATGGTTTCATCATTGATGGCTGATGGAGAGAAGGAAAACTCCTGTTCATGATTTTGCGCCTTCTTGGTTGAAAATAAATTCATACGATAAAGATTCAAGCTCAACAAGTATAAAAAAAACTGACAGAGAAGATACATTTGACCTCCGACCTCAATACTTGAAACAACGTGATACCAACAAGGATCCTAATACAAGCACCAGCAGCAGTAGTAGCAGCAGCAGCAACCACTTGAACCAAAAGCCTATCAATCAACTTGCGAGTTCCTTATTGAATACTTCATTTGATTACGATTCCGATAGGATTGGTGAAGATTCGTCCCGTCAAAAAGGTTGGCCATCAAATAGTTCAAGCAATCAAAGCAATGGCTGGTCAAATAATCGTCGTTACAATTTAAATAGTAAACCACCAAGTAATCCCGTCACAAGTTCAGAATCAACAGGTGACTCAACTCGACGATTATTTAATAACTCAAGAATCAATGATATTGGCATAGTAAATCTCCCAAGTGCAACTAAATCAACAACCACTGGTTACCCTCATCTTCATCAAAATCAGACCCATTTTCATCAACATGGTAATATTAAAGGCAGATTGAGTAATTCAGTTAAAGATGATTCACCATTAGTGTCTGGAGATTTGTTGGGAGGAAACAATAACAAAAGTAAAAGCAATACAAGGAATGGATTCGCTGATAGCAATAAGTTCAAAGAAGAGTTTCCATCTTTAGTCGATGAGAAGCAAGTGTCCATCGAAACCAACAACGGAAATAATGTTTGGGACAATGTGGCCAATAAAGTTTTTCGAAGTGGTTCAAGTAAAGTTAGTTTGGTCTCACGACATCTTGGCTCATCACTTTATGGGGACAAGGGAGAAAAATCAATGAATGGCTCAAATTACTTTAGAGCACTTGTTCCCGTTGTGCCAAGAAGAAAAACTGTAAACTCTATCAATGGAAATGGCAGTGGTTCTAAAGAAAGTTCTACACTTGTTAATAGTCTGTCCAATTTAAGCTTAGGTTCCACCACCAAGATACTACCTGTTTTTTCAAAGCCCACAAATCATTCATCTGTTAGTCATTCGTCTGCCAGCCATTCATCTACCAGCCACTCTATGGCTATTCTGGCCAAGAAAAATCCAAAAATGAAGAACAGTATGATGGATTCAAAGGCGAGGTCATCTTCGAATGACAGTCGGCCTGAAACGAATGATGAACAAAAATCTATTGATCCTTTTGACGATGATGATGATGGAATCAACAGTTGCTGCTTAAAAGAATCCAACAACAAGGATCCTGGTGACGAGAATAAATTCAATTTGGAAGGAGGAGATGGAGAAAGAGAAGAGAAAATAAATAAAAGTGAAGATAATGATGTTCACCTACTATCCAGTTCTTTGGAAGCTGAAGAACGTCTTTTAAGAGAAATGGGCTGGAAAGAAGAAGATGAAGATGAAAACTTCTATGCTCCACTCACCGAAGATGAAGTTAAAGAATTTAAAGATCTCATTAATAAAAGGAAAAGTTTAAAACGCTACACGAGCCCAAAAATCCACCCAGGACGATTTAAATTCCAGGTCAATTCCAATCAACTTCCTTTGTCTCAATTGAATTTTCTCAACACACTAGCCACGGAGGACCAGAACAACGATAATTCTGACACAAGTTCTGATGAAGATGATGATGACAATGGTCGTGTTATTAGCAGATGATGGATTTTCTAGCAACAATTTGCGTATAAATATATGATTCAAACTTAATTTTGTTGAAAATTTGAACCCAACAATGATTAAAGAGCAAGCACAATGTCCTGATAACCGAAACAACTATGATCAAAACTAATTAGCATCGAATCAGCAAAAACGAATCTTTTTTAACTCCAGCTTTATCCTACTCTCTCTCTCTCTATCTCTATCTCTTCTTTCTCTCTGCTCTATTCACATAATAAAACAACAAAGTCGATCTTTGAAATTGTACTTATATCCTTTTTATTACATTCGAAGCAAAAACTCAAAACTAAACGCAAATGACCTGAAAATTAACAAAACGAGAGCAAAAAGATAATCATACGAGTACGAAAATACGATGAGCTTATTTTTCATTGATTCTCTTGATCGAGTTGCTACATTTAATATCTTTAATTGTACCGATTATTTGGTTAATTTGGAGATCGATTAGACTTCAATCTGTTAATTGATGAAAAAAAGAAAAAAAGAAAAGCTTTTTACAACAAATCGCTTGATCAGAATCGAATCATCTTTCAAGTGAATCACCAATTAAACTTTAACTTAATTTTCGAAAGGTCACAATTTAACTTAATAATCATTTAATTTTCTTCAAATTAACTCAGGTTTATCGAAGCCACAGTTTTAACAATCTCGTTAATTGTTAATCTTTGTTAATTTCTAAAGTCGCACCTCTTAATTTTATCTGACCCATTGGCAGAGAAATAATCAAATTTACTAATCGTAATTAACCATTTCAAGTTTATCAAATGACTGTAAGAAACAGACGATTAGATATCACACCAATTAGTGGTCTTTATTCCGACACCAACTAATGATTAACGAGAAGAAAAGACAATTAACTTTAAACTTCAATGGATTTGATTGAAACGTTAACATGATCACAATTCATTCAAGTTTATAATCTGTTATAACGGAGTTTTAGTATCAGCGGCCTGATGGTCTAGGGGTATGATTCTCGCTTTGGGTGCGAGAGGTCCCGGGTTCAAATCCCGGTCAGGCCCGATCTTATTTTGCCGAATCAACATCAACAATTATTTTCCAATCAATCGAAATGATTTTAATCTCGTTTCGTTGTTTCATCTTCAATGGCAAATTAAGTGTAAATTGTTTTTCTCTTTGTTTCTATTAATTGTTCACTTTATTTAAATTTGACTTTTTTTTTCTTTTTCTTTTCAAATCAATTAACTATTTTTTTTCCATTTGATTTTTGATTATAATCAAATTAATTATTTCAACAAAATATTATTTGCATCTTTTTTGTTTGTCACAATTATATTATATCAATTGGTTCATCTGATTGGTTTTCTTTTCATCTTCTAAATGTCATTGATTGAATTGACATTTAACATTAATTATTTTGTTCAACATCAATACATTAATTACATTGTTTAATTATTCTCTAATTCCTCTTAATTATTATGAAGAAAAACAGAAAAACAAAAAGGTATCAATTTCCCTTGGGATTTTCATCTTGTACTCTTTTTTGTTTGTTTGTTTCAACTCTCTGTTAATTGTTGTTAATCAAGGAAATGTTAAACTTAATAAAAGTAAATACTTTCTTAATATATATAAGTTAATCTGTGTTTGTCTGTACAACGATTGCTAGTTAATAATTTAGACAAATCCAATCATTTTTGTTAACCCAAATAGGAAAAGGAAATACAGTATCTTTGAAAGATCTGTAAATAGATTGTGTGATGTGAAAGAAATGATAGATAATTAAAGAGAGAGAGAGAGAACATCAAAAGAAAAAGAAAAGGACAAAATATATCGACTATGGAAATATAATATTGAGGGTTGGAGGTCATGTTGAGGTGATTGTGAGTGTCATTTAGATGAGATTGGAAATGGAAGGTAGAATCGAGAAGGAAAAAGGATAACAACAGTTTCAACAATTTATAATCTTATTCCATCTTCAATATTGTCCTCGAAACTCATATTTGCGAATCCTCCAGTTGAATTGACAGTTTTCTCTTTTTCCTTTTTACTCTTTTTTTTATCCTCTTTTTCATTGGACTTTATTTTCTCTTTACTTTTTTTCTTATCTTTTTTTACTTTTTCTTTACTTTTTGCTTTATCTTTCTTTTCTTTCTCCTTTTTTGATGATGATGAAGATGATGCGGTAACATCATCTTCCTGTTCTTCAACAGACAATAATCCATCTACATCATCGTCAACTTCTTCAACTTTATAAGCTTTAACGGCTTTTGATGATGCGGCTTTTGGCTTTAAAATTTGTTTTGATTTGGTCAATCGATTGTCCACTTGTCCGGTTGAATCTCTTACGATATTTGTGGTCACCACTGTTGGAACAGGTAAACCAGGGAGGGTGTTCGTTGATGAACTTGGTATTATCGTTGTTCCAGAGAAAGCTGGAGAGGCGAAACCAGAAGCTTGATTAATTAATCGTTGTGGAGAATTACTTTTTTCTGAATCTGGTTTGTTGATTGTTGAAGAATTGGTATAATTTATGAAAACCTTGGAAAGAGGTTTCAATGGAACTGGAGGTTTTATTTTGCTTATTTCATCCAAATTTTGTCTCTCCTCTTGATTTGTTGATCTCAATTTGGTTGTATTAGTTTCATGATTTGAGCGAATAGGCAAATTGGTTTGATTTACAGGACAATTTAATGCGAATTGGTTATCACTAGCAACGAAAGGTTTAGCACCAAATAAATCTTGAGACTCCAATGTTGATGATGCCGATGATACAATTGGCTTTGGAGGTAAATTGGGTTTGATTAAAGATGATTTAATCTGTTGCACTTGATGAACATTATTTTGTGCTTGATGATCAACTTGGAACAACAATGACTGATTAGTTATATTTGATGGTATCGAATGATGTTGTTGTTGTTGCCTCTGTTTGTGCTGTTTAATTTGCTCCTGGTGAAGTTGATCAGCAAATTGTTTCCTTTCTAACATATTAGAATGAGCGTTGACCGTTTGTTGATCAAAAGGAAGGCTTCCAAAAAGATCCTGATTATGACGATCATGATGTTGACTTAATTCGGTATCTTTGAGGACTTGTGCAAGAAGATTTCTTTCAACTTCTCGATCTACATCACTATCATCTGCAACTTCAGCACTACGATCACTTTGATCACTTCGACCACTACTACGACCATCTTGATTCTCGTAAAAGTCTCGTCTTCCATCATTTAAATCATCGATTATGTGTTCTTTGTAGGGTATACTATTCTCATTGTCGGTTGAAGAATCACTATCGTCTTCTGAATCTTCCGTTTCCTCTGAGTAATCATCATCATCTGAATCATCTCCATCATCTTCTGAATCTTCCAAAAGAGGTCGAAATCCATCTGAATGGCCGATCAGAATATCTTCATTTCCAGATGAGAGGATGTTTGAGTTGAAGCTCTGAGAGATGGTCAATGTTTTAGAGATTTCGGAAGGAGGAGTGGGTGAGCGTGTTGAAGGTGGTGCTGGAGGTGGTGGTGGTGGAACGGTCAAAACGGGGAGAGAGGAGGCATTGTTGATGGAAATTGAGGTCACTTTTGGTCTGGATCGAGGGACAACCGATGTTCCCTCCGTTGAGACTTTGGGTGTACATTGTTGTTGATGCGGTGGTATTGGTGGTGGTACTCCAGTAGGTAAGGAAGATGTTGATGATGGTACAAGTTGGTGAGAACTTGTATTTTGATTAACCGATATGATTGTGGGACCAGAAACGGTTGCAGTTTTACGATCCAAGCTCGAGTAAAGGTGTGTCGTCTCCTGATTAAAAGGCATACAACCAAAAGGATCTTGATGACGACGATTACATTGAGAATTAGATTCATTGTCCTTCAAAACTTGAGCCATTAAATTTCTTTCAACTTCTTTATCGACATCACTATCGTCTTCACTTATATTTTGATGATTAAATAATTTTTCTGAACGTTTACTGGTCACTGGAGTTGATGAATTTAAAGGATTTTGTGACACTTCATACGAATTTAATCGATTAGGTTGATTATAAGGTAAACTTGTTTTGGTTATTTCATTTTCATCTGGTTGTTGATTCTCTTCATCTTCATCATTACTATCCTCGAGAAGAGGCTTATAACCATCTAGATGACCAATTAAAATATCATCACTTGGGGTTATATGAAGGGTACTCCCAGAGGTGAAACTCTGAGAACTGGACATGGATTTTGATATTTCCCCTGAAGGCGTTGGAGAACGAGTTAATGAAGGTGGAGGTGCAGTCAACACGGGAAGTGATGTAGCAGGAGTTATAGTGACCTGAGCTACTTTAGGCCGAGATCGAGGTGCAACTGATGTCCCCTCAGCTTGAGCTTTAGCCAGGGCAATTTGTTGTTGACGTTGTTGTTGTTGTTGAAGTTGCTGCTGTTGCTTCAATCTTTTAGCCTCTGTCTCTGTTAATGGTGAAGGCAATCGATCAATTTGGGGCAACGGTGAGTTATTTATATTTTCAACTGGACAATCGCGATTTGAAAGACGAAAAGCTATAAAAGACACTTGAAATATATCTGGCCTTGTATCTGGATCTAATTCCAACATAAAACGAATAAGTGAATGAAGACTTGTTGAATAAGGTGAACTATCGGGTATGGTGAAGAAACCATTTTGAATGGCTAAAGTTGATTCACCAAAGGGTAAAGAGAAAAAGCAAAGTTTATAAAGTAAACATCCAAGGGCCCAAATATCGGATTTTGTTGTGATTATTTTACCACTATACAAGTCCACCATTTCAGGTGATCTATACGAAAGAGTAGTGTACTTTTTAATTTCTTCCTCTAATTCTGTCCTGGATCCTACTGAATAAGTGTTGTCAACAACTTTTGTTGTAGCGCTTCCGAAATCACAAAGAACATAATTACCAGGCTCAGAAATTAAAATATTTTCAACCTAAATTTGAAAAGTGAATAGAAAAACAAAACAAAAAAAGGAAGTTAGAAAAAAGAGATTATTAAACAATTGAAATCATATTCTTAGAATAACAAAAAATAACTGATAGGTAGTTATGATGATGATGAGAAAAAAATATGAATCTTGATGATTTCATTTCTATTGTTACGTTTATGGTATTGAAATGATTACAAGGGAGAAAGAGAGAGAGAGAGAGAGAGATTTGCGTGCAGGTAACTAAGAAAGTAGAAAACTGAATGATGATTTTTTTCCTATGATAGAATAAGAAAAAAAATTTTCTATTAACTAATTACGTACCTTAAGGTCTCGATGAATTATGGGAGGATTATTATGGTGAAGTTTGGAAACGGCTTCACAAATATCACAAAATATTTTCAAGACTTGTTTCTCTGAGAAGAGGCAACCAGGAGTTCCAGATGATAAGGTTGTTGTTGTTGTTGTTGTTATTGTTGATGATGATGATGTTGCTGATGTGTTGTAGGTATTGGTTGTTGTATCTTTTAGCTTTTCGTTCATTGATTGAAGGACAGAACCACGGCAAAAGTTCATCAACATAAGTACCTCATGAACTCCATCACCAACATAATTAATAGCAGATTCAATGAGGCCAACACAATTCTTATGACCAGATACCATTGATGCAATTGATATTTCAGTTTTACAAACAGCAAGATCGTGATTGTTATTGACAAACATTCGTTTCAACGCATATCTGGCCCCATGAGAAGCTTTAACCAAAAATACTAAAGCAAATCCTCCTTCGGCAATAACATCTTGCACTGTAACGGCTATTCGGCCTACATTGAATACTTTACCAATATAATCTTTACCAGTTGATGCTGATTCGTTTGACGTAGCGACAGGAACCGATGTGGTTGTCCATGAGGAACCAACAATACCATTAGTATCACGAGAATTACTTTGACTGTTCTCCAAACGTTGGAATAATTTTTTCATCTTTCTTTCTTTTTATACAAAAAAAAAATTGTTCAATTGAAGGCAATGAACCAGCGGTGGTGATGGTCGATGAAGCCAAAACTGTATCAGAGCAAAAAGAGACAGAGAAAATAAGAATAACAACAAAACCGATGAACAGAAGAGAGAGAAAGAGAAAGAGAGAGTAAAGTCAAACTGAAAAGGGCTAAAAACGATACTCAAAAGTAAACATACACATAAACACAAAAAGAGAGAGAATGAAAGAGAGAAAGAGAGAGAAAGAGAGAGAGAAAAAAATAGAAGGCAAATTGTGGTACTTTGTTTGTTTCTCTCTCTCTCTCTCTTACACTCTTGTTTTTTTTCTATTCTCTTGTTGGTGATGAAGGTGTTGGTGGTGGTGGATTGAAAGGAGAAGAGAAGAAAAAAGAAAGAAAAAAAACCGAGTAATAACACAGACAGAAAGGAAAATATATCAATGGAAGAGAAGAGAGAGCAAAAAAAGAAAGAGACAGAGAGTTAGAAAGGAAAAATATTAAGACGTTTTCTTAAGATTTTGTTGGACAGATTAAGGATCATTTCTGCTGTTTGTTACCTCGAGTTAATTAACTCACTTTATCGATCAGGTAGATCAGCTTGTAACAAGTTATATCACATAAAAATTGATGATGTTGTTTAAAACATAAAAAGCTTTACAATAATTACTATTTATACCTCCAGCTTTGGCTGAATGGTATCGGCTCCTATTCGTAGGAATAGCCCTTTTCGGGTCGGTTTTAAACCTTTTGAGCCTTAAATTTAAACGATTAATTGGTTTCATTTTGTTTTTCTTTTTTATCTTTAATGAATTGTCTTGCTTTTTTAATGAACCAATTTGTTTTTGTTGAAAATTCATTTTTCAAGAATTTTCTTGTTTTCTATATATACTTTCGTCATTGTTTTCTACAATTTTAATGTATCTTAGTAATGAGGTCGGATAGTAATTGATGTCAATTTCTTTTCCTTTTTTTGACCAGATTTTAACACTATCAGGGGCATTTCTTGCGAATAATCTGATTGTTCTTTCCTCGATTTTACTTTCTATGTATTTTTTCATATTGGTTAAGCTAAGATATTTTTCGTATTTAATTTTTCTTTTGTTGTTGATGCATTTGTAGTTCCCAATGTCATATGTGATTTCACTGTTGACTTTCAGTTTTTCTGATGTTTCTTATAGCAAATTGGACTGTTTAAATTTGTTATAAGTTTTATCTTTTCATTGGTCTCTGTTGAAAATTCAAGTAATAAACCGGTAAATATGTCTTCTAATGAGTAAAAATTAGTGTAGTGTTCATGTAGGTTTTCGTCCTGGTAACAAACAAAGTTTTCTTTACGATGGATTAATAGCTGTATATTGGCAGTTGATATTTTTTCTCTTTTTATTGTTGGTTCATTTATTGGTTCCAAGATTATAGCATCCACAAAATTTCGAATTGGTAACCAGTGTGATATGTTCTCAAATTTTAACAAGTTTCTCATGATTGAAAAGGTAGAGTTTGATCGGTTTTCAACTCGTAGTAGGAAGAGCCACCAATAGCTATTTCTTGTGTTGAAAATGATTTTATTAATAATCTTGTACCCACATAAGATTAGATAGTCGATTTTATATGACCATAAGTTGTTATAAATGAAGTTGTCAACTCAAATGATCCATGATGGTTCCTAGGAGTGAACTTATTATTATTTTCTGTTCATGTTTGATCATATTCCTAATGATTTCAGCACTGTGGTCATTTAGTCTGTTTCTTTCGATAGTTGTTTGTATAACTTCTTTATAATTGTTGACTTTATAGCCCAAAAAGTTTTCATGGCTTTTGTTGGTTAATTTCCACATTTTGGTTTCATTTATTCGAAGGTTAAGTTGTATCAGATATTCGTTGATCTTGTTCAAAGTAATCTTGTTATTATTTTCGTCAGTGAAAATAACAAGATCATCTGCATAAGCTAACATTGTTGCTTTTTCATTTTTGTTGAATTTTTCTAATATTAGGTTTAAACCTATTGCAAAAAGAATCGGTGATGTCTTTGTGCCTTGACAAATTGAGTCTTCTTCGTCTTTAATGGTACCATCTTCTAGTCTTATTTTTCTTTGATAATAGAAAAATTTTATCATGTTATATGTTTGTGGGTCTAAAAATGGTCTAATTAATTCAAAGATTTTAAACTTGTTGATTTTATCAAATGCTGTCATTATGTCGCAAAAAAGCGTGTTTTTATGTGTTAATGATAATTCTTTGACTTTAATTAATGCATACATGCGATCGTTCTTTCCGTACGCTAATTGATAATCATAGTTAATTAGCCATGTTGATGTTTTTTCTAGCCTGTGTAAGAGGATTGCATCAACTATTTTGCTTAGAAAGCATTGAGTTCTTATCGTTCTGTATTTGGCTGAATCTTTTTTGGGTATGAGAGTTCCTCCACTTATTCTCATTGACACTGGGATGAATTGGAATTCAAAGATTTTTTTTATTAGATTTATTATTAAATGTTCATTTAGATTGGCGAATTTATTCCATTCACTGATGGTGAAACTGTCTGCATAGCCTGAGGATGATTTAATTTGTTTTCTTATTATTTGTACTTCTTGTTCACTAAGTGTAATGTCTGAATTGTCATCTAGAAATAGTTTATACTCTTCTTCATCCGTCTTATATTTAAAGCTGAATTGGTTGGTCGGGTTTTTGGTTAAAAAATAAGATTTCGTTAATTGTTTATATTTGATCCAAGTATCTGTGGATTCATTAAATGTTCTTATTTTATAGATTTTCTTAGCTGAAGCGGTATAACTTATAATTTTCATGACTTGATTTTCAATGTCTTGAGCACTGGTTATTGGAATCTCTTTGATTTTGCTGATTTTAGTGATGGGTCGGAATTTTAAAGCTGAGGGATTCTTCTAGTCAAGTTAAATTTTAAGATTATTCTTATTTCTTGGTGATCTGTATTTTTGTTTTTAGTTATTCTATGTCCGGTTGATTCTACATTTTGACCTAGAATTACATCTATTGTTGAATTATTAAATGTTGTTGATATTCTTGTGCTACCATTATCTCTATTTCTTGGTAAAAGTGAAGATAAACAGTTTAAAAAGGTTAATTTACTGAATATTCTGTTGTCCTTTGGACAATATCTTGGGTTTTCTACCCATATATCATGTTCAAAGTTTAGGTCTCCAGCTAATATCATGGGGAAAGGTGTTATTTTGTTTATTATTTCATCAACTGATTTTAATTGTTGCTCACCTTCGCGGTTTCTTCTATAAATGTTGATAAATATGAATAATTTCTGGTCTCTTTTGTCTTTGAATAATGTGATTATTGTGTCATTTATTGAAATGTCTCTTTTGATTATAACAAACGTAGGTGAGAAGAAAACTGCAACTGATCCATTTCTGATTTGTTGTTTATGTTTGAATTTATATATTGGTAATTCTTGTATCGCAATGATTAGATTATCAAATTTTGTGAATTTTTTTATTAAGTTTTTGGTTCCATTGTAATTTTTGTTGATGTTAATTGATGTAAGATTCACTTCACATGTTGTATTCGATGAAAATGAAAGAGACTCTGTCTGAGAAGACATTTTCAATTTCATTTATATTTCTTCTGGTGGTATATAAGATTAATCTAAATTGTTTATTGATGAGTAAATGATGAAAGTTACACTTAATTAGTTTTTGTTTGGATTTGTTTAAATTTAATCGGTTTATTAATCACAACTGTAAATTCATAAGAATTTGTTAGATTAATGTTCCAACCTTTATTTATTAAATCTTCTAGATAATCGTATTGTTTATTTGGTTGTAAAGTAATTTCTACTGAATTTGGTAAAAATATAAAATCTGTATCAATTGGTTGTAGTTCATACTGATTGACAAGGATGTTGTTGTTATTTAATGAAATTGTCACATTGTTTTCAAAGAAAATACTTAGTGTTTTGATTCGACTGAGATGGAGTTTGAACTGATTTCATTTATTTGATTCATTTGTTATAGGTTGGAGAGATGTTTAAGGAAACAATTTGAAAAGATTAGTTACTGTGGTTAACAAGTTTAAGGGATTACAAAGATTAAATGAGTTGTATTGGTTAAGTGAAATACAATTGAGTGAGTCGAAAAAAGCTTATTGGAGGTGTGGATTATTGTTGGGGTTGATTCTATGTCTATATTCTTGGTAAACGTTTTGGTATCTTAGATCAAATTTACTGATTCCTTTTCGAATTAAGTTTCTCATAGTCGAGCACCTATTACTATCTGATTTATGACCATTTCTTTTACAATTAGCACATCTTGATAGTCGACAGATTCCTTCATGTACGGGTGCGGCACAGTTGATACAATTTGTGATTCTATTGCAATTGTGGATCGTATTCGTATCGTAAATTTGAAGACAGACATGGCAATTGATGACCTCAGTAATATCAAAAAATTGGTGCTCGGTTCCTCTTACGGTGATGGCCATTCTTCTAAGTCCAAGAGCAATTCTTGCTTCTGGTGTTGTTTGGATGATTGTTCTTTTGTTGTTGTTTAAAATGCTAGTAGAAACATGGGTTAGGTTGTTAGCTGGAATCGTTGCTTCTCTTGCGATGAGCTGTATAATTGTTTCATCATTTTCTTCAAGATTGTGATAGAAATAGATTTTTGGTTTAATCGTTATTGGTTCCTCTTCTAATTAAGAAATTGTTGTTTTCTAAAGAGGTTATTAATTCTGTAGAGGCCTCATGGAATATTGAGATGATCGCATAGTTCCTTCTAAATGAAACAAAGTCCCAATCAAAGATCGCTTGTTGAATGTTGATGTTATTTTTAATGTGTCTTTTGAAGGCGTCAGACGTAATATTCGGCTTCTTATTAAGTTTCCAATAACTTAATTTCGGTAAAAGTCTAATATTTATATTTAGGCGGCTGATGTTGTAATTGTTCATTATTCCAATTGATTTGTATAATTGCTTTGTATAATTGATTTGAAATGTAAAACTGTAATTTGATTAAATTTGTAGATGTTGATTGTAGCTTGGTTGTAACTAGAGAAGTTGATTGTGGTAGTTGATTAGTTTAGGCGAGCTAAGGTTGTAAACACAAAAAATTAATTAAAAAGTTGTACACAAGCAGAAAGAGTTGTTAGTAAGTTGTAAACAGAAAAAGTGATCCAAAGAAACAAAGGGAAATGGTGGTTAATTGATTTGCACATGCTCAGTAGGTTAAATCGATGTCAAGCCTTTTTATATCCTTGAACTCTTCGATGGTCGCCATTTTCTGCCAATCGATTGTTGTTTTTTGTTCAATGTAAATATGAAGATACTTGAAGTAAATCGAGAGTGGACTTTTACCGTAGAGAGGGACTGTTTTTAATGAATCAAAAATTTGTTTCTCTGTTAGATTTATATGGTCAAATGCTGGCCATTCTTTCCCATAGTAGAAAACAATCATATTCCAATCAGTCAATTGTTTTCTTACGGTTGGATGAACACAAAGAGAAATTTTATTTTTGTTGTTTAAACTGTTTTCAATGATTGGGTTGTATAAATAATTTCTATCTAT